CCTAACCCTAACCCTAACCCTAACCCTAACCCTAACCCTAACCCTAACCCTAACCCTAACCCTAACCCTAACCCTAACCCTAACCCTAACCCTAACCCTAACCCTAACCCTAACCCTAACCCTAACCCTAACCCTAACCCTAACATACATATCAAGGCTTAGACGTACAGCAAGCCATATTATTAACTGTAACTTCCTTTGTAACCCTATGAAATACCCGACTGGAATCGCCGCGGCAGTCTGACCGTAGCGTGTGCATCAGGCCACATTAGAGTACGACAGGCGGGTTTAGCCAGGCAATTTCGGTCGGTTATTTGACAGCAATAAGCTTCGGCCATATTTAGGGTTACGCCGGCGCCGGGCTAGAAAAAAAATCCATACTTGAGCAGACCAGGAGAACTGCGGGATCTCCGTCGTTGACTGCCGTCTGCCGTCTACCGTCTGCCGTCCCTGTATACGAGAGCAATGGAGAACAAGGATCACATCTCCGAGGTGGTCGAGGGACACCAGCCGCACACTCACCACCACACTCACCACGCCGACAATACCGTCGACGAGTCCAACACTCCCGTTTACATCCGCGACATGGAGGCCGCCGCTCCTGTCGGTCCCGATGCTGGCTACCCCATTCGCGACGAGAAGGCACCGATTGACCCCGTCGTTGCCTCCGCCGAGGAGATCTCTCCCAGCAACACCAATTCTCAACTCTCCGACGAGCAGAAGCCTACTCTGACCGCCGGTCCCGACTACGTCTTCTACCATATCAAGCGCATTTGGCGTCAACATCGTCCCCTCTGGATGGCGCTCATTCACCTCACCATCCTCCTCGTTACCACCGCATGGTTCATCGGCGGTTTGGCTACGCACAGAGGTCGATACGGTTGGGTCGTCCAATTTATCTTCTGGCTGTTCGTCACTATTCGTATGATCACCTTCCACGTCCCCGTCTCCCTCGTCACCCGTCCGGTGTACAAAATCTGGGATGTTTGTGCCACCCGGGCCCTCGCCCTGGTCCCCGAGCGCTATCAGATTCCATTGTCGGGCTTCACCGTCTTCGCCGTATTCCTCATCGGCGCAATGGCATCCCCCACCTCCGCGACCAACAACCGCGAAAACCGGATTCTCTCCATCTTCGGTCTCTTCCTTTTCCTCTTCAGCGTCTGGGTCTTCTCCAAGAACCGCAAGGCCATCAAATGGAGAACCGTCCTCATGGGCGAACTCATGCAGTTCATCACCGCTCTCTTCGTCTTGCGCAGTACCGCCGGTTACGATATCTTCAACTTCATCTCCGAGCTCGCCCGCGAACTCCTCGGGTTTTCCCAGGATGGTGTCGCATTTTTGGTCACCAAAGAGATCGCCGCGCTCCCCTACTTCTTCTTCACCGTCCTCCCCGCCATCGTCTTCTTCGTCGCGTTCGTCCAACTCTTGTTCCATTGGGGCATCATGCAATGGGCCATCATCAAACTCGCCAAATTCTTCTACTGGTCCCTCCGCATCTCCGGCGCCGAAGCCGTCGCGGCCTCAGCCGCCCCATTCATCGGACAAGGTGAAAACGCAATCCTCATCCGCCCTTTTGTCGCACACCTCACCGACTCCGAAATCCACCAAATCATGTGTTCCGGTTTCGCAACCATCTCCGGCTCGGTCCTCGTCGCGTACGCGGGTATGGTTAAATCCCCCCAATCTCTCGTCGCATCCTGCGTCATGTCCATCCCCGCCTCGATCGCGATCTCCAAAATCCGATACCCAGAAACCGAACTCTCCGTCACCGAATCCCGCGTCGTGATCCCCGACGACGAGGAACACAAATCAGCGAACGCTCTTCACGCTTTCTCGAACGGCGCTTGGCTCGGTCTTAAGATCGCCGGGATGATCATGTCGAACCTCCTTTGTATCATCGCACTCATTGCACTCATCGATGGTGTACTCTTCTGGATCGGCAAATACTTTGGCGTGCCGCAACTTCAGCTGGAGTGGCTTCTCGGATACTGTCTCTACCCCATCGCTTTCCTCCTCGGCGTCCCTCGCGACGAGCTCTACCCCGTCGCCAAACTTATCGGTATCAAGATCATTCAGAACGAGTTTGTCGCTTACAACTCTTTCTCCACAGAGGCCGAGTACGCCAACCTCTCTCCCCGTGCCGTGATTATTACCACCTACGCTCTCTGCGGTTTCGGTAACCTCGGAAGTTTGGGTAACCAGATCGGTGTGTTGGGACAATTGGCTCCCTCCAAGACTGCGAACTTCTCGAAGTTGGCGGTGAGTGCTTTGATCTGTGGTATCTTGGCGACATTGAGTTCGGCGAGTATCGCGGGTATGTTGGTTGCTGAGTAATAGGATCGGTAATTTGAGGAGTCAGTGATAACTAATGGATGTGTGGTTGGGTTTGGGAGTTTTGTGTGTGTTTTGAGCTGGATATCAACTCGTGTGCTATGCACAACTGATAATGTTAGAATCCGTCGAATGCCTGCTCGACCATTTGTCTTGTCATATATTTGAGCAGTCGAACCGAGCTGTCGGTGGACCCTGCACGCCCCCCATGCCCGCCCGACGCGCAGCCGCGGACGCAACGTCCAGAGGAGCACCGAGAACCCAACCACCAGATTCTTCAACTCGCAATGGTCGAGTCTACAAGTAATTTGGAGCTGTTGGCATGTCTCGAGAAAGTAAACGTCCTCTCTAAAGCTGGTGATCATCGTGGTGTGCGTTGCGAGATCGTCCGGATCGTTGAAGAACATGATCCTCGAGCTCGGAAGGATGCGACAGATGTGGGTGCTACGGAGGAGGAGATCGTACAGAAAGACAGTGAGATCAGTGATGAGAAGGTTTGTCACTAATCGCTGCCGCTCCTGTTTTATCGTCTGCTGACCGTGCACAGCTTTCAGCACCGACGGACGAACCAGCGAAGAAGTCCAGCGCAAGCGACTCAGCCATTCTTACACAGGTAATGGTGTTCCCAGGATTTGTTCCAACAAATGCCTAACAATGATACAGCCAGAATTCCACTTACGAATCACCACCCCTCCTCCGACGTTCACCCTAGACGAAGACGAAGAACCGGAATCGCAGGTCCTTCTGCAACTCGTCCTCCAACCGTCGCAGCGATGCATCCTTTCACGTTCAGAGCGTGGACAAACGTTTAGCTTTGTGTTGGGAAACGATCAGGAGCAGGAAGAGGCGGATAACGGAAATCGGAGGAAGGACATGTTGAATGTCGTAGTACCAAGGTACGAGCCATCTCCTATCGCACGAGAGGTCCTCACTAACCATCTACCATAGCCATTCCCAAATCGATCGCGATTCTCTCCAAGCCTTCACCTCAATCCTCCAATCCCTCGCAACCCTCCGCCTCTACAAGCCGCCCCAAGACACCGCCTTCTCCCCCTCCCGCGACCTCTCCACCGCCTTCCTCACCCGCCTAAACCTCACCGAATCCGACCTCGACACCGATGACTGGGCCCTTCCCTCCGCCCTCCTCTCAACAGCCTCAACCGGCCTCGCCGAAACAATATCCGCTGGCTTCGGACACCTAGCAACAGCCGTCAACAAAGCCGGCTCATTTATCCAGAATCATACGGATGCGGTGACGGAGGAACGGTATGCGAGGGTTAATCCTGATACGCTGGAGACGCTTGAGAAGGTGAGTAGAGGGGGGGAGAGAGCTGTTGATGGGAGTGTGAAGGGGATGAATAAGGTGAGGAGTGGGTTGCTGAAGGGGTTTAATTTCGTGCGGGATGAGTATCGGGATCCGGAAGAGAGGGAGGAGGGGAGGAGAGCGGATGCGGGTGAAGGGCGGGGAGGAAGTGCGGCGGCGACGCCGCAGGGGTTGGGGTGGGAGGGGCGAATGGCGAGTCCGCCTAGGACGATGTCTGCATCGCCGGTACCGTCTCTGAAGGGGCCGGTGTTGATCGATTTAGATACTGGGAATGACGATGAGCGACCACCGCCTAGGCCAGCCCGCCCAAGCGCCGACACGCCCACCCGCATCCTAAGCCCCCCCTACTCCCTCGACATCCCCACCCCCTCCAACCAAAGTCCCATCGAACGCTCCCGCTCCGCCCAATCAACCTCCTCCACCACCTCCCGCGGCTCCAAAGGCTTCGGCGCCGAAGCCCTCAAATCCCTCAAGAAAATCACCGGAGCCTGGGGTGACTCAATTGATACCCTTCACCAGACCCTCAACACGAACGTCGTGGACGTCACGCGACACCTCAAGGGACCCGAAGCTGCACAGGCTGCGAGGCATGTTACGGATACGCTGTATTCTGCGCGCACGGTGTATGATACTATCTCTATCAGGCCGGATAAAGTCTTGATTGGTGGACGTGCTGGGAGACCGAAGGCGCATGATACGAGTTTGGGAGGGGAGGCTGAGGGAAAGGTGGAGAGGTGGGTTGGGGGTGTAGATGGCGAAGTCGATGTCCGTACACCTTCCCAGCAGCTCGACGATCCCCTCGACCACGGCCGAGGACGCGCAGACGAACGCCCCCCACCCCGCCCCGCACGTCCCCAATATCTTCAGCGACCCGCTGTGGTACCACAGGATTCGTTCATCTCCGTGAATATAGACACGGAGACACCACCACCCAAACCCGCGCGCCCATCGACCGAACTCGCGGAACGGCGTCGAAGGAGTATGGAAGTCTCTGCTCGCCGGTCGTTGGATATTGCGAGGAGGAGTGTTGATGTTGAGGGGGGTGGACGGCCATCGTTGGCGTCGTTGGGGATTACGGAGGAAGAAGAAGGCCCGCCGCCGAAGCCGAGGAGGCCTGTGGGGAAGCAGGGAGGGGCAGGGGATATTGCGGGGCAGGAGGCGATGTTGAGGTATTGGGCGGAGATGAAGAGGAAGAAGGATGTGGAGGCGGCGAACCCGTGAGCGTTGGACTGGACGACTGAGCAGAGGCAATATGATACCCATGATTTCCGGGCAATGGATGTGTTTGATGCTAGAATATGCTATGCTATGCTATATGATACCGTGATAAACGCCGAAATGCAGTATAATTGATTCACTTCCGCCCCGCTGAACAAGATCAGTCCTCCAGCTTGATGTAAGGAACATCTCGTGACTCCTCGATCTTGACAACCGGTTGCGACGCCTGTTCGATCTTCACCGGGCGCCAGAGCTGTCCGGCACCTGACGTTGTGAAGACCCCAGGCACCCTCGGAGGCGTGTTCTCACTCTCAATCCGCACCCTCGCAAGCATCGCCGCAATCCCACTGGACACCCTAGACTGCCTCGCAGCCTCCAACTTCGCCTGCGCCTTCACGAGCATAGCCTCTGTTTTCGCTTCCGCGGCAGCAAGCGTCAACCTAGCATTGTCCTCATCAGAGAAAGCAAGTCGAAGAGGACCTTGAGCGGCGAGCCAGCGCTGCTTATCCTCTTCGGTGGTAATTCTTGATTTGCAGCTGCCTAGTCGCATGTCGTCCAGGTGCGCGTTTAGTAGTTTTCGGAAGCGTCGTTCGTAACGATAAGAACAAAAGGGACAGACAAGATAGGCCATATCAGGGTCCCTAGCAGAAGGCGACGTCTGAACGGTGAGTAGGGATGCATTCGGTAAGGGCAAAGCAGAGTCCGCAACCGGAGCTGCTATGGGGTCATCGTGTTGGTCCTGCTCACGAGCATTTTCGCCTGCGCAAGTCGGTTCGGTGTCAGGCGAGACCGGAGTATGCTCCTCGGACTCCTCGTCGGGTGTTAATACGTCCGATTCGCGATGACTTGCAGAATCCAGACTCCAGGAGTCCGGAAGATCGTTCGTACTTCCGCTGCCCTCATCAAAGGACGCATCGAATTCCATTGAACTCACGACTTTCGAGTCTATATATACAGCAAGACAAGGTTCAGACGTCGCTGCAACCTCATGTGCATCATACGCAGTCCCAGACAGCTCGGACTCCAATTCAGAGTAGTTCAGCCTCTGCTCGGGGCAATCCGTTCCATTCACACTGAACCCTGACCTATTATTCTTCATGTCGACACCGCTCTCTTTGCTTGCGCTAGAGATACATGCATCCTGATACCGCTTTCCCGAACCGTCTGTGCACATCGCAGACACATCCTCCTTAGTCCCTGTTGACATTCTGGACCCCCTTGATGGCGAAGCGCCCGGCTCGTCCCTCTGTAACAGCGAGTTACGTTGCCGCGGCGCCTCCGCGGTCGCTTCCTTCTTCGAGCTCGTCGCCAGAGGCAATGTCTGCCGGAGCAGATGTTCCCTCAACTCCACTTCACTCGCAAAACACCGCCTACACCCACTGTGTTGCAATGGACAAACAACCTCAACAAGCTTCACAAACGAGAAAATCTCCTGAAAACGGTACTGCGGCCGAAACCTTCTAACCACTTCAACGAAACGAACGAGCTCCGCCGCAGTAGTTATCCGAGGTAATTCCACCTCATACAGATGTGATTTCAACGACTCTTCGTGAGGAAAAGATGTGTGACAGTAGAGACACTGGACAAGATGTCTCTTTGCGGTCGCAACTCTCTCGACTTCGACAGCCCGGATGTGTGACTGAAGGCCAGACTTACTCGGAAAGGACGATAGGCAAAACGCACACGTATAGTTAGAGCCAATGACAGAAGGTGGTTCGGATATGGAGAGAATTCGTACGATCTCTTCCGAAAACCTGAATAGAAGGCCAGGCTTCCGTAAGTTTCTGTTTGGCACGCCCTGCAATTCACCGTTAACCAGGTGCTTCAGCAGCCCTTCTGCTGACTGATAGTTCCGATAGCAGTAGATACACTGCAAACCGTCGTTCTGTTCAACCGGAGCGGCAATGTGCTGTTTGGAAGCCGGTGAAGCCGGTGAAGGTGGTGACGGTGGTGACGGTGGTGAAGGCGAGGAGGGGGGTGAGGGGGGTGAGGGGGGTGAGGAGGGTGAGGGGGGTGTCCGTGCAGCTGTAGCTGTAAGCGTCGAGCCTGAGGGAATTGTTCGCGATATGAAGGCTCGAGGTGGTGCAGGGCGGGGAGTCACGGGAGGAATCCCATGATTACCATGGTTCGTTCTGAGATGTCGAGTTATTGGTGGCCGCTGAGCTTGTGGTGTACTCGCAGACTGGTGCTTCGTGCTCTTCCGTGCCATTTCAACACCTCGGTCGCCTTCTTCTGCAACCCGCTTCAAACTCTGCGACGATTTCGAAGTCCGCACAGCATCATTACTCTCGGACTCCCGAGGAACTTCAACAGGGACTGTCACGGTCCTCGATGGTGCCGGCGCCTCCTCTGGCCTCCACTTGCCTTCGTAGGCTCTCCTGTACAGTGCAGCATCCGCACTCGTCCTCAGCTTGCTTCTCTCGTCCTTCTTCAGGTGTTTGCGTAGCTTATCATCGCGTTTAAAAACATCGTCGCAAAACGGGCAATGGAACTTGACCACAACCTTCGTCGTCTTCGGCATCGTGAAGGTTAACCCGAAACTTGTAGAGGTGGCGAATTAATCAGACCGTGTCGGACAAGTCGGAACGAGCTGAAGTATTATGGATTTCTTTTGGATGTCAGAGCCTGATCAGCAGGCAACGTCGATTGCCATGAGCGTATGGTGCGGATCAGGTTCTGCTGCGTGTAACGAAGATAACGCTATTTCCGTTTCGGTATTCCCCATGGCCGGTGCTTGGGTTAGTCAAGCGTAGGGATAAGCGGTATTTAGGACAGTACAGTACGTGTACGCATGCTTGGGGACGAGGAGCGTCGAGACAGCTGTCAACGAAAATACTATTGACCAGCTACTGTTCTCTGCCACGCTATAGTACCGACACCTCTGAGAAATACATTCGTTGTCAGTGACAGCCCAAATATGATACATCACTTGAACATAACAATATAGCATCGCACAACAACCATTCCTTTCTCATCCTGAAATCCGCTTACCCGCGCTTTGCAGCGTTAGCCAACGTCGGACAGGCTTTGTCCCACCACCATTTCTTGAGTTTTTCTCCGTTAAATCCAGTGTGCCTCCCTACATGGACCCAGGGTGTATTGTCCCGGATTGCATTGCCAATCCTGAGTGTGTCACCCTCACTGAACGACGGACTGCCCTCGCGGTTTGGAAGAGTAGTAGTATTCTGGTTGCGGCGCTTTTTGTTCGGCAGCGGTACAGTACTCTCGGGCTGAGGCTTCTTATTCGCCGGTACAACCCTAACCCTCTTCTTTGTGTCATCCGGCCTTTCTTGCGTTGCCGTGGCCGGTTTCTCATCGTCGCTGCTGTCGATGATGATCTCCTGCTGGGTGATGCGAGGAGGCAAGATATGCTCGGACTCGGCCTCTGCAGACGGCTCTTGCCTGTTGAAGAGGCGCTGTACGAAACTCGTGTCAGCATATGTGCAGATGCTGGACAGATAATAAGGCCAACGGCCTTACCGTGTCTTCCCCGGGCAACGGAACCTTACGCATCAGATGAACGTCGGTCTCCTTCTTCACTTCTGCCTATATCATCGATTAGTACGATAGTGACTCCTGTAAGCCTTTACCGAACAAACCTCGCCCATCTCACTCTGAAACCCAGAAGGTGCATCCGCCTCCATCCTCCTCCTCTTCGCGTTCTCAATATTCTTTTTCAATAGCTTGGCCATCCTTGCTCTCTCATCCTCCGTAAAGCGAGCTTCAGGTAGCCTTTTGATCTCCTGGTGTCTCGCTGCATTTTCAATCTTCCTCTCGCTGATAATTAAAGCCTGGGATGGAGTGATGTAGACCACCCAACTTTCCGGGATAGAGTTAGGCGCTGACGACATCGACTTTGACGTTTTACGTCCCCTATTCTGGACAGGTGACGCGTTCTTGCTCGCTAACTCTCTGATTCTCTCCCTCCTCTCCTCGTCATTCTTCGCAGTCTTGTTGATCTCGTTGAGCTCCTCTTCCACGCTTTTAACCCGCTTTTCGCGACCACCAACCCCACCGCTGATTTCAGCCGACCCGGACAGCGACTCGGCGCACAACGTACTCGCCGCCGCCCTCTCCTTCCTTTCCCTCTCCCTCGCTACTATAAATGCATTCAAAGCAGCACACTTCTGGTTACGCGACAAGTCGTTATTCTCCAAAATAACGTTTTTCCTCTCCTCGGAACTGGGCTTGCTAGGAATAAGTGGCAGGTGGGTGGGCGCCGGTAGCTTGCCCGGCCTCAAGGCTGTACAACGTGTCGCAATCGGGCTGATCGGCGGCGAGGGAAGTGTGGGAGGCGGCGTCACGACATGAGTAATGGCTTTCTCAGAACCAACAATGAGCTCATCCTCCTCCTTCTCATCTTCAACAATCTCCTCGACTTCCTCCACGACAACGTTCTCACGGATGCCCTCCACGACTTTCCCGTCTTTGCCTTTCATTTGACTAATCACTGTAACCTTCGTGGCGGTAGTCTCTTTGACGGCTTCAACTTCATCGTCGGTTTTACTTTCCTCATCAGAGCTGCCATAATATACAAGCCCATTGTTCATCGACGGAATCTTAGTCTCCTTGGAGTCTTTCACAACCTGCTCCATGGCCAAATTCATGTCGTTCATGAATCCAACGGTGCTGTCATCCTGCTGAAACCAGCTTTCACGTCAGCGCTGTCAAGGTTCCCACGGGTGACGGAAGCGCTTACAGTTGAAGCAGCTGCGCGGTGATCTTGCGATGCCATTGCGGTTACCCTGCAGTTACTCAGAAAAAGGAATGATCGTACGCTGAGTGCGATGTCAGGTTTACGGCGGTTTAGTTGATCTGTAATAGGTACACGTGCAGTGGGTGCGACCCGGTGCCGTGAAAACCGGACCGGTTGGAGGACAAATGTGCCGTGCGTTAAGTGTGACTTAACGTAAGTGTGACTGATACGTGTGCCACTATCCGAGCCCAGGCGCAGTTGATCGCCTGCTGGAAACGTATTTCGAAGTCGCGATCGCACCAGCGCTTTGCCATCTGCCCGCAACTTTTTTCCACAACGGTGGGCCTGGCATCAATCCTCAAAGCACCCAAACTTTGAGATCAGTACTCAATGACATGGCTTAACATTATCTATTTTGGTTGAAGGGGAGAGAAGCTACTTGTGCTCTTCCTGCTGCCGCAACTGAAACGACGAAAGAGTGTCTCTCGATGCGCAGTGGACCGCAAAGCAGAACGTCGACAACGAATTGCAAGACAAGATTGGGCCAAACGTGATGCGAACGGTGTTCGAACAGGATGATATAAGGTGAGTATCTACTAAATACGAATCGTATGGTGTAACTTTCAAGCTGGACGATATTCACAACGGCGGTGTACTTATCGAAAGGCGGATGAGGACTGATCGCAGCCGTACGATCGGTTGTGAAGCCACGTCATCGATTACCACGACTCCGTATCGAAGGCCATCCAAAGTATAGTATGTCACGCACGTGCACCCTTTCGACTACCTCTCCCCTCCCGGAACCCATCCTCTCACACGGGCATCTGAAGCCAAGATGTCCCCTGAAGAACCCACCTGGAAAATGCCTCGATCCCTGTTTCATCTCCTAGCCCAAAGCTTCTACCTGTCGCTTAAGTCTGACAGGCGCTTAATTATCCGTGGATCCGTGTGTAGGGGTTAGGGTTGTACGAGCCCTAGGGCGTGCGATGGTTGGACTCACGGCTCTTATGACTTCGATCGTTACGCAGTCCCAATTGCAAACCCATAACCATCCTTCTTTCCCTCTCCCAATCGGAACCTCCCTGCCTACTCCCGTCTTCCACTTCGAGCTCCTCCTACCTCCCCCGCGGCCGACTCCCACCCCGCGGCCGCGCGTACGCGTCTCGGGAATAAATGCCGACCCACATGAGCACAATTGGCGCCAACATTAAAATCCCTCACCCGCACAAAACACCTAACACCACACCTGCAACGCCCAACTGTAGCTGGACTGGAGAGGAGTGGAGAAGTGAAATGGCTCGTCGTACATCTCGGAAGGGAAGAGGGGGAAACGGGTAAAGCTACGCTTATCTCTCGTACGAAGGGTTCGGTCGTAGGGAGAAGGGAGGAGCGAGGCAACTGCCGGCAGCTGTAGTCAATCCCCCAAGAAATCTTACCGTCAGATCTCGATCCTCCAACTACACGTCTCAAAAATCCTACGCGACCCTACGTAGGTACGCGAGCACCATGATCACAGCTCTCGTACGCTCGATCCTACGGTAGGACATGGGCTGCTCATCGTGATGGAGCCAGATTCTTAAGGTGAACGCGTGGGTTAGAAGATACATGTAGACCCTGATCAGTGGGTACGTAACTCTACAGCGCACCGCGTACTCGGTCGTAGGTTTCCAATCATCGCAGTACCGACTACAGGCATACACAGTACGATGATGGAGCGTACGATGGCTACAGCGCTGCGCAGCCGGGTGAATCGATGACTATGCGTACGGTCAGCCACAGTTGAATTGAGGACGACAGAAACCCGCACCTCGGAGGGAAATTGGCTCATGTGAGCCGTTTCGGTCCCTCTCCATCTTGCCCTTAGTATTCACGAACGTGCTCAATTGCGCTCGCGTAAGTCGGTCTAACTCTCAATCTGCTACAGCCATCCGTTTCGACCTCCTCTGCTTGACCAATGACCCAGCTGCGGTCGCCAAAACACTCACCTTCCATCCTGCAGTCTCGGCACCCTAATGATACCTACTCTTTCCTCACCCACGGTCATTGCAATTGCCGAGCCGTACTGGATGCACGTGAGCCGAATCTGTCTCTCTCGAGCTCGCGCGTCTACCACGAAAATGCCTCAGCGTGCATGCGCATGCATACCAGCAGCTGCAGTGTACGAAGTCTCCAAAGTGACAACGGGAAGCCTAAGGTCATGGGTGTCAAAATGTGATGACCTGCGTTCAATTGAAGCTTCAGGTTACGGCCCGCGCCGCGGAAAGTGTGGACAAGAGGATGGAATTCGTAAGCAGGATTGCGTTTTTTGGATGTCAGGCCGCGATAAGGAGATCCGCGATCGCGGTGACGTGTACGTGCGCTACTCTCGGGCCCGGACTCTCTCCCCCACAAGGCAGATGCCGCGGTGTTCTAGCGTCCGACGCTCGAGCTCTCCGTCTCTCGACGAGAGCGAAAGGGTGAGAATAGCAGAGGCAGGAGACGACTAACGAAGCACGGGCATCAAACACCTCATCTAGCATACACCCGTGTATCTTTGCGTGCGATTGACCAATTGTTCCCTCGCACTCACTGGCTCGCCTCAAACCCGCAGCTCGTTTCATTTGCGCCCTTCGCTTGAGTCTTTTTCTCTCCTCGCTTTACTGCATCCAGTTAGCATGCGCGATTTACAGTCCACGTTCGACGCGCACACCCTGCATCCCCCCACGGCCGCCTCGACCCGCCCAAAAAAAAGAAGACGAAGCACCGCGCTGAGCCTCGCTGTATAAAGGGGGCCAGCACTGCCTCCCTGTCTCTCGTCTCGCTCGAAGATCACACACCCAAGCCTCCACCTCCCTTCCAAATCAACCGACCACCAAGAATGGCAACTGGAATCAAGGCTGCTGAGGATAACGGCGCGTTCCGTTCTTACGTCGACAATTATGCCCATATTACCGACTACAACGAGCGTCGTCGTCTCGCTCTTGCTGAGGTCGATCAGGCCAAGTTTGGGTGGTGGCATGTGAGGGCCGTGCTTGTTGCCGGTATTGGATTCTTTACTGATTCCTATGATATTTTCGCTATTAACATTGCTTCGGTATGTGCTTCTGCTTCGTGCTCGGGTGTATGCTCCGTTTTGAGCGCATACATCCCGCATATATCCCCGACAAGTATGCTAATGATGGGATTAGGTCATGTTGGGATACGTCTTCTGGGATTCCGGTAAGATCCCCACCAGCGCCGACACCGCCATCAAGGCCGCTACCTCCGGTGGTACAGTCATCGGCCAGCTCGGCTTCGGTTACCTCGCCGACGTCGTCGGTCGTAAGAAGATGTACGGTCTCGAACTCATCGTCATCCTCGTCGCAACACTCGGTCAAGCGCTCTCCGCTCACTCCCCCGCCGTCCACATCGTCGGTCTCATGATCTTCTGGCGTACCATCATGGGTGTCGGAATCGGTGGTGACTACCCCCTTTCTTCCGTCATCACCTCCGAATTCGCGACGACCAAGTGGCGTGGATTCATGATGAATGCTGTTTTTGCCATGCAGGGTTTTGGACAGTTGGCTGCTGCGGTCGTTGCGTTGGTTTGTGTGCAGGCCTGGAAGGGATCTTTGGAGACGGCGCAGGCTGCCAACCAGTGTGATGCCAACTGCAAGCTTGCTATTGACAAGATGTGGCGTGTCATCATCGGTTTCGGTGCTATTCCCGGAGCCATCGCTCTCTACTACCGTCTTACCATCCCCGAGTCCCCCCGTTACACTCTCGAGATCGAGCAGAACACCGCGTCCGGTGTCAATGATGCCAAGGCCTTCCTCCAGAACAAGGCCAAGCTTCCCGGAACCAACGATTTGGCCGAGCAGGCTGAGAACGCTGCTGCCCGCGAGCAGCTCGCCGCCACCGGTGACCTCCCCCCCAAGGCTTCCTTCCGCGACTTCTGGGCCATCTTCGGTACCTGGAGATACGGAAAGTACTTGCTCGGTACTGCCGGATGTTGGTTCACCCTCGACGTTGCTTACTACGGTCTCGGTCTCAACAACTCCATCATTCTCCAGGCCATCGGATACGCTTCCGAATCCAACGTCTACAAGAACTTGTACAACGTCGCGCTCGGTAACGTCATCATCACCTGCGCTGGTGCCATCCCGGGATACTGGGTCTCCGCCGCCACCATCGACACCGTTGGCCGTAAACCCGTCCAAATGATGGGTTTCGTGTTGTTGACCGTCATCTTCATCGTCATCGGTTTCGCATACCACAAGCTCTCCTCGAACGCGCTCTTCGCACTCTACGTCCTCGCCCAATTCTTCTTCAACTTTGGCCCCAACTCCACTACGTTCATCGTCCCCGGCGAACTCTTTCCGACCCGTTACCGCTCAACCGCCCACGGCATCTCCGCCGCATCCGGCAAAATGGGCGCAATCCTCGCACAAGTACTCATCGGCCCCCTCCGTAACCGTGGTGGAACGAACAAGTGGCTCAACCACGTCATGCAGATTTTCGCCCTGTTCATGTTCCTCGGGATCCCGCTTACTCTCCTCGTGCCTGAGACGAAGAGGAAGACGCTCGAGGAGGTTATTGAGGAGTATTTCCCTACGATTCCGGGAGCGAGGATGGGAGGACCCATTAAGAGGGATGATGGGTCCGTTGAGATGGTTGAGGCGGAGGGGTCTTCTGCACGTGATGTTAAGGGGTTCAATGCTGTTTAAAAAGGATGGATGGAGAATGGAGAAGGGAGTTTATAGATACCCTGGTTTTACCTAATTTTGAGAGAGGGGAGGTGTCAGTTGTGGCTATTCGTTAGAAGATTAGCATTGATGTTTACTACATATCACCTTCGCCGCCCTCAACTTGACTGATCTGAATGATTGACGGGCCGTGCTCCAAAATTACTTGAAAAGTAAAATAACATAAGTCTAGGTCTGTCGGTAAGCTCGGGAACGACGTCCGCAGGTGCTCGCCGTACTCCTTGGTTGGCGTACAGATGACCGGCGACGTAGGATGTAGGCACGGAATGTGTTGAAGAAAGAGCACTGTTCCTATACTCCTGCTAATGAATGATAACCCGAAACGCCTAGCCCTAGAGCCTGCAGCCATTCTGTACCGATGAATTTGGTTTCACTTGACCCTCCAAACCTCTACCTCCAAAACCTCAAACCTCCCCTCCCTCCTCCCACCCTCTCCCTCTCCTACTACCTTCCCTCCAAGCACCTCATTCCCAAAACTCGGACACCACTCGCTTCGACCCGTCTCCAACCCCTCCCATCCCAGCCATAACCCATTACGGCCCTCACCGCCTCCGAAAGCAATATAGGATGGTGCGAAGAGTGCGTGGTATGAGTTTGCGTTTGTCGATGGCCAGGCTTCGAAGGTGGAGGGGTTGGAGCGGTAGAGGAAGGATTCGCCAGAGGCTGTGTATGTCGGTCCGATACGCGGTGTCGCGTCGACGAAAGCTCCGAAAAGCCCTTCCTCGGTGCCTCCGGCTCGAACTACGAAGACCCACCCAGCTCTCGAATGCTCACCCGCCTCACAATTCCTGTATAAGGTACCTAAGCTGGCGCCGTCCCGCTCTAAGCTGTATAGGAGATTCCAGTCGTCTGCGATTTGTAGGCGGGGTGGGAGGCGTTCGCGGATGGATTCGGCGGTTGTGAGGTCGAGGGTTGAGTGCGGGGGGAGGTGGAGGGGGGAGAGGGGGGGATCTTCGTAGGTGTGGGTGGGAAAGGATGGAATGAGCGCGCGGTTGTAGGTGCGGGAGGGCTGCGGAGGGGTTGGAGATGGTGGTCCTTGGGTAAATTTTGGTGGTGAGGCAGAGAGATTGGCGAACAAGTCCGGCGTAGGTAGTGAAAACGACCGGGACAGCGAACGGATGTGGCCCATGATCTTAGCGCCAGTACTGGCTGGCGTGAACACCGGCGGTTCCGTGACCGCGGTTTCGAGTTTCTGCTCCTCCCTCTCCCTATCCTTCCCATTCCCCCTTACCGGCGTCGATGGCTCTCCCGAACTGGTACCACTCCCCATCGCGTTTCCTCTACCAGCAAACGTCCGAAACCGAGTCTTCAACCTCTCCGAACTCGATTCCTCCATATTCGCAGTCGTCATATCTTCGGTTCTTCTCCACGGAATGTCCATCGCCATGGTCCTCGGAACACTTCCTTCTCCTCGTCCTCCTCCCTCTACGAGATCGGTCGTATCCGCCGTGTGCTTCCCGTACTCCGGTTCCCACTCTAACGCACTACCACTCGTCGTCGTAGTCTGGCCCTTCAGCTGTTCCAGTAATAACGATCCCTTCCTCACGAGTACGGTACTGGACGATCGCCGATGCTTGACGGGTCGTTCAGAGCCGGGTTGATCCACTGAAGGGGGGAGTGGATCTGGGAGGTTGTCGAGGGGGCCGGAGAGGTCGATTAACGTTGGTGAAGCCGTGTTGAATGATTTCTATCGGAACGGCTGTTTGATGTTGGAGCCCTATTGTCCAGGGACTTTGTTGATGATTATGGTGTTTTGGGTCGTATATGAGAGCTACATGATGATGTCGCGCAAGCCGCACGCCGGTGCACCCCATGGCCAAGTGATGGTGGTATTTTGGCGATGTGTGGTTCTTCTACGCGGATTTACAATGTAGCGAGTTCGCTGAAATGACGTTTGAATGGACGTTTATCTTAAATCTGACAACCCTCGTAGCTAAAGTAATGGAAATGTAACGCCTCGATTTATACCTCTGCCGTGCTCACCTGGCAATATTTCCGCGTTGGCCCTTCATTGACCCCTCTTCTGTCTAAAGAACCCTCCAACAGCCCTCACAACCTCCCCAAACCCCTTCTCCTCAACAACAACCTTCTCTCTAATCCACCCCGGCAACTTCCCCCTAATCCTTTCCGTCCCATACCGTCTATCCAACAACACGATACTCGCATAATCCCCCCGATGCCGAATCGCACGTCCAATACCCTGATTCACGGCTCGCATACACGCGTTTTCGTAGAACTCTTGACTGGCTGCTTTTGCTTCGGATGGGGTACCACCGGCGGAGATGACGAGGTGTTCGACGTGTTCGCGTTTTGCTTTCCATTCCGGGGAGGAGGGGTTTGGGAAGGGGAGGCCGACCATGATTACCGCGCGGCCGAGTTTGTCGGAGAAGTTGATACCTTCAGACATCTTCCCACCCACGACTGAGAGGAGGATTGCGCCGGTCGAGTTTGCTGCGTCGATTGCTTGTGCGTAGTCTCGTAGTGTGTCTTCGACATTACTGCCCTCCTTTGACTCCCGGAAAATCTGTAAGAACGTCAATGTCAGTGAGTACTCTTACGTCACCCCTAAATTCGGAGTTCTTACCTTCTTCTTCTGCCCCAACCTCTCCCAAAGACTCATCCCCACCCCACCCGCACCCTTCCCAAGCACCTTCCACATCCCTACAACACTCTCTAAATACCCATAACTTGCAAAGAAAACAACAACCCCATCCGGCACAACCCCACACAAATTAACAACCGCCCGCCCCAACTCCTCAACAACCTCCCTTCTCCCCCTCTTCTCCCACGTAAACTCCAACACCCCTCCACTCGGCCCACGGCTCACTGCATACCCCAACAAATTTTCAGGCGGGATAACGTGGCCGCAGGAGAATGTTCGGATTCGGGTGGGGGGGAGGTAGGGGAAGAGGTGTTGAACGTAGTCGGACATTGGTTCCATTGTTCCGCCGGCGAGGATCACGGCGCGGGCTGAGGTTACGATGGAGCGGAAATGGTGGGCGGGGTCGAGGAGCATATATCTCAACCCCATGTCGACCTCCTGCTGCTCCTCTTCCGCTTTCTTGTCTTCCCCGGTTGCTGAAGAGGTAGATGAGGTTGTGGGACCGTAGAATATCCGACCTTCACTCGACGGATTCGTCAACACCATCAAAAACGCCTGTAACTGCATCAAAACCGGCATCCCCCCTCCTCCTCCACTCTTCACCTCTCCAACTTTGCCACCTGCGCCGTTCTCCTTCATCTTCTTCTTCGCCTCATCCCTCTCCAACTTCTCCACATACGAATCAACCTTCCTTGCCAACTGACTCACCTTGAAATACTTCTCCAATTTATAAACGTTGACCATATCCGCTCCACCCCTTCCTCCCAACAACTCCGCCGCACTAACTTCGCCCTCCTCAACCACCCCACCCTTCACTTTCTTCCCCTCCAGAAAGGCTTCCAGCCCCGCGATGAGTCGTAGAGTTTGTTTGATATAAACCTTATTCCCACCCTTCAACCGCCCCGAAAACCTCCCCACATAAACCTCCAACCCCCTCCGTGCCCGCCTCAACGCCCTCTCCCCAATCTCAGCAGCATAAACCCCACTAATCGCATCCAACACATTATGCGCCTCATCAACAACAACCACATGGCCTTTTACGTCAACCCCCAAACTCTCTCTCGCATTTTTGTTGAGAAGGAGTGGGTAGGGAAGTGTCACGACCTCCGCAGCCCTAATCGCGCCTCGACTAGCGTAATACCCACAAACACCCATCTCCCGTCCCATCCGGCCCAAATCTTCGATATCTCTTATCTCGGCAAGGACTTCATCTCTGAATTCGCGTGCGGGGCGGAGGAGCTCGGGATGGGCGGGGGAAGGGAGGTACGGACACCGTTTCGTGGGGGGTGTTGTGGGTTTTTGGAGGTCGAGGCAGGCGGCGGTTATTAGGGGGGTTGAGCGGAGGGAGCGGACGGGGGGGTTGATGCAGAGGTGTTGGCGGGAGGCGAGGGGGAGGTGTTTGATAAGGCCTTCCTCGACGGCTGGAGAAGTGGAGGAGGAGGGTGTTAGCGAGGTGTCGAGAGTTATTGGGGGAAACTTGACGCGGCGGAGTTCGTTGATGAATTGGGTTAGTTGGGAGTGTGTTCTTGATGCGTAGAAGATCTGTACGAAAGTAATTAGCCCAGCAATCATTGTGAGGAATTCGGCAATACTTCCGCACCTTTGTTTCTTCGGGCATTTCTTCGTCGTCGTCGTCGTCGGCTTCGTCTGCCTTGGCGGCTGGGTGTCCCATTTTGCGGAGGAGGTCCATGACTTCTTTAGAGAACGGTTCGCCTTCTTTCACTGTTGCTCTCTTCCCCGGACCTTCGTCTTGTTCGCTCTGATAATCATCGACGACGTATTCATCTTCCTCTTCTTCCCGCTCCTTGAGCTTCTTGGCCGTTGGTCGTATCCGCTTGATGTTATGCGATGAGCGTGCGTTCAGTAGTGTCGACTGTGCTTCCTTCTCCGCCCGTCTCTCTCGTGCTCGTATCCGTAAAAGTCGTGCGTCGAGATCAGCAGTCCTCTGCGCAGCAACCCTAATCCTCTCCTTCCTCTCATGTTCCATCACCCAATCCGGTTCGTCCTTCGCTTCCCCATCCTCGTCCGCTGCTTCTACTTCACCCTCGACAACCTCCCTCCTCTTCTTTTCCCTCAACCACGTCAACGCCCCACATATCAAACTCAAACTCTTCCCCGTTCCCGTCGGACTTTCGAAGATTCCGATACATTTGTCGTCGATGGTGGTGTAGAGGGCGCGCATGAAGTCCGTTTGGATTTGGTAAGGGGTGTAGGGGTGGTGGAAGTCGGTGGGGGGTAGGTGGTCGGGCATGGTTGGTGCTGTACTGGTGAAGAAGAGAATGACGAACGTATGGTGGATACGATGATTAGGGGGATTCATTGGGTTTGTTGAAAATAAGGTTTGGCTTGTGCAAGGGTTCTGCATGGTCCTGCTCGACCCCACACTCGGATCACCACCAAACCAATTGCATTGGTCAATCGACCATCACGGTCTGCGGAGTTCCATTCAAGGCATTTTGAGGATGCCTGTCTTCCTACGGAGAGTTCACGTTAACACAGACAACAGGTCCTCACTCCCTTTCGCTTCCGTATCTCCGGACACCCACCCTCGTTTCGCTCATACCTTCGCACTCACCCTTCGCTTTACATTCCAACCCGCACTCAGCTCTGATTCTTTGTATGGCCTCCTCAGTCAACGATTTCATCGCGGGCTACCTCTCCGGAATCGCAGGGCTACTCATCGGCTCGCCCCTCGACATCATCAAAGTACGTCTCCAAGCATCCACCATCTCTCAACACGCCCGTCCGCCAACGAACGCGGAACCACCACCAGCATTTACCACGACCAGCTCGTACTTCCGGGGCGTACTGGCCCCACTGGTCGGCTTGGGCGCACTAAACGCCCTCTTATTCGTCAGCTACGGCAAAACACTCGAGATCCTCTCCCCTCCACCAGGAGCATCAGCAGGAACCGAGTTTGGAATCGAGAGGCAGCTTGCTGTTTACTCTGCCGGCGCGGTAGCCGGGTTGGCGTGTTGTCTCATCACAACACCCACCGAACTAATAAAATGCCGTACCCAAGTCCACTCCAACAACTCCCTCTTGATCGCCCGCACAATCTGGCGAACGGAAGGTCTCCGCGGTTTATACCGAGGCGTCTGTATAACCTCGCTCCGCGACGCCATAGGCTACGGATTCTACTTTTGGGGTTACGAAGGGCTCAAAGTAGTGCTGCTGGAGGGAACGGGGGATGATGAAGTTAGTAGGGTTTTGGTGGCGGGGGGGTTGGCGGGGTGTTTGAGTTGGGCTTCGATATTGCCGTTGGATGTTGTAAAGACGCGCGTACAAACAGTCTCTTACGCTACACGTTCTTCATCCTCGTCACGAACACCGCTGCTACGAGAGCGGCCAGCAGAGAGAGTATCGGCGTGGCAGATTGCCAAGGCGGCATTGAAGCAAGAAGGAGCCACTGTCTTTTTCCGGGGGATGGGTGTTACCATGGTGAGGGCGTTTATTGTTAACGGGGTTACGTTTGGGGTTTACGAGTGGGCTTCTGGAAGTCTGGTGGGGTGACAGGGCACTAATCTAGAAGTCAGGAACCACAGACGCCGCCCCCTGCAATTTTCGCCCCCTTGTGATCCGAGCTCGTATAAAGTTCCGTGCCTGTCCTGAGCTTGCCCTTTGACCTGCCTTGTCCCTCGAAATATCCCAGGAGAGAGAGACGCGACTGCGATCGACACCGACCCTCTTCACAGCAATGTCCGCACCGACGAACGCGACAGAGTCCCCCGCCCCCGCCCCCGCCGCCCCCGCCGCGACCGTCACGACCGGACAGCAACCACAGCCCGTCGCGGTCGCCGTTGCGGTTGCGTCGCCTGCTACTGCTCCTGCAACGCCTCAGCCTGTCGCGCAGCCGTTCAACGCCGTTCAATACGCTGCTGCGCACGCTCAGGCTTTGCCCGTTGGCGCGTCGCCTGGTGCTCAGTATCTACCCGCTCAAGTCCAAGTCCAGCAACCGACCGTGATCCCGACCCAGAAGAAGTCGAAACCGCAAAAGATCTTTCAGTGTACTGGGTTTGGCGACTGTCGGATGGTTTTTACGCGTTCTGAGCACTTGTTGCGTCACATTCGGTTCGTCCACCCCCGTCCTCCGCGCCCACCCCCAATTACTAACATATTATGTTTTGTAGTAAGCACACCGGTGAACGCCCTTTCAAATGCCACTGCGGCCGCACCTTCTCCCGCCTCGACAACCTCCGCCAACACGCCCAAACCGTCCACGCAAACGAACTCATGACCCAACACACCCTCGCAGACCCCTACTCCTCCACCGCCACGACATCCGTCCTCCACCCCGCGTTCTTACCACCCGGGATGACTCTCCCCGGCGGCCTGGTCCCAGTTCCGATGCAGATGAACGGACAACTCCCACCGGGCGCAATCCCGCTCGATCCCAATTTTGCGGCACAAGCACAAGCACAAGCACAAGCGGCGGCTGGTGGCAAGTGGACAAAACCAAAATCCAAAAACCAAGCCCCCGTCCTCCTCCAACACCCCTACGCCACATCCCCCATCGGCCCAGACGGGCAACCCCTCCCCGTGTCGCCCACTCAATACATCCAGTACGCACACTCGCCCTATCCAGTCGGCGGGAAACCTATGGCCGTCCCCGTCGGATACGGCGTCCCGGGCTCGCCGGGACAGTGGAGAGCTGCGGCTGCTGCGGCGGCGGGTGGGATGGGGTTGCCGCTTGGGATGGGTGGGGGGCAAGGGTATGCGCTGCCGCCTGGCTATCCGTATGTCATGGCGACGACGCCGGAGATGACTGCTGCCGCTGCTGAGGGCGGCGGCGTGGAAAAGAAGGGTGATGACGCCACTACTCCCGCCGGCGCCGCCGCCGCCGTCGCTGGGGAAGAAGTCAAGAAGGACGAGACTGCTGCCTCACCGGTTGTCGCCGGCGGCGGTGATGCGGAGACAACGGACGAACCACCCGTCGGGTCAGCTGCTGCTGCTGCTGCTGCTGCTGCTGCGGCAGGTGGGATGCAAGGTCTTGAGGCATTGATGGAGGCTGCGGACGCGGCGAGGGTAAACGAAAAAGATAAGGACGCGAGTGGTGAGGATGCTGCTGTCGCGGCTGCTATTGCTGCTGCGGCTGCTGCTGCTGCGATTGGGTTGCCGCAGCATGTGCCTGCCCCTGTGGAGCAGGAGGAGCCGGTGGTGGAGCAGGTTGTTGTTGCGCATGCTGAGCCTGTTGGGCAGGAGGAGGGTGAGGTTGGAGAGAATGTTGGTGAGGCTGCGGCTGCGGCGGTTGCTGTTGAGGAGACTGCTTAGGCGAGGAGGATGAAAGGTGTAGATTGATTTGGTACGAAGTATGGGCGGGCGTTCTTTCACGTTTTGCAAAGTTGTCTTGTGTGTGTGTGTGTTTGTGATTGTGATTGTATGGAATGGCAACGGGATGGGAATAGCTACTGCTATCGGCCTGATCGTAGATGACAGTCTTTAAGCTTGGGGCCATTTTGCGGTTTAGGTTATGATTGCTCGATTGTGATTTTTGTGAGCTCTTGTTTAATGGTATTTTTTGTCTCTTGCTGCAATAAATGCCAATGATGATTTGGATTAAATTCGAGATGTGCAGCAGCTGCTCGGTCGATGACTTCAGCGTGCGGTGGCTCGAGAGCTTCCCAAAATCCTCGACAAACGACGACAAGCAAGCAATCAGGACTGACTACGCTTGCCATTGATTGACACGAGAGAACGAGGAGTTATGTCAAATGCCAAGTTGATTATCGCGCCGTACCCACCACAGGACATCATCATGCAACTTCCCCCCTCAACATGGTCTGCAGCACTCTCGACATGGTCCACGCTCCTGGCATTTATCCTTTCGCTTCCCTCGGGCGATTTCGTGACCGTTGTGAGTGATGAGGGGAGTGGGTTGTTGGAGTTCGTCGGGACGTACCTCAAGTTCTCGGGTGGGGATGAGCTGGATCGGAAGGTCTTTTTGGTGTTGCATCGGGTGTTGACGATGGAGAGGGTTCAAGATCGGTGGGTTGATGTCGAATCGGTCCTTATTCCCTATACGAGGACATATGGGAGGAAGAGTAGGGAGGGTGTGAGGGAGGTTTTGCAAAAGTTGAGTAGGAATGAGAGGGTTGCGAAGGGGCTTCCGGCGTTTCGGGATGGGTTGTTGGAGAAGGTTGGGAAGGGGGATGGGGAGGCGGAGAAGTTGTTGCAGGGGTTGAGTGTGTTTGTTGGGTTGGCGCCGGAGACTCTGGCGAGAGTGTTCTTGTTGAGCGCAAGGGAGATTGTGGATAGGTGTGACGAGGTGTATGCCTCGGCTTCCACGGGCCTGAAGACGGAGATCTTGCGAGTGGTGTATCAGATCTCTGCACGAGCATTGCCCGAGGACGGACAGAGCAAGGAAGCCTATTTTGAGGCTATGTTCGCATTGATGGACAAGAACGACTCGAAGTTACTAGCCGAACTGGCGGAGAAGACGGGATTGCTGAGAAAACTGAAACCAATGGTCGGGGGTGAAGATGCCAGAATCGACATGTTGGTCATGAAACTCGAGTCACTACGGCCCGCTCATCCTGCACCAGGTGGTAAAGGTAAAGGCATGGCACGGGATACTGGCCAAGCAGCTGAGCTCGCCGCGGAGAAATTAACCAAGATCGCAGAGGTCCGCGACCTGCTGCCAGACCTGGGTGAGGGCTTTGTGGAAGCATGTATGGGTCGCTATGAGTGGAATTCGGAGGAGGTCATCGGCCGATTACTGGAGGATAACATCGCACCGGACTTGAAGGACATGGATAGACATGCGAAGTCCTACCTCGCCGCAGACACCAAGCAACCCGCACCACCACCACCATCATCCGCGCCAGCAGCAACCTACGAGCGAAGAAACATCTTTGACGACCAGGAGATCAAACGCGAGAAGCTCCACCTCGGAAAACAAGACCGCGGAACAGCAGACCAAATGCTAAACGATAAATCCGGCATCGACAAAGCCGGCATTCTAGCCCGCGTCGCCGCTATCGACATGGACGACGACGAACGCGACGACACCTACGACGGCATCAACGACCCAAACGTCGTCGACGACGACGCATTCGTCCGCGAGGACACCAACGCAGACGTCTCCGGTCCCACCGGCCCCAACATCGACGAACTCCTCTTCCTCGAATACGGCACTAACCCATCCCTCTTCGAGCGTGATAACGCAACTCGAAAGAGTAAGGCTCGGGCAGAGTTGAGAGGTAGGACGGGGTTGAGCGATGAGCAAATTGAAGGGTGGAAGAGTATGTTGGAACGGGATCCGAGGCGAAGAAAGGCACTGGAAGGGAGGTATGAGTTTAGGGGAAATCAGGCCACTTTACCGTCTACTTCGTACCGACAGCCGAAGCCTACATCTGAGGATGAAGGGGGGGCGACTTTCAATGGTGGTGGACGTGGACGTGGGAGAGGACGGGGAGGCAATGGCGGTGGCGGGGGTAGAGGCCGGGGACGAGGTGGAGGTGGCGGGTCTGGCAGGGGAGGTGCGCAGGGTGGTGGTGAGGGTGGAAGGCCGGTTAACGTGGCTAGGAAGGAGCAGAACCAGACTAAGCGGAGAGATCAAGATAGGCAGAAAAAGATGGCGAAGGGTGGGCCGCCGCCGTCGTGAGTGTTGTGCATTTGCATGTGGATGATAATGATAGCTTGCATGAAACTCGGCGACAGCCTTCGTTGGACTCCCTACCTAGGATATCAAGCACGACTACCACTTTTCCGATTGCACTGGAGCTATGACATGGGTACATGATTCGCCTTGTGCATACACTGGGCATGACTCTGTAATGATAATTTTGTGAGCAGCGGCTCACCGCAACCTCTGAGGTATGCGGACAGATGTCCGTATCACAGCTGCTCCACTATCGATTTGTGGGTCGGTCCTTATCATACGCGTACGATATCGATTTAAACATACTCCTTCCATCCTCTGTAACTGACGGAACGTTAACGCATGCTGGCTCGCGGGGAGCAGCCGTGGGAATTGCTGGATTTAAAGCAATGGAATGGGTCGTCAAACGATATGTGAATGGGACGAGTGAATACAGGATGAGAGCAAAATCGTCAATTGACATCACCCTCCTGCCCTGGCTACCCTCCCACAGACACCACCATCCACTTCTCACCGCTATCAAAGAACCCAGCACGTATTACACGCATAGGACCCGTGCTGTTCCGAGCCGGTTTGTGGATGGTGCTCTGACTGGACGTACACAATCTCATCTTCATTCCCAATGAAAAGAAAAATAGAAAATATGAAAGATGAAGAAAAAGGTTGGCTTTAGACTGTGACCACAAGTCAGCCAAAAAAATCCCCAATCCGGCTGCATGCTCATATACCTTAAGAGTCATCATCCCCGAATGAGAGAAGAGATGTCATAGGTGAGACACAAAAACCAGATCCGCACTGGACGACAGCAAACGGACCGGTAACCATATGAGGTAGTGAAGAAGCGGGTGCATGCCATACCCCGCCCGCTAAGAAACGGACGACACAGAGTATGGCAATTTGGTAACAAAGACCAACAACAACAAGAAGCAATCGCTTAAGATTGTCCAAAACGTAGTCAAACCTAACAGTCAGGAGAGAAGAGCCGAAAGTCCATTGAGGACGAAGGACCGGCGATGGATGACGACCGTAGGAGGATGGTCGTACTGAGTGAGGACTCGAGGTAGATGATTGACGGTATACGTCTGAGGTCGGCGATATTTGAGGACTCATCCAATTGAAGACCAAGTCGTAGTCGTAGTCATACTATATTCCATCATCATATTCATCGTTTGACTTTGTAGTGCTTGTGTGTGTAGTTGAACGAGGAAACACCCCCCCTTTTATACCGAAGGGGCTCCCCAACGGACTTCAATCCCAACCAGAAACCCGTGAGGTGACGCAATTGTGACGAACAACCACCCTCCCCCCGGCTGTTGCTCTGGATACATATTATGTTGTCGCGGGGCCCGAGCGTCGACGTACCCCTTCCCACTCCTCCCCCTCCCTCAACCCGCTCGAAAAGGGTAAGTAACGAGGTGGATAAATTCCTCGTCCTCGAAAGCATCTCCACTTGAAATCCGATTGCAATCCATACATTTCGAGGGGAGGGACAAGGATCTTGCTCCTGCACCTCGACGGTTAAGAGCGTGTCGAACTCAGCCGCACGTTTCAAGGTCACTCTTGGCAACCGGATCAGTCGGCAGGGAGGTACGACGCTCATCGCGTAACAGTTTGAAGGTATGGAGGGGCGAGGAATGATTCAGGGTAGGTTGTCTAATGGGTGTTTGTGTGTATGACGCTGGGAGACGCTAATGTGGTATACGACATGAACGTGCATGATCCTAATGATGATAATATTCCTTAAACTTTCTTTCCTCATAGCTACATCGTCCATATATCCCAGTCCGCCATCAAGGCTGAACCTCTATCACCAACCTTCTACCAATTTAGAAACGGTACTCCTGCCCAACATTATCCCCACTTCTCCCAATCGTCTCAACCCTAAACCCAATCTTCTTTAACGCCTTCTCATCCAAAATCAACCGTCCATCAAACACGAAAGCAGGTTTTCCCATCCCCTTATAGATCCGCTCATAATCCAAATTCTTGAACTCCTCCCAATCAGTACAAATCACAATCGCATCCGCGCCCTCCGCAGCTTCGTACGCGTCGTGTTTGATACTGACAGTCTTGCGGAGTTCAATCTCATCGTCGACCACACCCGGCTCAGTAAGATCAAGCCAAACCTGGCGATCAGGAACCTTGGGGTCATAGATCGTGATATTCGCCCTCTCCTCCCTAAAATACTTCGCAACAGTAATCGCCGGACTCTCCCTCGTATCCCCCGTATTATTCTTAAACGCAAACCCAAACAGCGTAATCTTCTTATCCGTAAGCGTCGAAAACATAGACGCGACAACACGCTGCGCGAACCTCCGTTTCTGGAAATCGTTCATGTCGAGGACTGATTTCCAGTATGTCGCGACTTCGGGGAGGTGGAGGGAGTGGCAGAGGTAGACCAAGTTACTCAGGTCTTTCTGGAAACAGGAGCCGCCGAACCCGATGGAGGCTTTGAGGAATTTGGAGCCGATACGGGTGTCTAAACCGACTGCATGAGCGACCTCGTCGACATCCGCACCCGTTGCCTCACAAATTGCCGACATGGCATTAATCGACGAAATCCTCTGCGCCAAAAACGCGTTCGCCGCGAGCTTGGAGAGTTCAGACGACCACAACCCCGTCGTGACGACTTTACTCCTATCAACCCAATTGGCATAAACCTCCACCAAGGCCTGCGCAGCCGCATGTCCTTCGGGCGTATCCAAATTTCCAATCAACACACGATCAGGATCATGTAAATCCCGAATCGCACTCCCCTCCGCCAAGAACTCCGGACTGGAAAGAATGTCGAACCGCAACCCAGGCCTCGCGTTCGCTTCGAGGATGTAGCGCATGGAGGAAGCGGTACGACACGGCACAGTCGATTTCTCGACCACGATTTTGTGGGATTGCGCGACAGCCGCAATACGCCTGGTACAAGCCTCGACATACTTCAAATCCGCAGCAAACCCCTTTCCCAAACCCTGCGTCTTGGTAGGCGTGTTAACCGAGACGAAAATCATGTCGGCTTCGATGATGGCTTTATCGATATCGGTCGAGAAGAAGAGGTTTGTGCCGCGGTGGGCTTTGACGATATCTTCCAACCCGGGCTCGTAGATGGGGAGGTCATCCGAGTTCCAGGCTGCGATGCGGTGGGGGTTAACGTCGACGATGGTCACGGTGATATGCGGACATTTCTCGGCGATGACGGTCATGGTTGGGCCACCGACATACCCAGCTCCAATACAGCAGATTTTCTTGACGTGGACTTGCTCGACCATGGTTTGCAATGAGAAGTGATGGAGGAGAAGGGCAAGACGAAGGGGACGGCACGGGTTATATATGCTGGTGTTTCGATTACGATGGACGCGCAGGGCCCTCCTTGCCTCTACCGGCCAACCGCGCTCGTCGCAGGTTAACGCGGCCTCCGCATTCGGCTATAGTGCAACACCAAAACTGCATAACCGTTATGCTTCACCAGCCAGCCTTCTCTCCAGTCGTTCCCTTGGTTATGGAGGAGTGTAGATCATCTGTCATTCCAAGGCCATCCGCAAGTGACAGCGCATCTCTGCCGTTCTAGACACGCCACGCTCTGCTGTTATGTCGTCGAAGAAACAGACCAACACCCCATCTCGGTATGCCTTTCCGTACACTTCATGTCTCTCGAGGCCACTGGACTTCGCTCACGCCACCCCGCCTCCCATGGGCCACTCCCGCTTGGGCTTTGGCCTCAAACCGGTACGGTAAACAGCCCTACGCGTACGTGCACGGTAACGATCGTAATTCATTTTTCGTAGGTTGAACAGCTTGCATATACCTGTATTCGCTTACCGTTGTGTAAGCAATCTAGATTCTATGTACATAATCAGATCATCTCATGGCCGTGCCCAAAGCGTTCGCGGACAAATCGCCACCCTCCCAAGAAAAAAGAAACAGGCAAGCCCATCCATCACCCGATCCCCCGTAGCCCGGATCCACAGCCAAATTCATATCCACACAACACACACAACAACACACGCATAACCTTAACCTGGCTCATCGCCCAGCTTTTCGCGAGCGCGAGCCTTATCGAAGTGTGGCCCCAGTGGTGAGTCCTGAGGTGGCGGGATACGCGGTGCGTGGTACGGAAAAGGATTAAGGGTTCCCTCGTGCCCGGAAGTGTGCGGCGTGGCTCGTACACCACACCACACACCGTTTCGAAACAAACGCAGTAAATCAGATCAAATACAGAGCCAGCCAAGGCGCCGGATAAAAAGCCCTCAACGACCATTTCCCAGTTCTTGCGCGCCGCCGGGTATTTGCGTGGCTGTCTCCACGTCGAAGCGCGAAGAACCAGAAACCGCGCACGGACCTTAACGGACATCGGGATGGCTGGACCCTGTCTCATTCCGCCGACTTCCCCTTCTCCCTCTCATACTCCACACTCCACTCTCCACGTCCAGCATGACACTCACAACTCATCGTGCCCCTCCTTCTCCACATTCAATCCCCCCTCTCTGACCTTCCTTGCAACCTCCGCAACCCTCTCATCCAACTCGACCCACTCCCCAACAACCCTCCTCGCCCTCTCCAACTTGGGCTCCTTCGTCAAGGGATTATTACACAAATCAATCGTTTTCGCCCGTCTCAGCGTTTCATCACTACACCACGTCTCACACCACAACCATTCCTCCCCCAACGAGTAAATCGGGATTTGGTGCTGCATGTTATTCGGGAGATCTTGGTCGAGGTTGGAGAGGGAGTTGGGGTCTGCGGAGAGGGTTTGGTATTGCTGACGGAGGCGGTCACCGGCGGCGAGGGTACGGAAGCGGTTGAGGTCGACAACGTAGAGTGCGGAGATGTGGTATGGTTTCCCCCTCAGATGTGATTTCCACCATCCCTGTTTCCAGAACCTAAATCCTTCCATTTCGGCGCGGGAGTCGCCCATGGGGACCATGCCGTATGGTGCGCCTTGGAGATCGATGTCGATCAGTTCTTTGAGGTCTGCGCGGACCACTTGGTCGGCGTCGACGAAGATGATTTTGTCAAGGTCGAGGGGAAAGAGAACGTCGAGGAAGAGGATTTTGTAACCCCAGATCTCGCGCTGTTTTTCGGATTGACCTCGGAGCCAGTGTGGCCACTTGTACGTCACCAATTCATACTCGAACCCGAACTCTTCAGCGAGGTGCGGTAAAAAATCCTGTGCGCACGGGTTAGCAGCTGTAAAGAGCATCGATTGCGCCCAATGTGAACCTTAAATGACGGCGACAGAAAGTTCTCGATGAACCAGAACTTCACCGTTTCCTCCGTATGGTCCAACACACTTCGAATCATGATCCCCAGGAAGCGCTCGTATAAGCGTCCACTCGCGACACTAAACACGTTGATCGTTGCCTGCTTCTTCTTGCTCACCTTATTCCCACCACGATCAAACCATCCTTTCACGATGTTGGTCAGCTGCTGCGTGAGAGATTTCTCAGGCTCCGCAAGGACATCCTCCTTCTCCATCCCAGCCTTCCTCTTGACCCTCGGAAACAGCGTCCTCCCCTCCAAACTCGCCATCACAACTTTATCATGCCCGTCTTCACCACCGACACTCTCGATGTCAAAAACCTCCTGACTCCGTCCCTCTTTTACTCCTAACCTCCACACGCCAGGTCTAGCCTTGAACTGGAAGTACCCCAAGTTAGCCATGACCATCGTATCCTGCTCCCACTCTACACCAAGGTCTCCCTCTTTCCCAAGCACGAGCTGCATACCGCGAGGAGGGGTGTTGGTCGTTACGTCCCGTGCATGTCCATCGATGAGGATGTACCTGAGCTCGTAAACCGCTTCTACACCTCGTGCAGTCTGAGATGAGGAAAGTGATGCAAGCCGGATATTGTCGAGGTCGTGTTCCGAAATCTTGGGGGTGACATGCCACGCGGGAAGGACGTCCATGCCTAACGTCAAGAGTGGATCAGTCGGGATGTCGGAGAAGTCCGCAGATGGTGTGACGATGTTCCTGTACCGCGATTGTCAGCTTCATGTGTTAAAGAGCTTCCAATTACCATGGTACCCATTTCCATCGAAATTCAATCTGGCCTCCAAAACATGTCGATAGAATCTTTTAATCGGCAACTCGGTCAATTTGGTGTTCGGGTTTAGGATGACTTTGACGTATACGCCCTTCATCTCGGACAAAACCTGTAACATCAATCTGTCAGTAATCGCCATGTAGCGATTCTGGAGGATAAATTCACCTTCAAAATTGCCGACCACTTCTGCGCCGTCTGGCTCAGGGGATCCATAACTGCGACAATCTCATACATCGCTGTTTCCATATTACCGGTGTCGAAGGTCGTGAGGGTGCCATTGACGTTGACGTACGAGCGGCCGCGGATATCGGGTGTCTGAGGTCCGAACATGGCGGATGCGGATTTCGGTGCAGATGTCTTAGCAATGATGGAGGAAATTGCAGGAACGATCTCGTGGGACAGTCCCATCTCGTCCACAACATCTCTTGTGGGCTCGATACGTTTTGACAACTCGACACTGTACAGGGTGTCGAAGTCCTCTTCGCTAAACCATGGCTGCTTCACCCAATTGCCGTCTTCATCGGCGACCAAGTGCAAGATCTCAGTTTCATCACCGTAGATTACCTATATCGAGAAATTAGTCGGCTGCTCGGCGACGACGCTTAGCCGGAACTTACCCGTCCGTTGATTACTACAGCCGCCTGACCCCTCTTCAGCCCGAGCTTGTTGACGAAGCCAGATGTAAGCTTCCAATCGCTGGCGGTAGTATCAGTGCTTTCGAGTTCCACTCCTAAACTCTGTAGAGCGGACAACCAATCCGCTGAAGCCGAGCCATGCGGGTTGGTGGGGTAAGGATTGTGAACGAGACGTACGAGAGCCCGGCTGCCTTCAGATTCCTCCGACACAGTCCGAATGAATTTTTGTGCTTCAAGCGCGTGGGCCCATCCCTGCCCGGACAAGAAGTCCGCGATGACATATATCACGGTGTGACTACAGACCGGCCCATCATACTCCGAAGCGCGGATAGTAGGCAAGCTGCTCGGGCTGACCCCTGCCACGGATAACCTCTCCTCGAGCTCGAGCTGGTTGACGTTGACAACTCCACTCTCATCAGCCGGGAAGATACGTGTATTCCGCGTCTTGAAAGATCCCTGGAGGAGATAGTCCACAACATCAGTCTCGTCATTGATCCAACCTTCAGCAATGGCTTCCATAAGCCTAGCAACATCCTCCTGGATATACCCATACATCCTTCCCGGCCAAGCCTCATCACGAGGAACTACGCGACCGTTGGCGATAACAATGTTTGCGGACGTGGAATCGATATCATGATTGATGCCAAGCTTCTCCATCCACTCAGCTGACGCAAAGCTGGACACACAGCCTTTGACGATATCGTCAAACTTCTTAGCATCCGGTTTGCCCTGTACGATCTGCTTATACAGTGACGCGTCGGCCTTGACGCCCTCCAACACAATTGTCCTAACCCACGCCCATGCTGCAGCATCACTGACCTCCTCGCGAAGGTACTTCCATACCTTGGTGATAGGCCCGTGGTTGTACGGCAGAATACCCCATCTTACAGGCAGACCGCGCTGAATGTACGTCCCGATCTCGCGACCCAGGATGGCGAGGTCAGCAGGGTTTTCAAGGTCGACGGGGAGAATCGCGGTATGGATGTTCTTGGCGATGGGGTGGATCTGACCGGGTCGTAGAGGGCGGAGAAGTGTCTGTACTGATCTTGTCCATCGCCCGTAGTACTCATGCGTACGGTCTTCGAGGTCATTCAACCAGATGATGGGAGAATTGTCGTTCTCATCAGCTTCAACCCGGAAATCGAAACGGATTGGCGCCGCTTCCTCCGCAGCTTCCACGAACTTCGGGTGCGCCAATATCTCTCGGGCCTGTGCGGGTGACAACCCTAACTTCATAAGAGACTTCATCACGTTACCCTCCTCTCGCATCATCTCAATCAACTTGTGTCCCCAAACCTCCGTCTCCGGAACGCTCTTCCCGTTTATCCAGAATTGGGAGTGACCTGCCGGCAGCCGGAGCTCTTGTCCCAGACGCTTGACCTCGCGCACGGTGTGCTGAAGACCTGTCACCTTCTTCTGAGCCAGCGCGGGGGCGAGCATCGGGAAGTTCTGCGAAAGCTCGACGAGACGGCTAAGTGGATCATCAGCATGCGTGATCTCGTGCGTAGCCAACAGAGCGAGGTTTGGAATGGCGGAGGAAGGAATAGGCGTAATGTCAGATGTCTCGAACGTTTCTTCCTCCGAGGTTGATGGTTCGTCCGCAGATGCGACACTCCTATCGTCAATAACAATATAATCCGTCTTCTTGAGCGCGAGCTCGACACCCCAACCGCTCAAATCCACACTCTCCCCCGCTGAAGCCGGCCCAGGACAGTATCTCAACGCAATATTCGCAGCTCCTTCCTTGTTGAGCTTTCGTAGAACTTCATACCACTTCCGGAACGTGTCACTCAATATGCTAGACGCGTGAATCACCGCAGTTTGCTTCCCGTCCACAGCCTGGCCCAGAGTCCTGTCAGTAGGCTCCAGTTGAGAAGCGCTATCTGACTCATCGAGGATCAATGACGCGATATGACCAGAATGGTAGGCGTAGTAATCGGACGCAAGGTCGTGGTTTGACTTCTTCCCTGCGACAGTCACGACAACGTCGTCACCTTCACTCCAAATGCCCTTCTTTCCTCGGCAGACCTCTCGTGCAGCTTCGACACGAGGACTGGCGGACCTTAACGCCAAGTTGAATTCCACATTCGTGATTTGGTTATCATCCAGCAACCCTCCTTCTCGTATCAATGCAAATGCATAGTCGTAGATTTCGGCTGGCGTTGACAGCTGAACGGGTGAAGCGATGATAGCATCGAGGAGATGTGCGTAGGCTGATGTATTGTGAAGAGCAACATTTTCCCTGTACGTTGTTAGCAAGAAGTATTTTGGTTCTTTGACCTCCAGACATACAGAATTTCTAGCAACAGATCCGAGGAGCCGAAATATGCCTTGAGCTCAACGTTAATCGGCGGAGAAGCAGCCAGTGCATGCCCGAAGACAGCAGCAATGGCCAATGCCTTCGCCCAACGGATCAACATTCTTGATCAGGGGGTATCAGATCGTCTGGATCGCTCGGTCGCTTTGGGTTGCCGTGGCTCGGGTATGGCTGTAACGACGATACGTGTACGTGCACTGGCGTGGGAGGTGTATCGCGCAGGGGCCCCACCCCAAGGCTTGAGTTTATTCTTCGCACAAGGAAATATGTACCAAACCGGTCGTTTTGATTCTCAGCTATGTTTTCTACTCCAAGAAACATCACTCCATCCCCCGTATCCCCTCCTAATGCGTCGCCCTCCAAAACCCAATGATCGGGCTGCTGTCCTCGTTCTTCGCTCCACTCAGCTCCAACTGGATATGCTTGTGTACGTGGCACAAGTAATCCACGTAGTTCATATTCTCACAATTTCTGTCCTCGACCAACCAGCTAGCGAACTCGTGTTCTGATCCATCCAAGCCTTGGCGGGACATCAGGGGGCTGAGGCTCTTGCTGCTATGTCTCGACTGGATGTAGCGGATTAAGTTGCGGACCTGGACGTTCAGCCTGCTCTCGAGCTCGGGGATCTCGTTTGTAGTTGGGTTCAACTCCTTGAGTGATGATACACTCTCGCCGTACAGATCCCGGAGGAAGTTTGGTGATACCCGGCTGTGGAACCACAAGAACATGTTCTGTCCGTTCTCAGCCAGATATACACCTCCCTCGTCGAGCTTCGAGTACGATGGTCGTACGGGTTGTGGTACCTTGAGCACGCCATTCTCATCCGGGAAGCAATCCTGTAAGCACAAACACAGTCAGTCAACTTGTATCCACATCGCTTCGATTGCGCCTACCTCGTCAGTCATACTATGCAACCCGTACAATCTCGGATAGATAAACGCCCCAAAGTCCTTGACACCCATTGCCCTCACCAACCTCAACCCATAGACCCTCATATCACTGCTAACCATCCCACCCCTGAACGCCCTCAACTTCAAAATTCCTAATGTCTGCACCGGCAACAACTTAAATGTCTCCGGCAAGACCAGCTGTGCAGGTGGTGCAGACCCCGACACATTCTTTCGGTACGCAGCGAGGATCTTGATACACTTCTTCGTAAGTGCTGCACGGACGTTCTCCAATGTCTTCTCGTAGGTCGCCGCAGCAGCTTCCTTAGCCATGACGGCAACACACGCGTCCGCGTCCGCCATGCGAATGATATCACTGGCTTTGGAGGTGATCTGGGCACACACATTATGCACCCTAACCCTTCTTTCACCCGTCGCGGTGGTATATAACAACGCACTCTGGAAGTACGCATCGCGTCCATCCTCCAATTTGCCATCATGCTTGAACATAACCGCAATAGCCTTATCTGCGTCCACGGTACCGAACTCGAGATCAGAGGGGTTCCGCTGGAAGAAGTTCCCGTGGTGGTGGGTGACGCGGATGCCGTTTGAGCAGCGTACACGCATGAGAGCTTGGTAGCCAGTTTCACGGATGATGCTATGCTCGACCTCGCTGGAGAACTTGGGTCCATCGCGTTCGGCGACCCAGTTGGGGTAAAAGTAGGTATCACCACCAGTCATGGACGAAAGAGTACCGAGGGTAGCAACGTCCATGTACCCACTTCCGAAGAGCCACACATCAACACCGACACCAGTCTCCACACACTTCTGCCCAAGCTGGGTGTAGAGCTGATCCTGCGGCGCGAACATCAACTTCTCCTTATCCGTGTTGTACCACTTCGTCTCCTCGCGCAACCTCAAACGACCCGGGCCCCACGTAGGCAACGTGGAGAGAAACACAGAGAGCTTACCACCCAACTTCTCGAGCGCCGCAAGCGAAGCCTGGATAACGGACGCGAACGCCGGCTCAGGAATCTTGATGCTGTTAAACATGTTCGAGATCACGTTCAGAAGCGACTCAATCACCGTCCGCGACTCCACAGGATCCACAAACATCCCCTCAGCCAACGGCACGAACACATCCTCCACCTCCGACATAACCATCATCTGCGCCTGCTCCAACCCCGGACTCAAATTGTAAAAATGCAGCGTCCTGTCAAACGTAATGATCGAAACCTTCGCACCGGCCGGTAACCTCGTTCCCTCTACCTCAGGTCCACCATAGAGAGTTCTTCGCAACGCATCAGCAGCCAACTCCGGGATCCCCTTCTTCACCGCCGACTCCGAAACATCAATGGCGAAAATGTAGTGCAACGGCCCCGGCTCCCGACTGTAATACTCCTTGCCCACAACGAACTCCACACTCCCCTTACACAGCTCCGGCCTCTGATCAATATCCATTCTCCGTCCCGTGAAGTCGACGGGCGCAAAGTACTCCGACGCGACGTCGTTCGGGAACGAACACATGTTACACACCCACTTTGATCCACCCTCAACGAACGAACAGAAAGCGTTGATATAAGCCTTACACCTCCGACACCGTGGCGGACCCCCGGCAGGCTGCAACACCGGCACGGACTCCTCATCATGCCTCAACGCCGCCATGGGCTGAATAACCATCCCAAACGGTAAATGCGTACCCTCCAACAACGCATCCGTCGCAGGAATATTCGTCATCGTCAACCGCGCAAACTTCGGGTTCGCATTCCCTTGATCCACAGCGGCAAAGTCTGTGCTTGCAAGGGGTGGTGCAGAGCGCTCGAGGGTTCCATAGGGTTGTGCGAGGAATTTTGCTTGGTCTTCGGCTTGTTCGTCGGGGAGGGAGGGGAGGGAGTCGAAGTCGATTCTCGCCTTACCTGCTGCACCAGGTCTTTGAACACCATCATACTGCGCTCTACTCTCGGGCACGGCTGGTACAAACATCTCACTCGCCGGCGCAGGAAACTGCCCCTGAGGTTGTTGTCCTGGTGCCGCCGCAGCGACCTCGGGCTGTTGCTGTCCGCCGGCATAGTAAGCCTGCTGTGGAGGAAGAGGAACCGGGTTCGACGGCGTAGTCTCGAGGAGATCAGTATGATACGCGTGTGCCGGACGTTTCGCGCGCGGTGCAGCTGTTGGGGGAACACCCATCGTCATCTGGTTCATCTGCTGTGATATACCGTCAACGCCGGGAGTACCGGGCTGCTGGACATACTGTTGTTGCTGTTGTTGTTGCATCTGTGCCCACTCTGCCGGATTCTGGGGAGGCGCCGCTGTACCCATCGTATTTAGCATCCTGTGATCTCGTGTTCTTCGTAGGTATTCACGTACCCATACCAGGAGCAGGCTGAGCATACTGCTGAGGCTGTCCATAAGGTTGGCCGTACCCCTGCTGGTACTGCTGAGGGTATGCCTGACTCGCCATCTTCAATTGACGTTCGCCTACCTTCGTTGCTGTCCTGGTGTTTTGCGTTGACGTAGCGGGTTCGAGCGCCGAAACTCCAAAAGTCTACGCTACACCGCAACCAACGAAATTACCCGACTTGCAATTGGCATACGAGGAAAGTCAATTCAGCATGGCTACGAAGACTTGTTTGTTGTTAAAGACGAGATCGACGCCGAGTGATCCCTATGATGCCGCATTCAACCAGGCAGGACTACCACCAATCTTTGTGCCGGTGTTGGAGCATGCAGAAGTGAATAAGGAGGAATTGGAGAAGACACTGAGTGGGAGACCGCATCAAACATACAGCGGCCTGATCCTTACCAGTCAAAGAGCTGTGGAGGCGGTAGGTCGGGTTCTGGAGAAGCTGAATGGTACGTGCGATCCGGAACATCATGCAACAATGACTGACATTGAGCATACAGAGGAACAAAAAACAAACCTACTATCAATGTCCGTTTTTACCGTTGGCCCCGCAACCCACAAAGCTATCGCAAACCTCCGCTTCACCTCCATCCTTGGATCGGAATCCGGAAATGGATCAGTATTGGCTGACTACATCCTCTCCATCCGCTCCAAATCCGAACACCGTCCCTTACTCTTCCTTGTTGGTGATCAACGACGGGATATCATCATCAGGAAGCTACAAAGCGGGCAACCCTCTGCGCCGGTCGTGGAACAACTCGTCTACGTCACCCGAACCATGTCAACATTCCCCTCTCTCTTTGCCTCTGCTGTCGCAGAAGCAGAAAGCCGCGACAATGACACCGGCTCAGTCGCATGGATCATCTTCTTCTCCCCAGCAGGCGCAGAAGTTGCATTGAAGGAGTTACAGAAGGAGCAAGAAGCTGGGCGGCGCAGACCCCGGATTGCGACGATTGGACCTACGACGGAGGAGTATCTGGTCAAGGAGTGGAAGATGCAGCCAGAGGTCGTTGCGAAGAAGCCGACCGCTGAGTCTTTGGTGGAGGGGATTTTGACGTGGGAGCAGGAGCATGCACAGCTGTGATGGAAGGGATTACGGTACAGCGAGATATACGCATCACGAGTCAGGGAAGAGTGTACGATAACAGCAATGACGGAGGTCGTACGATAACGATGGTCATGGAGGGGGGTCAGTCCACCCCATCGATATCCGGATAATGGATCCGGATCGACGCGAATACCTCGAGTTCACAGGAGAGGGAGGCATACCTGCCCAATAGAAAGGGCAAAAGTTATGGTATAATTGAGCAAATCAACGATGTATCACCTCCCAATTGACGCAATCGTATTCCCGTCGATTCTCCCGACGCCGCGGAACGTTTCCAAGACAAGTGCCCTGCGTGCCCACGTATCGACGCTACAAAGGATTCCCCGAACGTAAAACCTCGCAGTCAACCAACCCTCCTTGATCCTTATACCAATACCCAGGATGCCCATTCAATACTACGCCGTCGCAATTGGCCGCAAGCCCGGTCTCTACCACGATTGGTTTGTCATAACCTCACAATGCTCGTCCTGATCAACGGCTGACATATGACGAACAGGGACGCTTGCGACGCCCAAGTCTCCGGCTACCCCGGTGCCCGCTACAGAGCTTTCACGGACCGCAGTGAAGCAGAGGAATTCGTGCTAACCGTCAACCCTGGCGCAGAACACAACCTCACCGTCGGCGATTTCCAGCGCCCGTGGTTAGATCGCCGTAATTCTGATCTCCCACCCACGCCAGCACCCGCAGCTCCACCCGTGACACAAATCGTAGTAACGAACGCAGACGCAGACGCAGAGAAAGATGCCTCAGCAAAAGCCTACGCACCCAAAGCCTACTACGCCGTCGCTGTGGGCCGCCGGCCCGGGGTCTACTACGACTGGCCCACCTGCTCTGCCCAAGTCACCGGATACCCGGGTGCACGTTATAAGAGTTTTCAGGATCGGAATGAGGCAGAGGAGTTTGTGTTGACGCTTAACCCTGGTGCGGAGGAGGAGATGTTGTTGAATGATTTGCAGCGTCCCTACCTCGACAGAAGAAGTTCGAACCTCCCACCTCTACCTACCCCTGCTCAAGCACAGCCTCAGTCGGAGAAGGAGGAACCAAAGGGGGGGGAGCAGAGGACTTGGATAGCCGAGACGGGTGATGAGCGACTTTTCGTGAGTTTGACCTACGACACCCTCGACGTCAAAACCCAAATCGACCGTGTCCGCTCCCCCAAAGCCGGCGCAATCGTCCTCTTCTCCGGTACAACCCGCGACAACTTCGAGAACAAACCCGTCACGCACCTCTCCTACGAATCCTACACCCCCCTCGCCCTCACATCCCTCACTCACATCGCCACCACCGCTCTCCAACGCTGGAATTTGGAGGGGGTGGCGGTGACGCATAGACTGGGAACGGTAGGGGTGGGCGAGGAGAGTATCTTGATTGCGGTTAGTTGTGGGCATAGAAAAGAGTCATTTGAGGCTGGGGAGTGGGTGCTTGAGGAGGTCAAGAAGAGGGCGGAGGTTTGGAAGAGGGAGGAGTATGGGGTTGTCGGGGAGGGGGCGAAGTGGAAGGAGAATTTTGAGGGTGCGAGACCTGGGCCGGAGAGGTAGTGCAGCTGGACTGCGATGGGGTGGTCATAGAGGATTGGTGATTTTCGTATAAAGGAGCAGTTTTGTTGCGGCAAATGTCAACGCGGTCGGTTCAGAACAGCAGGAAGTCATGCTTACCCTGACATAAGCTTGTTAGAATTCCCGGCTAGAGATCATTCTTGATGTATGGTCTTCCGTGGAGGTAATCTTGCACCCGTGGGATTTTGCGTCGCTATACCTCCAAGCGACATTGGATTTGTGTCTTCGAAGGCGTTCAACTCAGTACTTGAACAGGAAGGACTTCACACCTTAACACCAGTCTGCACATCTGTTCAACTTATTTTACAATCACACTCTGTATTGTTAATGCCTCGGCCAGCGTGCTCGTAGCTATATGTTCCATTCCCGTTTTGCGTAACTTTTGACGCCCGGCTTGTACCATGCAGATGCATCTCGGGGGAACATTGGCCCGATGCATGCACGGTCCCGCACCGCCGTCGAACGTCTTACTCGGGGGAACATTACCACGAGAAGAAGTTTGAGTTGGAGGGGAACGAGAATCCCTTGAATGCTTTGTATGCGGAGTACGAGAAGCGAGCTTGGTGTCGCGGAGGGCGGAGTTAGGGAGAGGTTGTCTGAGTTGTTGTAAGGATGGAGGTTTGTCAACTGAGTAGATTTTGTATGATAACTTTTCAACTATATGAACGAAACGCCAAATACCCATTGCCTTCTTTTCCCTCGCAAACATTCAAGACGCAAACACTAGGATATAGAGTATAATCTACCCAAGAACTCCCCCTTCATTACCTTTGCCCTACCCCCGTAGCGAACGTTACTCCACCACCGTGCCCATATCCTTCATTCCCAGCCAGCATGCCATTCATAACATCACCGGTACTCGCCTCCACCAATACCTTCGGAAAATCGAACCAATCAAACATGTCCAAGCCATCACCTAGCCCGCCTTGCCCAAACACCCCCGCAAAATCATCCAAACCACCCACCATCCCTTGTTCCTGGTCTCCACTCCCACCCCCAGCAGCCGGCGTAGCAATCTCACTCTTACTCCGATACCCCATCACCGACCTAATCATCGGCATCCTCTCCGTCTGAGATTGCCGTGAAATGAGTAAATCGGCATCATACGCATTTCGTCTCATATCCGCGAGAATCTGCACCGACGAGAGCCGTCCACTTTCGGAGGAGGTACTCGTGTTGGTCGGGGACCGGCCGGTGCACGCTTCGTTGAGTTCTTGAATGACACGGCCGATGATAAACTCATAGCGGGAGGCTGTTTCCCAGTATTTTGCCATGGCGCTGAGGGCGGTGAGAAAATGTCGTACATCAGGCAAAACCGGGCGATGACGAGACGAAGTGCCCAGATGTCCGTCCGTGGTGTTCCTTGCTGCTGTTGTTCTGCCAGTCGAAGTAGTCGCGACCGGCGACGTAGCAGGAGTTCGCAGGCTTCCCGTCAAAGACGCGTGATGTACAAGCAACACCCTCGTCGCAACCCAAACCACAAACGTAAACGAATGCCCCAGCACCTTGTACAAATCATGCTGTGCAACCAGGCTGCACAGTGACGACACGTTTTCGACTGCAGCCAAACATTTCCGTACAGCCCACGCACTTGAGGAGAAGAGGATCGATGTGGCCGCTGGGTATGCGGCGGTTGAGTGGAGTCGGATAACGGCGGTGTTGTACCAGGCGTGGAGGAGGACCCATCCCGGGTCGACTGAGGCACCTCCGCCGAAACCGAGGCTACCATACTTGATTGGGAGGCCAGCCATCCAGGCGTTCAGCCTCGCCTCAAGGTTCTTGTACTCTCGCATCCAATTCTCTACGTCGCGTTCCAATCTGATATCAACAGCGCGTCGTAGGAACCGGTGAATGCATCCAATGACCCTCAAGATTTCGATTTGATAACTGAAGGGCGTTCGTTCACTGCTGTCTCTCGCCAATGGTTGGGAAGGAAATGGACAGGGTAATTCAGCTCCGAGGTATGATAAAGCAGCAGCTGCACTCAGATCCTCCGATGATCTACCAGTATGATCGCCGTCGTGAATGTGCAGCTCCCCACTCTTGGCGTTCTGCCACACCTCCTCCCTACACGGGAGCCTTCTCCCATTCCCACCCACCTCCTCGTCCGCCAACACGCAATCCAACGCCGTCGCCATCGCAGTCCTCACATCCAAAATATACGCCATCCAATAAATCCTCCGTCTCCCTTCTTCCTCGATTGAGTCATTCGTTTCGCTAAGGACGTTTGCGCCGCAAGTGTGTACTGCACCATCTGAAGGCTCAGCATCCGGGACGGTGGTTTCGGTTGCGAGACGGAGGTGGTTGACCATACGGCCGAGAAGTGCCACCAGGCCGAGGGCGGAGGGGCCATTTGAGGTACCAACTTCGTCGAAGGCTAGGATGGTTAGGGCTTGGAGGGATAGGAGTCCGGGGTGAGCTAGAACGCGTAAGAGGATTCGGCTTTTCGCCTGTGCCCGGAAACGCTGTAAATCTTCGAAGGGACTGGGTAAGCAAAGTCTCCCAGCTGCGACACAGATGGCGTATAATAAAGCTAGCTTGCGTTCTGAGATGCTTGTTCGCGCAGCGACTGTTCCGTCGGGTGAGGTATGGAAGAATGTGTCGACCGTGATCTTACAGCGCAGGATCGGGCAATTGGGATGTACGAGGTCGCAGTAGACGGTGAGGAGGTGATAAACCACCGAATCCGCTGGAAAGTCAGAGTTGAAGGATGAGCCGGAGGAGTGAATCGCAGGAGTCTGTCGTGATGGAGGTGCCATCATGGGCTGCGACGGAGGAACCTGTAATGTCGGAACCGGGATAGGTACATGTATAGTAGAACCCTGCGTGGGCGTCACTGGAAGAGCCTCATAATGTTGAACTGGACTCGGCTGTAGCGGTTGGTTTTGTCGTGCAAGCAGTCTTTCCAACATCTCAACCCTCTCCTCCAACTCCTTCCCATAACCCGGACGTACCCCGGGCTTCCGCTTCTGCTGATAAACACAACTCACGCCAACCTTCCTACACCACTCACAAGAAGGCTGCGCTCGATCACACTTCACTTTCCGGGCCTTGCAGCTGTCGCAAGCGGTCAAATTGCGGTGCGGATCATCGGGTGAGGACGTCGTCGGTGGGTGAGGGCGTTTGCCATTCGCGTTAAGATCGCTGTTCGTCTGCAAAGTGGACATTACTGGTACACCGATATTGTAATTGCTGGTCGGACTAAGGCTCGATTACTGTCCGTCGGTGTTTTGTCGGTTCTCGGTGTTTTTGTTCCGGACAGGGTCCAGAAAATGTGCGCCCCACCCCGCACTCGCAATTCGTCACATGCTCAAGCAAACAAGATGAGTTTGGCGGGGAGATGCGATATCAGACCATTTGTGCTTTGATCTTTACAGCTCGTGTGCGGCATCTGTTGTGTGAGGGGAGCGTGGTGGTGTTGGCTCACGCAACACCGAGAGGCCCAGCCTTTCGAGCCTTCAGCCGGACCTCGGGACATCGACAGTCCGGATCAGAGTGGGGTTTGCATGGGAACACATACGTCGGGAAAGAGAGACCGACGTAGCTGCGTACAACACCCATAAAATGAACGGTCGTCTCTGTTTGAGTTCGGCCTATTTACTCCGAAGTTGAGGTCCATTTTAAGAACCTCCATACTCTTCGAGTCGCTGCAAGATCAAGGGAGGGAAACATGGGCATCTGGAATCGCAAGCTTGGTGTTAATGACAGTTTGACTCAAGGCGGTCACTAGACCCTCACACAATCACTCGCTCCATGTGGTCTCGTTACCATCCTCTTCTGCGTGTGTACGTTTGCCCTCCATTCCTTCACATGAGCCGTGCTAAACCGGCCAGAGGGGGCTTCGCATACGGTCTACTCGACGTTCTCAATTCTCACTTCCAAACCGAGCTCCACATCACAACAACCCAGGCCTCCGGCCTCTCCGCCGCTTACTTCGGCCCGTACTTCCTCTGCCTATTTATATTGACGATCACAGGCAGGATCCTGAGGCGATACGGGTTCCGCGTAACATTCATGACGGGATCTGCGGTCTTAGCTGTGGCTTGCTCGATGTTCTGGCCGAGGGGTGCAAAGAGGTCATTTGGTGGGTTTTGCGGGAGTATGTTCAACGTGGGAGCCGGGCTTTCGACTTTGGAGACAGGCGCAGACAGGTGAGTCCATTCCATATCTCATTCTTCACAACGCCGAACTGATTACAGTCAAGCTTCCTCTCCATCTGCGGTCCACCTCGGTATTCTGAAGTTCGTCTCAACCTTGCCCAGTCCATCCAGGGTGTCGGCTCATTCGTGGCTCCCCTCCTTGCTTCCCGCGTCTACTTCGCTTCCACCGTTGACACCGCTCAAGGTCTGAAGAATGTCCAATGGGTCTACCTTGGCGTAGCCTGCTTCGTTGCCCTACTCATCATCCTCTTCTGGGCCGTTTCTATGCCGGAGGTAACAGACGCTGACATGGCAGCGCAAGAAGTACAAATGGACTTCGACCCCGGGCCCCTTCGCAAGCAAGCCAAACTGTTCCTGGATGTCTGGAGTCAATTATGCTACGTCGGGGCACAAGTCGCCGTCGCTAACTACTTCATCAAATTCTGTCGAGAGTCAGGGAGGGACTCCGCAACGTCCTCCAACCTCCTCGCCGTCGGACAAGGAATGTGCGCCCTTAACCGCTTCCTCGCGTCTGGCCTCTTGACAAACCCAGCCGTGACAAACCCCGCCACATCCCCATAATCTACCTGGCCCTCTGTTTCGTCTTCGCCCTCGCCGCAGCGACGACACGCGGTACGACTTCGGTCGCAATGCTCATCCTCGTGCTCTGCTTCGAATCCGCCTGGTTCGCGGCGATTTTCACACTAGCCCTCTGCAGTCTCGGAAGACACACAAAGTTGGGATGATCATTCCTCGTCGCGGCGATCTCGGGAGGAGCTGTGTTCCCACCAATGGCTGGCGCTGAAGCGACGCATACGGGGAGTTTTCATCGGGCGATGTTTGCGCCTATGAGAGGGTACGTCGCAGCCTGGTTTTTCCCGATATACGTGAACTTTTTCAATCGGGAGGGGTTGATATGCACCGGGAGACTTGGCTCGATGTGGAGAAGAGGGAGGCGAGGTTTGAGTCGGAGAGACAGATCACGCTCGAGCGCGATGATCGGAAGGGCGCCGTGATGATGATCGAGGATGTTGGTAGGAGGTGAGAGTAAGCTATCAGGTTGCAGTGTACGATATTGCGAGTACGGAAGGACTTGTATGAGTAGCAAGATCATCATGCGTTAGCTACGACAGCCTGTAGAAGTCCATCCCGTTCCTGCACAAGACACACTCGATGTCCTCCTGACTCAACCCGATGTCCCGCAACACTTCAAGTACTAGCTTCACCCAAGCACTCCACTCCGTATCCTCTCCCTCCATCCACCCCCTCATCTCCTCCGGCGCCAACTTAACCACAGGCCAATCACTCCCAAACACCACCCTGTTCACCCCAAACAAGTTGATTGCGGACCTCACCCATGGCTCTACACACCTCTTCGCGCCCTCACGACCTCCCAGTGTATGGATTTCAGCGGACGTCTCGGTGAGGAGTGCCGAGAGCTTTATGTAGACATATGGGTTCTCGGCCAATCGCATCATCTCCCCCTGCCACGCCAAGAAATGCGAATGGGTCTCGATCTCCTCCGAAGGCCAAATCGTAAGATCCGGCTTCGCCATGTGATCAATGATGAACCTCGTCTTCTTCGCGTCCTCGACGCCTTCGTGGGCACGGATGATCATTTCGCGTGCTTCCTGTAGCTGCCAGATTCCTGCGCCGTGGGTGTTGACGTTGATCTCGAATCGGAGACCTTTGCTGCCCATCCATTTCATGGCGTCAATGAAGCCTTTTGATAACGCTGCGCCGGCTGGTTCGTCCTGGAGGTTGTAACGGAAGCCTTTCAGGTAGGCCGGATCAAAATGCGGGACGCTTTCAAGCTTAATCGTGTGTTCCTCCATTGCGGATGAGCCATGTGGAGCGGGCGCCAGTGCCATGATACCTCGGAGGAGTTTGGCATCAGAAGGTTCGTAACCTTCACCTGCTTTACCTGACTCCGCGTTGCGTAGGGCTTCGCACAAGTATGCGAACTCCGACACGCCTTGATCATAGCCGCTCTGCTCTCCGTTTTGCCGTCCGACTTCAACGAAGATCAAACCGCGGTGGTCATACTTCACCTCCGGGTCACTCTTAGATTCGGAAGTACGTGTTGAGGCATCCGCTGCGTACTCGGTGAACGAGTGCTGAACATTGATCTTCGCCGATTCATGATTTTGCCACGGAAAGACGCCCGCGTCAACGTGTGATTGTGGATAGAGGTGGACGTGACCGTCCAGCAGCGGTATCGGACTCGAAGTCGACTCCTCGACTTTTGGCATTTTGGATTAAGGCGTAATGGTCTGGTGCTCGGGGTAATTGCACCGATTTAAAGTTTGGTGCGGGGCGAGCTCGGCGCCTCGGCCGATTGACAGTCCGACGCGACGGAATAGGAACGTAGGTGCTACACCATCTATCATTCTATAAAACCAATCATCTCAATGTTGGTTATCCATGAGACAGTCGAAAGTGTCTGCTGAAGCCATTAGGTTGACATTACTGCCGGACAAGGTGTTTCAATCTGTCACTTAGGTCAGGAAAGTGGAACCCAGCTTTCTGTAATCGACCAGGATAACCTGGAAAATGTGTCGATACGCTTGCTGGTAGACTCCAAGAGGAAGATAGCGGAATTGGCAATGTTGTTGACAAGGTTGGACATTATTGCTTGGTTGTTCCTACCTCTCTGGAGGTTTTTTGTTCCGTTCGGACGGTTCTTTACTCTGACTGTGAACGAGGCTGCGGGGGTTCCCACGCCTTAGATCTAGAGCTACCGGACGCACAGCATAAAAAGACCTCGCCCAGCTATTTGGCAGCACCAGGATCCATTAGATTACATAACGATACAATGCACCAGTAGACCATACCCTTCCGTCCTTCCAATATCCTACGAATACCTTCCCTTCAGCGCCTCAACCTCCCTCCTTAACTCCTCCAGCCGCGCATTCAGATCGTCCCCATGGTTCGTCGGTAACGGCGCCTGTTGTTGTTTTTGCTCCGCACCATGCGCGTCTGGTTCTGGGGCCGTGACAGTCTTGAGTCTTGATGTGGGCGGCGGTGGTGGTGCTTGACCAGCCCCACTCGAACTTGCCCGACGGTGTAAACCCCCTGGTAACGAGGTCTCAGACACGGATGCACTGTTCGTCTTTCTATGTCCAAAAAACCCCACACGTCCCATCTCCGATCCAGCAACGTTAAGAGATGAACGCCGACTCATGTCATCTTCCGTGCTTTCTTCTTCGTCCTCAGCCACAACGGGTACCTCCATCGATGACCGTGCGCGATTAATAGATAGAACGCGGCCGTGACGAGTAGCCGGCACCGGCGGTGGGGTCGCAGTACTAATTTCCTCCTCCTTTCGGACTCCATTCACGGAGCTACTCGAGCTCGTTCTTGGTCTCAATCTCGGAGGTGGTGGCTGCGGTACGTTACCCGTATGCTCTTCGTCTGCAGATGGCCTACGCGTACTAGCCGGCGATTTCGAGATTGGGCTTCCTAGTGCCGGTGATGGGATGATGGGTGCGTGCTTATCCATCGATACCTTCCTTACGGGAGGTGGACGTGGCGGTGTTGCTGAACCTATTCCTGCTCCCTCGAGATTCATCGATGTTCTCCTTGCTGGCGGAGGACGCGGTGGAGTAGGTGTCGATGTGCTAGGACCCGGTGCCGCAGTCTTCAACGGTGAAATGGAAGGTGTAGGCGGTTTCCTTGGCGGTGGTGGCTCGGGCGCAGAGAAAGGGTCGTTCAGGGATGCAGACACACGGCGTGCCGCGGGTGGCCGTGGAGCTTCAGGAGTGACCTTCTTCGTACTTGTTGATTGCGAAAGAGGAGGTGGAGGTGGAGGTGGAGCGTTAGCTTTCTCCTTCTCTTTCTTGTCTTCTTTTGTTATACTATTACCTCCTCGACTAGGCGGTGGAGGGGGAGGTGCGTGCACAGCACTTCTCTCCTGCTCCCTCAGTGAATTATTCCTCGAGCTATCTGGTGTTTCCCTATTCTGTTGTCCTCTTCCGTCGAAGATCGATGGCGCAGGTGTGGACTCGGCTGTGGCCGGCTGCGATGCCATCGGATTCGGTGATTTAAACATGGAGTGGAGGTCGATGGGATGCGAGGGAACGGGTTCTGCGTGCAAGGTGCGGCGGAATGGGTTGCCGGCTTGATCATTCGCTGTAGTTGAGGTAGCAGATCCTGGGGCTTGCGGGACGCTTTGCTCGTTGCTGATACTTGATCTGTCCGAACTGCTGCGCTCTTTTGCTTGCTCGTCTGGGGTTTCTGCAGTCACTGGGTACAACAAGTTCTCCGGCACTGGAACTTGTCTTTCCACCATCTCAAGGTCAATATCTCCATATAGAAGATATCTTCCAACCACGCGAACCATCGCAAAGAACTCCTCTTTCAGTAGTCCATCCGAGGAGTCTGGGAACAGGGCAAGGATCTCCGTGACATCCCCAATACCCAGCCCAAACCCTTTGAGAAACTTCATCACATTCTGAAAACTGATTCTTCCTTGCGCGGGATGAAGGACCGTCCACCAAAACTTGTACGCTCTCCGTTCCTCCGCTCCAAGCTTCTCGCCGTTGACGGAGGGATTTGACATCTCGACACGCATTCAAACAAAAGATCAATGATTACAATCTCACTCGTTTCTCATTGACGGTACACGGGGTAACCTGGAGCTGTTCTCGAATTGTTTTTCTCGTAGATGTCGGTATCCGCGGCCTGAGGTTTCGGCCCGACTTGCAATTCAGCATCGGCGTCACCGCGCAGGACGATACCAGCGTAGACTGGAAGATGCAAGGTAGTATTTTTAGGTTCACCAAGTTCCTGACTGACATTAATTGGCAGTGTACGATAAGGGTCTTGGCGAACAAATGTTCACGTGTGGGTGTGCTGAATGTACTGTACGCGTACGAAGCGGGAGCCCAATTGATCAAGCTCATGGCGTCAGACGCAGTGCTCGATATCGAGCAGGGCCAGAAATCTCAGTCCCAGCGGAGACATATGAATGTAGACATATATTGGGTCTGTCGAATGGATTCTTGCAAACTGCCTCCCTTCAAGCCTGAACATCCATGTCCAGTTATCAGGCTGTTTCTTCTAGCACTGCGTAGACTTCCTGGTTTTCTCTAACGCTGGTCGCCCTGCTCCCGGGCCCCTCCTCACGTCCACATCCTGAAAGACTCCCTCCCCAACCACCATGTACATACGCGTCTTCAGCATTTACAGCGCACACACTCAACGAAATGGCGAAAGATAAGCCCGCCAAGGATGCGAAAGCGAAGAAGCCTGTCCAAGCCAAGCCTGAAGACGCCGAGAAGTTGGTTCTGGATTATTTGAGAAAGACAAACCGGCCATACAGTGCTAGTGCGTATTCCTCGCCTCGTCCTCTCTTCCTTCCCCTACTTGCTCCGGGATAAATGCACACAATACTGATAGTTCATACACAGCCGACGTCTCAATGAACCTCCACAACGCAATCTCTAAACCGAACACACAGAAAATTCTTCAAGTCCTGGCCGACCGCGGCGACCTCCTCATGAAGACCTACGGCAAGCAGAGCGTGTTTGTCGTGAAGCAGGATACGGGGAATGTTCCCAGCGCAGAGGTGTTGGCGGAGATGGACGGCAAGATTGAGCAGTTGAAGGAGAGGGTGCAGGGAGTTAAGGATGGGAATAGGGCGTTGCAGAATGGTAAATGTGCAGGGAGATAGCACAGAGTAGGGTGAGTGCTGAAGACTTTGACAGAGTTCAACCAGGTCACGGCCACGCCGCCGACGAACACTCTCGCTCCACTTCTCGCCAACCTACAAACCGAGATTCAGACGCTCAGTACACGTCTCGCCCCCCTCCGCACCGGCGCGAACCCAATCACGCCCGCGGAACGCAAGCAGATTGACACAGACTACCACAACATGCGCAAAGAATGGCAAAAAAGGAGGAAGTGGTTCAAGAACTTGTGGGGGATGATCGAGGAAGGATCCGGGATGACAGAAGCAAAGGAGTTATTTGAAAGGCTTGGAATCGAGGAGGATGACGTCCCCTTCGATGAAGATCCGTTGAGGATTCTGGTATAATATTTCGTGTATGTCAATTAAGGCACATTTGTTTCCTTGTTTGTACGACGTACCGGTACTCGATTGCGCCACCCCAGTCACGCACGACCCCGCCACGCGCCCGAGTCAACGGACCGAGCGGGAACGTGCACCACCAGTCATCCAGCATACACCCGGGACAAGGACAGCATACACTCAGCATACAGTCAGATAAAACAATGTCAACGCTGTCGGCGTATATGCCCATGGCACAGCTCAACCAAATAGACGCTCAGTCGAATGAGCGCCGTCGGGATGGTCAGCCGCCTAAAGACAAAGCAGAGTCGGCATTTGAGGGTTCTCGCAGTCCTCCAGCCAACAAGAGTGAGTCACACTCCATTTGCTTCATGATTACAGGTTGCTGACAATGATACAGACCTCCAACACGTACCCTGCAAGTTCTACATGCTCGGCAAATGCCAAGCCGGCGACCGTTGCCAGTTCTCCCACAACCTAGCTACACTCGGCACCGAACGCGCACCCTGCAAGTACTTCCAAAAAGGCAACTGCAAGTTTGGTGCGAAATGCGCGTTGGCACATATCATGCCAGACGGACGACGGGTGAATAACGCAGCACGACTATACCGGGGTCCGGTCGATATCGGGGGACGAATGCCGGTTGAGGGAAGGGTTGGTGGGGGTGGAGGGAGTGCGTTACAAGTTGGGTTACAGATGTATGGAGATCAGATTATGCATCATCCGCATCCACAGGCATTGCCGCTACCTATGCAGAATCAGTATCAGGAGTATGTCGATACCACGCAGGCCACCTATTCGTCTTCGTATGGAGCACGAAGACCGAGTGTCAATGCGACTGGGAGTTTTGATGGGCTTGCGTCTTCGTTTAATGATTTGAAGTTATCGTCTTCGACGCGCACGCTTGGACCGTTGGATGCGCCGCTTCCTCCATCGTTGGATTCGAATGGGATGTCATACTTTGCACGACATGGGCCGATTGCTGCGTCCGTGCCTTCGAAGTTCGGATTCGACGTACCGATCGGCACCCCTGGGGCAGGCAATACGGCGGATTATGGATCAAGTCCAGCTGGGACGCCGAGTGGAGGTAAGAACCTGATCATGAGTTTGGAGAGTGCAGATGAGTCGGCATTGCCACAAAGTCCTCGATCAGCGGCTCTCCTCCCCGTTCCACAGGGTCCGGATGTCCTCGCTCCCGCTCCCAAACGCCCGCACCTTCCCATCTCCTCCTCTTTTCCCGCACGACGAACATCCTTCTTCCGACTCAACGGCTTGCAAGGCGACGACTGGCTCCCACTGTCCACGGCACAGGAAAGTGAACAGGAGAATGGAGTTGTGGAGGAAGATGAGGATGAGGGACACTTCACCTTCGAGGAGGATTTCGTACCAAGTAGTTTGCAGGAGCTATTGACGCCCCAAGAGAGGGAGAGGAGGATGAGTCGGAACGATGAGGAGAGACCGCGAGTGGCATTTAGTCCGCCTGGGTCACACGCTTCGTTGGCGCCGGGTCATGGATCAGGGTTGGGAACTTCACCGGGGAGCACAGGCAGTTTCGGTACGAGTCCTGGGAGCTCGAGGTTTGGTGCACTTTTCCAGCGTCATCACTCGACAGGAAATGTAACGGACACCAGCTCGAATCTGTCGAGTTCACCGAGTCGGGCGGTTCCTGCTGCGGGGGTGATTGGAAGTCCGCTGAGGAGTGTGTTGGCGCAGAGTTTGAGTCGGGAACCGCATCATCCTAGTGCGTTACGGACGAGTGTGAGTGGGCAGGGCACGGGTTCTAGAGAGAGGGTCAAGAGTGAGGGGGAGACGGAGGACGAGCTTGAGGGTGAGGATGATTTGGAGGAGGAAGATGAGGGAGAGGCGAGTGAGGTGCAGTTTGATATGGATGAGTAGGTGGTAATCGGCGTTGATGAGTGGATGTATTGGTAAAAGGTATGATATGTGATATTTAGCGTTTCCTTGGAGTTCTTTGGTTTTGGAGAGTTTCTTGTTCTTGTTATATCTCGAGGTATAGACAGAGAAAATATCTATTGCCTGCGCCCTCTTCGGCCTCTCTCTCAACCTTAGTTCCTTTCCATATACCTTGAAGGCATGTCACTCATCGCACCTTCGCGACACCTATTCCTCCTCTCAAGGAAGAGAAAGACACAAGTGCAGCGATGAGAAAAGTCCGAGTGTTCCAAAGGAGAACCATTCTTCGCGATCCGACCAACGCTCCTAAACACTGGTGAGTTTGTCTTGGGCGTAACTATGCTGTTTCGTAACGGATTGCGTGGTGGTTAGGAAGGACGCGGGTCCGTGCTTGAATTTATACAGTAAGGGACGGGGGGGGGGGGGGGTGCCCTGGGAGCGAGGCTGGTGTGCGCGGCGGCGGTGCTGCAGGAGGGACCGACGCGACGTAACGGTGATTGTGTACGACAAGTGGTGTAAGGGTTATAGAATCAAGATGAAGCTCGTTAGGTAAACTGGGCATGTGTCCAGTCTGAATTCTCATGCTGACCACCCCTGTACAGATTTCTGCAGAAACTGAATACCGAGACCGTGACCATTGAGTTGAAGAATGGTACGCATACATCTCCTCCGACCATCGATCCATTCTCTAACACTCTCAATAGGAACCACCGTATCGGGCACAATCACCGGCGTCGACGCCTCCATGAACACTCACTTAAAAAACGTTCGCATGACTGTGTCGCAGCGCGATCCAGTGAGCATTGATACCCTGAGTATCAGAGGAAACAACATCAGATACTACATTTTGCCGGATTCGCTACCGCTGGATACGCTGTTGATTGATGATGCTCCGAAGGCGAAGGCGAGGAAGAAGGAGGTTGTTGCTGTTAGGGGAAGAGGACGTGGTGGTGCACGGGGTGCCAGAGGTGGAGGACGCGGAAGAGGACGAGGAGGACCGCGTGGATTCTAAGACGTTGTCTCGTGATGTTGATGTCGATGTTTGAGAAAGTAATGATGGGAAAGGGTGCGGATTTTAGGAACATCTGTAAGAACGGAGGCCTGCAGGAATAGTGAAGGATGAAGGGAGTGACGTTGCAGCATGTTGCGCGTCATGCTGTTGCTATGAGATACCAGCAAGGAGGGTATGATTACCTTCATCACCAAAAGATACATTTATCAATTTCAGACGGTGCCCAATATCATGCCAGAGCCGGGACATCGCGCTTGTCATGTTCGCGCTCATCTACTCTGATCTGTCGTACCCGGTCTTCTCCCTAAACCAAACCAGTCACAACTGATAGACATGTTACTGTTTTATGCAAAAAAAGTTGCTCGATAAGGTTTGGGCCGGCTTCACCTTCCGAACAAAGCCTCATGCAGCACCGCCGCCGTACACCGCACCGAACCTGACCTCCAAGTACTCCGCCAAAAGACGCGACGACCTTTGATAAACCCGGCCGGTTCATGGCTCAATAGATTTCTAGTACGCACCTCTTTGAACACTCATTTGTGTACCATGGGGCCTGTGTCCAATGCTGGCCCCGGTGCTGGAAACATCAAGGTTGCTGTGCGTGTTAGGCCGTTCAATGCTAGGGGTGGGTAGTGTGCATAGCCTTCCGTTACGTGCTAACTCACCGCCCACAGAACTCGCTCGGAATGAGAAATCTATCGTATCTATTTCCAACAACCAGACGATACTCACCCCACCATCGACGTCCAAGTCGGCATCATATCAGTCACGTACATTCACCTTCGATGCAGCCTACAATTCTTTCGTTTCCTCCACAGACCCTGAATATGCTTCTCAAGCCCATATCTACGACTCACTCGGCCGTGAACTGCTGAATCACGCGTTCGAGGGATACAACACCTGTATCTTCGCCTACGGTCAAACTGGTTCAGGAAAGAGCTACTCAATGATGGGCTACGAAGGCGAAGAAGGTATTGTGCCGAGGATGTGTCAGGAGATGTTTGAGAGGGTGAAGCAGCTGGAAGGGAAGGAGGGAACGGAGTGTAGGATTGAGGTGTCGTATCTGGAAATCTATAATGGTAGGCATGTTGTCTCTATCCCGAGAACGGACTAACAATACCCGTACAGAACGCGTACGCGACCTTCTCAATCCCAATCCGAAGGCAAAGACGCATCTGAAGGTCAGGGAGCATCCCACACTAGGTCCATACGTCGAAGACCTCTCGAAACTTGCTGTTACTTCATATGCTTCCGTTTCCTCACTCATGGATGCCGGGAACAAAGCCAGGACTGTTGCCGCGACGCAAATGAACGAGACTTCTAGTCGTTCCCACGCTGTATTCTGCATCAGTTTAACACAAACAGAGAAGGTTGGGGATGGCGTGGGCGAGAAAGTGAGTCGGATCAGTTTGGTGGATCTGGCGGGAAGTGAAAGGGTCAAAAGTACCGAAGCTACTGGAGTACGGCTGAAAGAGGGAGCGGAAATCAACCGATCTCTGTCGACACTTGGTCGCGTCATCTCGGCATTGGCAGAGAGGGATAAGTCCGTGAGCAAGGGAACTTCCACAAGTGTGATTCCGTACCGTGATTCGGTATTGACATGGCTACTGAAAGATTCATTAGGAGGGAATTCGATGACAGCAATGATCGCTGCTATCAGTCCTGCTGCATGCAATTATGACGAGACGTTGAGTACATTGCGGTATGCGGACTCGGCCAAGAGGATCAAGAATCATGCGGTGGTGAACGAAGATCCGAACGCGAAAATGATTAGGGAGTTGAAAGAGGAGCTCGCGCAGCTGAAATCTAACATGTCTTCACATCCTTCTGGTCCTAGCACTGATGAGACTGACGTTCCTCTGGAAGAGCAGTTTGTCAGTATCAGGACTGCGGATGGCACGGTAAGGCAGGTTTCGAAGGCAGAGATCGCTGAGCAACTACATGCAAGTGAGAAGTTGATGAAAAGCTTGCAGGAGACATGGGAAGAGAAGTTGGAGAAGACGCAGCAAATCCAGGCGGAGCGGGAGAGAGCTTTGGAGGATCTGGGGATCTCGATTGAAAAAGGCGGGGTTGGGCTGCATACACCGAAGAAAAATCCGCATCTGGTGAACTTGAGTGATGACCCACTGTTGGCTGAGTGCTTGGTTTACCAAGTGCGGCCTGGGATCACGAGAGTGGGCAACGTGGATGCGGATGATCATGCAGAGATCCGGTTGAGCGGGACAAAGATCTTGGCACACCACTGTCACTTCGAGAACATTGATGGCAAAGTCACTATCTACCCTTCCCCAGACGCCGTGGTAATGGTCAACGGCCTCCGCATCGAGGAGCCGAAGAGGCTAAAAAGTGGATATCGAGTGATCCTGGGCGACTTCCATGTCTTCAGGTTCAACAACCCGGAGGAAGCCAGAGCGGAGAGGAGAATCAGGCATCTGAGCGGAATGTCAGTGTCTGCTGGACAGAGCCCATTGCGCGTAGGAACACCTTTGTCACCAGGTAGAGATAGTGATGTCTTTGAAACTCAATCTGAGAGTCCGTTTGATGCGCCCGCAACCGTGGCTGCACCGGGGGAGAATGACTGGCTTTTTGCCCGACGAGAAGCGAACTTGTCCATCCTTGGAAGTGATCTGACGATGGAAGAATTGGACGACGACCAACTTGATCAGATGTTCGATGACCTTCAACGTATCCGCACGCTGCGCCGTGTAAGGCCGCGCAGTAGAGGCGCCTTACCAGACGATGATGTCTGGTCGAGCGGCTCCGTGTCCTATAAACGCGACACGCACTCTTCGCTGGGTACAATGATGGACGCGATGAGTTTGGATACCAACATCACAGTGCCGACGGTACAAAACGACATGGAGGAAAAGCTGCGAAGGATGGCGATGGAGGCGAACGAAAGATTGGAGAATAATGGGATGACGGAGCGCGAGTTGGCTTTGGCGAAATGGGTTGTGCAGAAATGGAAGACACGACGGGATCTGAAGCTGAGTGAAGTCGTGTTGAGGTATGCTGTACTGCTTAAGGAAGCTCAGGTGGTGGCCAAGGAACTTGGACTGGATGTGTCATTCCAGTTGACGGTGCTGGATGATGTAGTTGTGCCGGTGTCTCCATACGAGGGACGTGAAGCCTCGATCCTCGGTCTCACTGATGATGACGAGGACGATGACCTACAATCGGCAGAGAAGCCATGTGTTGCAGTACGGGTTGCTGATTTGCAGGCTAACGCTGTTTACTTGTGGTCGCTCGGAAAACTCGAGAGCCGCGTGCGGAAAATGCAGGCTCTCACGGGCAACCTGGATAGACCGGAGTTTCGACAGCACTTTCGTGTGGACGGCTTCCTCGATGAGCAGAAGCCTACATACACGCATGTAGGCACCGCTGTTCTGCCACTTGCGGTTTTAACGAGTTTGGCTGAGCAGGCGCTTACCCTGGATGTGTATTCACCATACACGTCTAATGTCGTTGCTGTATTGAAGGTTCGGGCGTCGCTTGATGTTCTTGATCTTGATTCTGAAGGCATTACGGCTAACCCAAGATTGAATGTTCACTACCTACGCATCGACACCCTTCATGGCCTGTCAGAACGTGAGGCGTCCGAACTCCATCTTCAATGCTCATGGCCGTTCTCGCAACATACCAAGCCAGTGAGAAAGTTTGGAGACGAAGCTGTCCGGTTTGAGGAGGACTTCACTTGTGGAGACCTCGAAGGTTCTACAGTTGACAAAGGTGGAGACATCCGCCTTCATCTCTTCGGTCGCATCACTGAGAACCACATCGAACGTCTCCTGAGTTGGGACCAAATGCGTGAGTTGACGACGCTCGCCGGTACTGAGCACGGTCGTCGTCCTGAAGGGGACTTCATGACGGAGGAGCGGCACGACGTGACTGCTGCCATCCAGATCCTTGAACGGATGGCCACGGGGGAGTATGGGCCTGTTCATGTTATTTGCGAGAATGACTTGGATCCGGGATGCTTCATGCTCCATCTTGGTGTGCAACGGCGCATCCAGATCCGGTTGAGTCATGGTTCAGGGGATCAAGAGGTGTGGTCATCGGTGCTCGCCATGTCCATTGGCCATCCAAGGCTGCTGGCGTCGAAGCCGAATCATGAAAATGAAGCCGACTCCAGGGTTGGTCTCCGCTTGCTGAAAGTCTCGGGGGTGCAAGCGACGGATGACCCTACCGCTACTGTTGGCTTGGCGTCCTGGGACATTGGTGGTCATGATGTCGCTATGCTTGAGCAAGTGACTGCGTCAAGCGATAGAGTTCTGCTCACGCTGAACACTACAGTACAATTGGCTAAAGTTGCCGAGCCGATCACATGTTCGGTCGACATCTCATTGAAGATTGTCGAACGCGACGCCAACACTGCTCCAGGATTTCTCACCCGAATCATGTATCCGTCACAGAAAGTCTGCCTTTCAGCATATGAGCACTTCGCGCTGACGATGTCTCCCGAAGGTGCTAAGACTGCACGCGACGTGTGGAGGATGAATACTGCAGAGAAATATGTACGAGGTGAGGAGAACCTTGATGGATGGTTGTCCAGAGGAAGATCTTTGATTGAGGACTGGGCGAAGGCTGTTGCGATGCAGAAGAGAGCCGCCGAAGTTGCGGTTGCAGCCATGATACATGTACAAGACGTCCCAGTCAGGACGACAGAGCAAAGTGAGGAAGTTCTATTCAATTACGTGGCGCTGTGGATGCGACGCGCACAGGGTACTGTTCCATCTGGATCTTCTTCCCAAGCTTTAGCTTCTTTGGCTGAAGTAGCACCGCGGAAACTCATATGTGCGGTTCAGCCGATCATGAGGACCAGCTCTGTTATCAAGACTGGGTGGCTATCCGTACTTGATAGTCAAACTCAGCAATGGAATAAGCGCTGGTGGGTGTTGCGCCGACCTTATTTATTTCAGTACACGACGTCTGGCGAGGAGGAGGAATGCGGATTCATTATCAACCTCAATGAAGCCAGAGTTGATCACGCTCCAGCAGCTGCGACGGATCCCGGCGTTGAAAACACGTTTGCAATATATACCCAATGGAATGCGGTGATGTTACAGGCGGTTAATAGAGCAGAATACGAGGATTGGATTGCGAGGATTTAGGGGAGTGCGGATCATGGCGTTTTGCATAGGATACCCAAGAGTTACAGCTAATTGCATGTACGAGAAGAAGACAATGAAAGTTTTAGATTGATCTCTTCATATTTATTGCCCGGTAAACGCTCACTTCCCCCGGACAGGCAACGGATCCTGACGTATGCATGGAGAGCGGACCTTGTTGTGCCTTGGCGATAAACACGGAGAGGACCCTGAGAGAGCTCGGCGAAACCTCACCACCAACTCCGTCCCTACAGCCTTCAACATGATCCTTGCACCATTCTTCGTCTTGATCTTCGTTTTGGTCTTCGCCGGTGTCGGCTACTTGACGTTGAAGCAGCTCCAGGACGCCCTCAAGACTGCCAACGAGGAGATGAAGAAGCGCAACGTCAATATCTCAAGCTCTGGAGCAAAAATCGGTGTTCCCGAAGTTTCCCGGGAAGAATACCTTGACAAGACGCAGAAGTGAGCGGGTGCCCGGAATTCATGTTTTTCTTTGCGGTTTCTAACCCGGTTCACAGAGCATTTGTTACTGCTATGGAGCACAGTGAAGCGAAGGGATTCTCAGCACCTCGATTCGTTTCGAAGAAGCCGGCTGGCCCAAAGAGATCAAAATCAGACAAGTCTGTTAACGATTATGAGGTGTGAGGAAGGAATGATAATTCAATTGCCGAGTCGGACGGCCAGAATGTACGATTGACATGTCATTGGATTTTTGAGATCAATTGAAAGAGTACGTGGACTGGGCTTCAGACTTTGCACCACAATTGGAGAGTGAAGGAATCTAATAAGTGTTTTTGATGTTTCGAGCTGAGAAGCAAACTCCTTCCGATATCCAAGCATATATCCGTGTACTAGCTAAGCAAAACCACCTTCAACTTGAGAAGCCTTGGATGTCCACCTACATAGTGATCTCCAGCTGAGCAGGTGGAGGAGGTCCATCATGGTTTCCCTCGTCCATCATGGTAGAAAGTCCATCGAGGTGGTTCTCGGTCTCATTTTGTCTCTCCTTACCAGCCTTCAGCAAGCGCTGGATCAACTCCTTGTTCTCCTGCTGCGCACTGACGGCCTTCTTTCCCTGCTCTCCCTTGGCAACACCCTTGATACTCTCCAAAAGGGCCCACATAATTCCACGTTGATGTTTGCTCGTCTTGGCCTGTCCGAGCCTCCTCTCGAAGTCCTGGTGATCGAAGGTAGGGATCGCTGCCTTGATAATTTCACGGGGAGCTGAAGAACCCACAACTGAGATTCCTTGGATGTAGATGAGTGTGAGAAGAGTCGTAATCTCCTTTTGTTGCTCGATAAAGTACTCGTCGTGAAGGGCGAGAACACCTGCTCGGAAAATCTCGGTACAGATGTAGTTCTGCACAGCATTGATCTCACCTGTCTGTCCACGAGGCTGAACAAGCTCGGGGATGATCTCGCGTAACAGTGCGATGGACTTGCTGCAGCAGCGGGTATCATGGGTGGTAAGGAAGTGTGTGCAGAGCACCAGCAAGGGTTCAACAATCGCCGGTGAGCCCAGAACATACCGCTTGAGCGATTGCAGGTGCAAGAACTCAGTCTTGGCGTTTGCTGAGTGGCCGCTTTGGGCAAGATGTGCCTGTACCGTACGCTCACTGACGGGCTGGATGATGTCCGCCGACAGCCTTATAGCCGCGAAGGACAAGTGCCTCATCAGAGACTCCTCCATCATCTCGCTGGAAAGCCCTTCGCCATCTGCAGAACCATCCTGACCTTCATCCGCTTTCGCAGTCAGCAGACCTCGCTGGGTTAATCTTGCCCATTCACGAACAAGTTTTGCATCCAATTCGTTTAATAACGGAGGAAGCACCGCCTGTAAGAAGTCGTCCCGGAACGATTCGGGGCAGTTGACGACCAAGGGACGAACACCGATGTTGAGCAGATGCGTCCAGGCATGCAAACTGAGCCCATCCACGTTCGTGAACAACGATTGCATAATCGTCTGTGACAGACCCGGCAGACTGTAGAACCTGGTGTCGAGGTTCGACAGGACGCCGAGGAGGATGTAACAATACTCACGAGTCTGTCGAATCCAATCACCAGCGGACTCGACCAACTCCTTGATTGTTCCCGTCGCCTTGCTGCCAGCAATGAACTCATCCTTCGTGGTAGAGCTAACACCGTGCAGCCAGTATCTCTCAATCACACTCTGCTGCACAATGTACTGCAACTCCGCTGGCAGAGACGCGTAGTTGGCTGGGGTATAGTAGGCATGAACCTGTCGCAACAACATAAGAATATTCGGTACGATTTGACCAATCTTCGCCGCCCATAAGTCAAGGGTGAACTGGTGCTGAGGGTGCTCCTTGCTGTGCGAGTCGACCGTGCACTCAATAAACTTGCGGAATCCGCGCAAAGGCCAAACCCATCGCCTCAACTCCTTCAACTCCTTCTGCAGCGCCTCACCCTCCACATCGAGTTCGATATTGCTCAAACTCGCTCCTGGCGCAATCCCACGCTTCCTGAAATACAGCATCATTTTATCCAACCCCATCATTTCCATGAACCCCTCCAAACTAGACAACTTGTTCGTGATATCCGCCTCCGTCCAGGCATTACACACCGGCGAGACAATGTCCTCAAACTTCGTCTTCTTGACATCTTGTGAGATATTTGACCTCTGCGCAATAATCAACAACAGCGCCCTCGGGATAGGAAGATCAGTCCTGCTCAACCGCGCGATATCGCTTGACATCTCATTAACCGTCTTCTCCAACTGATCATAGATAGGCCACAACTGATTCGGCAACATCGCGCCAAGCTTCAACATTTCCTGTCCACACTTTCCCCTGACCTCCTGCAAAGTACCCAACACGGTCTTGTCCGCGTCGGGGATGACATACGCCCAACCCGTAAGCACCTTTTCCAGAACCTTAAACATGAGAGCTTGATTGCCCTCCAACACCGCACCCGCAAAACTGACGATTACTTGCACCTGCTTTCCGAGCATCAACGGGTCGTTAATATCCAACCCCACAGTCCGCTCACACCATTCCTGCATCGTCGATAAACACTGCTGCTTCACCGCCGCATACTCCTCACCAGGATGCAGCGTCTCCCACCTCTTCACACCACGAATCGTTGCCTCGATAAGAACAAATGTCGCATCACACAGCAAATACGTATAATTCTTCTTCGTACAGAAACCCATCGAATCACGATGTGCCGGATCAGGCGGCATGTTAAGGAACATATTCAGGCGTTGGTTGGTATAAGCAACCGCTTCAACCGGACGTCTGCAGACACACAAGCGAGCGATATCGAAGAGGAAACGTCGGTAGTTTCCGGTGAACATATGCATCTCTGGGATAGAGTCGATATCCGTTTCCAAGTATGTCAAGGAGTTCTTGAACGCAGCAATCTCCGTCTCTCCCTTGAATTCTTCGTACTTGATCAGCCTCTCCCCAGCGAGCTCAAGCAGATGCGGCACAATCTTCGCCAAAGCCTCTTTCTCATTCAACCTCTTATTCCTCAACGAGAACTCCCAGAACCCCTGACTCAAACTTGACACGAGCAGCGACTCATGCCTACTCGTCTTCATCACCAACCCAAAATACTTCTCCAGACTCTCGTCACTCGGCAACTCAGCAGCACGCACCTCGTCCAGCAGGTTATACACACCAAGCGCCACGATCGCCTCAACCAGCTTCTTGAGATAAATGTAGTAATCCTCATCCAATGCTTCCGGGTCCAGCCCTGCACAGACGCGGTCATAAACCATCTCTAAACCGGCCAAACTCTCACTCTGAAACATCGTTGCGATCTGAGGCATGAATGGGTCCGTTGGTGCCGCTTGACGCGAAAACAGCAGGTAAAGACAATCCGCAGCCAATGTAGCGATTTGTACCGACGTACACATCAACGCACTACACAACCTCTGCAACAACTGCGCCTCGATAAAACATTCCGTTGGCGTCAGCCCAACGCAGATCTTGAAAGCTTTCAGGACTGCTGCGCCGAGTTTGATGGCTATTTGGGCGCCTTCGCCGCCTTGGTCGGCTGCGATGGAACATTCCGTCATACATTCTGCCCAACGGGCGAACCAGCCTGGATCACCCGCTTCTCTCTCATCGAATTCTGCGCCTGGTACGGGGGCTGTACCTAGGTTCTTTCGTACGGCGTCGGACATGAGAACGCTGAGCATTCCCGCCGTCAGGGTTTGGTGACGCAATGCGCATACGGGGTCATCCAGGATAAAGGTGTCTTCCATGAGTGAGGTGAGTGATGACAGGGCGATCAGTCGGGTTTTGGGTGATTCGCGCCAAAGACCGAGAAGAGTTGCTGAGTATTCGGGGAAGAAGGGACTGAACCATGCCCGCTTCGCAATTTCCGTAAGTAATACCGACAGTTTTTCTGGAATATACGACGGTGAGTTTCGTTGTGCCTGTATAGAACCATCGCGTCAGTACGCTGAGAACAAACCATATCACCCTGGTCCCATACCTCCTGAACAACAAGTTGCACAACACACCCCTTCAACTCCAACTTCTGTTCATCCGAATAATTCGTCCACGCATATCGTACACACCCCTCCAACATACTCAACCCAAAATGCCGTACCATCCCGACATCCACGCCCTCAGCCTCCGTCACCTTCGCTAACTCGAATCCGTAGATGGGAGCGAACTCGTAGTTCTCCTTAAGGTTTTCTAAATCGGTTTGAAGCTGTTTTCGGACATCGTTTGGTGTCAATGGGTTGTGGATCTGTGCCAAAGCGTTGACGATTTGCGGGAGGGCTATAACAAAGCAACACCATAAGCAACGTAAACAGAGCGAAGATTGATGAGAACATACCCGATGGATCCATGCCGAAGAGATTTATGCGCCGTCTAGGACCGGCAAGGTTCCTTGTTCAATGGCAATCGAGATTGAGTTGGAGTGCGGTGTTGATACGCGGCTCACTGACATGCGCACGCGCATCATGCCTGCGGGTGTTACGAACAGAGAGAAAAGCTTAAGTCGAATTATGAACCAATGGGGGATTCAAATCGGAGGATCATGGGGTTATCCAATTTTCGTCGAAGATGATGAAACAGCGTGAGATATGACCATGGATATGCACATGATATCTTAGATATACTCATATCCTCCTCCACAATCCCTCCGGGTATCCTACTCATGACATGCCACTTACTCCGCCTCCGCAATCGCAACCTTCGCCTCCTCCCTAATCTGGTTCTCAATCGCCGCATCATTCCCCAAGTTCAACTTTTCCGTCTCTCCACCAACTTCTCCATCCTCCTTAGCCTCCAGTCCAGTCTTTCCCTCTCCATCCCTGGCAATCTTAATCCTCGCATCCTCCTCACCCTGCACCTCCTCCGCCTTCGCCTCCCCAAGCTGGAGCTTCGCAGCTTCTTCGATAAGGCGAGCTTCGTCGCTCGCCCTCTGCAACCTCTCCGCATCAGCCTCATTCTTCTTCCGGATATACATCAACAACTCTGCCACGATTCCTCCATCCTCCACAGCCTGGACCTCCTCCGCCTTCCACTTCTTAAGGAGCGTGGCACGCTTCTTCTCCTTGCGCTGTTCCTCGATTTTCTGCGCCTCGGCAAGGATACGGGAGAGGCGGAAGTACATGTCGCCGATATTATGTTTTTGGAGGATGCCGTAGTTGGTGATGGTCTCGATCGTCGCCTTCTGGGTTGCGATGGCGGCGGAGTAGTCAGCCGTTGCGATTTGTGCATTCGTCGTGGGTCCGGCGTGGGTTAACGCGAGAGTATGGCCAGGGTGGAGCTTCAACCCCATACCGGAACCAACGACATACTTCCCATACCACGCACCAAGCCTCGTCTTACTCTGCACGAACCCACCAGCTCCACCACGTCTCAATCCTTCCTGCGCAAGATTCAAAGCCTTATCCGCCTCCGTAATAAACTTGGCCCAATCCGCATGCGTCAACTGACTCTCACAATCCGAACAAGCATAAGACCTCTCAGCCCTAATATCCTTCCCAGCCTGCATCGCCTTCACATCCTCAAAGATCGAATGAATGGTGCGCGGCGGGATGATGTACACACCACCCTTACACTCCGCACACCTAACCGCGGTCAAGAACCGATCGGAGGATTTCTCTATATCGGTCGCGCAGCGTTTACAGCGGCACCAGTAGCGGCGACGCATGAGGATTGCTCCGCGGCGGTTGTCACGGGGTTGGAGGAGTTGGTCGATAAAGGTGACGGTGATTTCCTCACCGGTTTTGATGGGGCGGAGGGCTTGGATGGAGATGGCGCGTTGAGGGGTGTTCTCAGGCAAAACAATCAAGTGCGCGTTGGGTGCACAGGAGTGGGGTGCGTAGAGGAGCGTGAGCGGGAAGACGCCCAATGCAGACTGGGGCGAGGGCAGTGAGTGCAAGTTCGCGACGATACGGGACGCGAGCTCGGTGAGGTACTGCACGGTGTATGGTGGCCCATCCTTCGGTGACGGAACGAGGTTCATCATGATTGACCAGAACTTGCCCCATCCTTTCGCGTCCGCGGTCTCCATATTCTCTCTCCTCGAGAACAAAGCCTCAAACACATCCGTCTTGGTACCGTACTCGCATACCTCCGCACCACCCTCCTCCGCCGCCTTACGCGCAAGGGTCTTGATCGCGAGACGAGCAACGTCAGAGTCGATTTTCTCGCTACTCCCAAGGTTGACAGAGTTGTTCTTCCGTTGTAACTCCTGCTCGGTCTTAACGGCCTCATTCGCCGCCTCGACCGCAGCATCAAACTCCTGCAACGCCTTACACTCAATCTCATGGATCGGGTGCTCCATACCCTGACAATCAGTCGAACACCACCCAACCTTCTTACAGTCCTCACAATCAACCCAATTGGCCGTAGCTGACGCAGTCTTCGAACTCAAACACAACGAACAACTCCCAGTCCTCGGAAACACAGCGGTAGCAGTCTCCGTCATAATCACCTCCCCAACCTGAATATCCCTCTTCGCAAACGCATGTCGTCCCCTAACCCCGGACCACTTGGGCTCGATCGCAGCCTCGAGTTTGTCCAATAATTCGGCGTGGTACTGTAAATCAGTCGGAGCCTGAGCTGGTTTCTTGGGCTTGTTGGCCTTTTTCTTGGGTGCGGTGGAGCCGTTGGAGGAGAGGGCGGGGTCGATGATCTGTGTTGATTCTGGATCGGACATTGTAATAATGGTGGATTGAGAATTGCAATTGACCTTGGTGGTGAGGTTGGTCTCTTGGGATCGCCGAGGATACCTTTGAGCGTCAGCGGGGATCAACCGTCGACACGTTGCCCGTTTCGGACAGGTGCGGAGAGCGATGTTGAACTCGGACGGCTGGACATGGATGAGATGGGATAAACGGGTGATAATTATCTTGAATATTATCCTTGCTTTTCCGTTGTAGCTACACAGGATCAGCCTACTTCTGCTTCGCTCCCTCCGCCAAAAACCACTCATAAGCACTCCTCCATGCGTCCTTGCCCTTCCCCTCAATAACATCCCCATGACACATAATTAACCTCTCAAAATCCCACTTCATCGTCTCCCGTGCCGCCTTACACATCTGCTCCCTATCCTTCGCGCCCACATACCACAAAAACCTCTTATGCCACACACTCTCATAATTCAACAACGCCGCAACCGAAGCAAAGGGATGGAGGAGTCCGGGCTTGGTGCGTAGCTTTGAGGCGTGCGGGGAGGAGTATTGTTCGCGGCCGGGGAGGTTGAAGAGGAGGTCGGCTGTGATGAGGGTTTTTGAGGTGGGGTGGTAGAATGCGATATCCTTATTGACGAAGCCGCTGAAGTAGACGCTTTGGATCTCGCTCTCGAACGGCAGAGTCTCTGATCCGCCTTTTTCGCGGTAGAGCTTGGAGAACTTGTAGTCTGGGTACTTCTTCTCGACACCCTCTGGGCCAATCAATTCGGCATCGGGGAACGCCTCATGCCAATTCTTGAATCCCATCTGGTGTTCCAAATCGGGCGCAACAATGTATTTCACCTTACCGAATGCCTCGACCTTCGCCTTGATGGTCTCGTCCAGCTTCGGCGTCGGTGAGATAACGAAGAGATCCTTCTCAGTGAGAGGAGAGGAGTTGGGCGTAGACAGACGAATGAGGGTAGCACGACCACCGAAGGGCACGAGGCCCATTCGGTTGAAGGGGAAGGAAATGGTAAGGATTGAGGGGTGGGGATTTGCGTAGACGTATGTTACGGGGTTCGTCATGGTGGTGATCTGCTTGGTATAACTGCTAAGGTGCGTTATGAAGGGTCCACTGGATGTTGTTTCTATCGAGGCAACTTGGGTTTCCTTGGAACGAGTTGGCGACACCCTGAGTCCCTGACGTCATGGATATCGATAATGCAATGTTCTACTGAATAATTGCAAGCATGAAGCTCACCTTGCTATTTTTACATGGCAGCTGTCCCTGACGTCACCACCAAATCCAAGTTGCAAACTCACCACCAACTCCATCATCAAGGGTGATTCATCCGATGACAGTGCTTAACTCACTCAACCCGAATGCCTGTATGTCCTCCTTTCTATCCTCCTCCCTCTCCCATTACTAACACCATCTCCGCAGTCCTCCGCGGCTTTCAACTGACCTTCCTCGGAACCTACCGCGCCATCCAAAACCCCTCCCTCTTCACAACCGAACACTACCGCCTCGCCTTCCGCTTCTTCATCCTCGGCCTCGCTCTCTACATCCTCATCGAGATCCCCATTCTCGGTCTCCGAAACTTCGTATGGCTCACTTCCTGGTTCGTCGATCTCGATAAATACGGCTGGGATGAATCATTGTTGAGCTGGCTGGGATTCGTGGAGAAGGAGGTGTTGCAGGTAGGGTTCGAGGCAATGATGGTATGGAAGTACGTTGATCCGGCCCCGACGGATGAGTTATTCATGACTTCCTTGAAATGGGTGGACAAAACCTACACCACAAAACACTCCAACGAAGACCCCAACACCCTCCGTCCTCCTTACCACACCTCACTTACCCTCTACCCCCCACGCACCCAACGAACCCGCACCCACCTCCTCACCTTCCTCCAACGCCGCGCAAAACGCATGGCAATCGGACTCGCCGTATTCTCCGCCGCACAAACACCCTTGATCGGCTCGTACGCGGTCCCACTCGCGACCATCTACGGCCTCCACCGCACCCTCGGTCCCGCCCGCGCCGGAATCTTCGCGGGCGTGTTGTGGTGTTTACCGAAGAGTTATGCAGTAATCGCCTACCAAGGCTACTTTGCCTCCCGAATCCTCGTGAATGACCTACTCAGCCCGTATTTTACCCGAATCCCCTTCACAGCCGCTCAAAAACGGAAGTGGTTCCGTGAGCGGGAGGGAGTGTTGGCGGGATTTGGGGTGGGGTGGTATCTCCTTACTCGTATTCCCGTATGGGGTGTACTGTTCCTCGGACTCGCAGAAGGATCTGCGGCGTTTTTGCTGACGAAAGTCACTGATGCCCCGCCTATGCCACATGTTGCCCCGGGGAAGGAAGTGGGAGATGTACCGATGGAGGGAGAAAAGAGGGTTGAGACGGATGAGAGGGTCCGGGAGTATTGTGAAAGGGAGGTGGGGTGGAGGAATCGGAAGAAGTTCTTGGGGCTGGGGTTGGGCGATCTGCTTAAAGGGGATTTAGGGATGGAGAAGACTGCAAAGGCCGAGTGATATGACGCGAGAAATCTGGGTGTATGACACATGATTTTGAGATGAGTGGTGATATGTAGCCGTATACTTATACCCTGCAACAATTTCATCAAGAAGCTTAAAGCCTGGGAAGATCAAAGTCAGCTAAGACAGAGGTTTTCCTAGCGGTTGCGGGATGTTGAACGTTACAAGCGGCCACGATTGCATGACCTTTCGGAAAACACAGTTCAGTATGCAATAAGCACCCGTTGTATTCGTAGAGGCTCCATATCAATCGTCCATAAAAATTCCCATTCGCCATGCGCAACCAAAGCCAAAAACGCCAATAATGTCCGTGCCCTAAAAAACACCCTTGTCTCGATCGTCCATCGATGCCCTACCCTCATCTTCACCCCATCACACCCTCTCAACATAAACCGCAAACCGCCCTCCAACGAAACTCTCCGCCAACCCCTTCCCACTCCCCGTCGTCTGACTAAACGCAACCATCTCCCTCCCAACCCTAACCCCAAACACGAAGTTCTCTCTTGCGACCTCTAAAAGCGTTGATGCGATCCGTTGACGGCGGTGGGAGTGTGAGGTCCAGATTCGGGAGATACCGAGGAGAGATGAATGGGGGGTTGGTGAGAGGGAGATTGAGGTTGAGGTGTGTGTTGGGGTTGGGGTTGGTTTCGTGGCGGGTTCGCCGGGTGAGGAGGAGGAGTCTGGCGGTGGGAAGGTCGAGTCGGGGAGGGTTAGGTAGGCTTCCGTGATGCGTTCGGCGAGTAGTGCACCGACGACCTTCTTCCCCTTCACGTACAAGAAACATTTATACCCTTTCCCTTCCTTCCCTAACCACTCCCCTCCCGTTCCTGTGCCCACCCCACCTTTTTGCGCTGCCCCCAGTTCCGTATTCACAACCTCCATGACCTCCGTACACTTCCTCCTAAGTCGCACATCCGACTCACGATCGACCGCGACGACCCTGTCTCCATTTTCTCCAGTCCAGCATGCATCGGCGGCGAGTGGAGATGGGAAATCAACCCCCCCGACGGATTTGGCGTGGAATTTGGAGTGGAGGGCGTTGTCTTCGGGGTTTTGGGGGGAGTAGGACATATTGCATTGTGTACATGTCGTCTTTACTCTCTGCCCAAGGTCGAGGTACAGTTGTGTCAATGTTCCTCCTCCTGCGATCTTCTGGGTGGTTTTTGGGTTTGGGATTGATTTGCCCGACGAAGTGGTGCTGGTGCTTTTCCGCTTGAGTCCAGGAAGTTTGGGGATCGTAGTCCTTCGTCGGATGGGAGAGATTTCAGGTTCTGGGGGTGAGCTTGAGGGAGGGGGACTCAGGGGATCTAGGCGGGGAGCGAAGACGGTGGGGTCGTTCTCCTTCTTGACGCGTTTGCGAGGCGGCGAGTCGAGCGTACTACCACCAAACATCAGAAACCAACCAAAAGAAAAAGGGGGAACGCGTACTCTTCGCTCATGGGCGCCTCAACGCGTGGTTTGCGAGCATAGGTTTTACGGACTGGAGGACGGCTGTAGGCAGGAGATGTCAGCAGAGAACAGTACAGAGGACGCTTGTTACTTACTCCATGGCAAGGACAGGCAGTGTTGTATCAAGGTCGTTCGAACTGTCAGGGTTGTCTGGTAATATATGGGCGGGTACCGGTAGACGCGACTGCACGTGACCCGGGACCTCAACAGACCCGTTTCGCATGGAACACGACATTGGTCCTTGGAGGAAGTCCAATAAGGTCGGAAGAAACCTTTGATAATAACGCAAATAACAAGTGAATAATGGTATCTATTGTCCTACTTACTTACTACCACCTCCATACACACATATCCTTCTTAAATCGTCACCCTCAACCCGGTAGCATTTTGCCCCACAGCCGACACCTGACAAATCGTACACACGCTCCCCTTATACTCCGGCAAATACGCCGCCTGATCAAACGGACACCTCACGCTCGGACTTGACGCGTAGATGGGGGTATTGGATGCAGCACAGACCTCGAACTCGGCAAAGTGGTCGAAATCGATCTCGACGGCGTCGCGGGGGTTGCGGTCTCCGGCTTGGATGATCATACGTGCTTGCTCGAGCGCTTTGCCTCCGCCACCGTTCACCAATTCCTCGAACGAGTGTGCGAACTTGGCGGCAGAATCAAAGTTCTTGGCCTTGTACGCAGAGTTCATCGCGGAACGCAACGCCAACTGCTTATGCGCAGGCTGCAATTTCGCACGGGTGAAGTATGCCGCCAACTCCAAGTTCCTCTTCAACTGCTCAGCATCCGTTCCGATTTCTCTTCGGGTAAGCTCGATGGAGAGACCGAGAATATATTCCTTGCAGACTTCGACAAGCTGAGTGAGTTCCTCCGCCTCAGACTGAGAAGAAACGGCAGTCAAGAGAAGGGTATGCAGAATCGTACGGAACAACGTCACAGCCTCACCGATATTGTTAGCCTTGACGAGCTTGTAAGCCTCCTGCAACTCATCCGTCGCAACCGCGCTCAAATCCCTAGGAATGACGGGCAGGATCTTCCGAGAATCAGTCTCATCCGGATTCCTCCTGACATGGTTCTCCAAACTGGGCAATCCGGCACCAGCAGGGAGGTACGTCTTACTAGCCTGAAAGATCGCCATGAAACGGGGCTTGAGGGGCTCAAAGTTCACGGCACCGATTTGTCTGTCCAAGAGCTGCATCGCGCTCTCAAATGAACCGGCAGCGACATGATCAGCCGCCAACGGCGAGTTACGGACCCAGAGATCCGCCTCGGAGGTACCAGGCTGAGCAGGACCGACATCTTCGGCGACTTGTTCCTCCTCGGGTGCCTCCATAACAATATCATCATCGCCCATATCCCATCCACCCTCCTCATCCTCGTCGCCCTCAACATCAATCAAGTCCGCAGCCTCATTCGCATCATCCCACTTCTCCTCCGCCGGAGTCGCCGGAGCATCCTCGAGGCTCATGTTCGCAACCTGATTCAACAACGTCTGCTCAAACTTGCTCTGACTCGCCGGCCTCAACGGCCAATTTGCCTCGAAAGTCTTAGACACGACAGCAGGAGGCTGCAACGCCCCGCCCATCTTATTCGGCATCTTAATCTCCTCCTCGCTCATCCCACACGCCTCCAAGATCTCCTGTGCCTCAGCCTCGAGTCCAGCAGTCTTGGCAGTCATGTAAGCAAGCGGATAAAGATCACACTCCTTCAACATCCTAATCCTAGACTCGACGTCACCCAAGAACAACGAGTTCTGAAACTGCGACATATAATCCCCACGATGTTCAGCAATCTTGAGCATCCGTCCCAACTTCTCCTGGTTTCCGGTCGCGAGGTAAAGGAACGACAACTTGTCGAACGCCTTCTGCTTCTGATACGTCATCTCCACAACCTGGTGGTTTCCCTGCCTCAACGCCTCCTCACCAAGCTTTGTCCACACCTCAGGCCTATCCAGCGTCTTCGCCTCTTCGAGCGCGATATCCAAGTTTCCGCACTCAAGCGCAAGCGCAAATCGCGTCTGAGGGTCCTGAACGAATTGAAGCGCGATCTCGGGGTATCCCTTCTTCTGCAGATACGAAATGATACTCTGTCCCACCAAGTTCGAAGTACGGATGATATGAAGCATCTCCTCATAATTCCTCTTGACGAGCGCGAGCTTGAAACGGTACTCAGTCGGGTCAATCGAGTAGATAACCGTCTTTGCCGACCTGTCAAGGCAGAAGACGTTCTTTCCCTTAACCTTGACCAAATACATCGGCTGCTCAAGCGTCCGAATGATACCGTTGTCTCCGTTGAGCAAGGTGTACTTGATATGGTTGAGGGTACTGTACAACAACACACCCGTATCATCCCACGTCGCACTCTTAATCCTAATCGTCTCGTGCAAGCTAGAAACCTGCTCCAAATTCTTGGTAGCGATCGTAACGGTATGCTTTCCCAACAACGCAACATGGCTTCCATCATTCGACCACACGACCTTCTTAATCAACGGAGTCTGCAAGTCCGCGATTTGCTTGCCTTGAGCGATATCGTACAACCCAACACCAGCAGCGAACGCAAAGACCAGCATTCCCGCACCGCCGTAGTAGACATCGGTGAGGGGCTGCGTAGGCTTGATCGTCTTTGTGACAGCATTCGAGAGATCACGAATTTCGATCGTGTTCGAAGCCTTATTGAAAACTGCAAACCTGTTCCTAGCGACCCAAAACGCACTATTCCCAGACCCTCTTACAAATTCCGTCTCCTCACTCCCACTGCCATCCCTCGGCAAATTCGCCAAGACGAAAACACCGTTATCGACGGACGACGTAACCAACACCGACCTTTCGGCAGGGTTGTATGAGAGGGTGCGAGGTTGGGTCCAAGCGTTTCCGAGTTTACGGAGGGAAACGAGGTTTTGGGAGGTGGTGTTGGAGGTCATGTCGTAGGACCTGACATACTTGTCCTTGGTAACCCAGAACAGGGAGTTGGCGTGCACCGAACACGCCGGCCTCTCACGCTCGAGCTTGAAGACCATGACACCGCTGTCGTGTCCAGCCGCGAAGAGGTTAATCTCCGGGTGCGCAACAACAACCCAGAAACGGTCATTCTCGCGCCTGAAAGAGGCGACGGAAGAGCGGGTGTTGAGGTTCCAAACACGAAGCGTCTTATCCTCACCACACGACAACAGCAGTTCCTGACGCGGGTGGAACAAGGCAGCACAAGCATTGTGGAAGTGTCCACGACAAGTGTCGACCTCCCACGCCTTCGTCTCCGACATACGCCAGAGCTTAACGAGACGATCATCACCGGCCGAAACAATCAGCGGCAAAGTCGGATGGAACGAAACCCAGTTAACACCACGATCGTGCCCATCAAGCACGAACCTACAAACCGCATCCTGGTTCCCGAATAAATCACCACCAGCGCCCGCAGCAGCACTATTCGCCCTCGCCATCTGTTCCTCAAACGTCATCGTCTGCGGCGCGACCGCGCTTTTCTTGCGCAGGTTCGAGATATCCCATACGCGGACCGTTTGGTCGAGGGAAGCGGACACGATGAGGTCTTCCTTGGGGTGGAATTGGGCACACATGACGTAGTGGTTGTGGCCAGTGAGGATGGCGATACAGGTTCTGGACTGCCAGTTCCAGATACGGATTGTTTGGTCGTCGGAGGCGGAGAGGATCCAGGGGTATTCGTGGTGGAAGAAGACGGTACGGACGTAATCCAGATGTCCTGTGCGGATTCGTTAGCATTTCGTTCGTTCGTGGCGAACAACACTAGCAACAAGTCCACACACCGTTCAGGGTAAACAAGCACTTCCGGGTCTTGTAGTTCCAGACTTTGATTTTGTAGTCGTCACCACCGGAGACGAACATCTCCTTCGTCGGGTGAAACGCAATTCCACGAACGGGACCATCGTGTTCCTCGAACCGGTCGAGCAGGGTGCCCATGCGGTAGTCCCATAGTTGGATTGTGCCGTTATGGAGGGAGGTCAGAATCCATGGACGGTTGGGGTTGGGGTGGAATGCGATTCCTTTCGCGCGAGAAGACTTCGACTCAAACTGTGTTTCTCCTGGGTCAGTACTGGTCCGCAATCGGTCTCGCAACAAGAAGTACATACCTTTGTGAGGAGCTGCATCTCGCCCGCCATTGTCGGATCGCGGTGGTGTTCTGACTGAAGCAATTGACCGTTCAGGCTCAATGGAGAGGGTAGGAGAGATCGAGAGGTTGTCGTTTTTGGGGGTTCTGTTTTGTTGGTTGCGTCGGTCGCGTAACCAACAAGTCGCTGGCAGGGACCGGCGCCTCGATGCTACGTGTTGTGCGTGCAGCCAAACAGGTCACATCCTGGTGATCCGACAGGAAAACACCGATTTTAAGATGCCTTTTTATCAGAAACTGCAGACAATTTTACCAGACAGCTCCTTGTTCCCTCCAATACCTCCCCGTCCCCTGTAGACCCTGGGTTCCCCACACCGCCCGCTACGCAACCATACAAAAGTCGACCCGGAATGCTTCCTCGGCCTTCTTTATTCCACCATCTCGATTATCAGTTAACGATGGATCATGGCAACTCCAGACGTGCTATCAAGTAGTCCTCCGACCAGCAGAAACGACACGATTCGCCATGCGCAACAGCCGCCGCCTCTCAACAGAGCTCCTTCCTCGAGTATGTCGTGGACTGCAGAGTCAGTACCGGTCGACAAATCTTCAAGAGATATTGGACCAGTGATCGAGGAGCTACCAGATCTAGAGAAGCCTTCCCCTCTGGGAGAAGCAGGAGTGAACAGAGATCCAGAAGTGGAGGAGACTGAGGACACCATCGCCCCATGGCAACGAAAAGTAGAGGCGGACAGGATCATGGTCGAGGAACTACATACACCAGAACCTAGTTCTGGGAAGAAGAGGAAAGGTCATGATGAAGGAGAAGCTGACGGAACGCCGACCAAACAAGGCCCGGGGGTTGGTCCAGCGAGATCAGAGGAGCGGATCATCCCAGCAAAGCGGATCAGAAAAACATGATTTCGCACATCTACACCAAAGCCACTGACGGGTAACAAAAATGTCTGTAGATATCTCACTGATTTTACCTCCCGACGGCACGATAACGTACCGGTAAACGGTGAACCAGTGCGGCCCGAAGGATGGATCCCGTGGGAACCCCGCACTTGCACCCAACCATAAGAGGTTCAAGACCCATTCCTTCATTCTAGTCAACAACTGTCAACTCCGGCATGGAGCTATTCACAGATTACGATTTCGGTGTGGGTACTGGTCTAGAGGTGGTACCCGTCTTCGCACCCGACTGGGAGGAGGACGAGACTGTTGTGACTTTGAACCACAACAGCAGCGATAACAAGGGTACCATCAACCTTGAAGTCGAGAAGCAGGAGAAACACGAGCTTGTTTCCTACGAAGAGTCGGATCTGAGCTCAGCTCAGGACCTGTCAGGCAAGCAGCCGAGCGGGATATATGCCCTCGATAATGTCTGACTTAGATGTTTAAACAGACCCAGAAAACGATATCGACGAGGTCCAAGTTGATGTGGTAGGGGATGAAGTTGAGAAAGAAGAGGAGGCAGCTGCGAAACCGCAAGAAGACGCCCCGAACACCGATGCTTCCTCCGAAGAGGAAGTCAGTCCCCCCAAGAAGCCTGAGGTCAAGAAGAATGCAGCAACGTCTCGTAAGAGGAAGGTCAAGGTGGAGGCCTCAGGTACTGCAGTTTCGCCTTTTTCCTGTTCATCTGCAGCACAGAAAACTGACCTTCACTGCCATACAGACGAGGATCCGGACGTCAAGTCAGAGCACGAGGATGATGGGAAGATCGCGAAGTCCGCACCTAAGCGTGCGAGGAAGAAGAATGGAGTCGCCACTCGTAAGAGGAACGTCAAGACAGCTGATTCAGGTGAGAAACACAACGACCTTGCCCCACTCCTATACAGTCGTGAATGCTGAGTTTGGTTCCTCACAGACGAAGAAGTCAAGTCCGAGGTTGAAGACGAAGACGAAGAAAAGATGGCGAAGCCGGCCGCCAAGCGATCGGTCGGAGAGACAAACCGGGATGGGACGAAGAGAGGCGGCTATACGCAGCAAGAGGATATGCGTATGATGATTCTTAGAGCCCAGGGCTTGTCCTGGTATGTCTTCCTCCCTTCCTCGCATCCACAAATCTCACAAATCCTCCAGGAACGCCATCGCCAAAGAATTGCCCGGCCGTAATGCCCACAATCTCCAATCCCACTATTGCGTCGCCAAACTTGGCAAACTTGACCTCTCCTCAATCACCTTCGACACATCTCACGGTTGGTCCAACGAGGCAGTGCAGTTTTTGCAGTTTATGAAAGAGGGGCGGAAGGCGACTTGGAAGCAGTTGGAGCAGTATTTTCCGGGGAAGTCGGGGAACATTTTGCAGAAGTATTATTCGGCGGTCACGCGTGGGAAGATTAAGGGGAAGGGAATTCTGGGCGGTGAGAAGGTGAAGGATGAGTAGGTGGGTTATACATACTTCAGGCTATGTTCGAGTAACGACGGATGAGGCATCGGAATGAGCAGAAGTATCATTCAGCTGAAGTCATTTGTGAAGGCGTATGCATATGTTTACTGAGCTACAGTATTAGTAATGAGTAATCTTATCTTCACATCAAACAACGAGCTGGGAAGTGTTTCCAACAGCCTTTGGAAATACTGTTTTTGTTCGACGGCAATTAAACGCGTTCGGATGTTCTTCATTACCAGTATTGTCCGCGACACGTGGTGAATCCAAAATGACATCCGTTACCGGAGGCACGGCTGGGAGTGACATATGTCTTAAGGCCAGAAATGCCCACATAATCCACAGCAACCGCTTACAAGACGTCTCTTCAGCTTCGCCGACATCAGCCGACTTGATGACCGCGGCCCATGACATGAGGAGGTTGTGCGTGAAAACAACCTCACACTGGAGTTCGTCGACCACGATGGAGAATGCGGTTCGTCTCCGGACCTAGAGCGAGCCAAGGTACTGCTTCATTGGCTTCTGCTCTACTTCGCAGGCCTTAAGGATCATTGAGTGACTTGATCCTCCCAAAACCTTCACCCAGCTGCGTACCTCCCTAACCCAAGTATCTCATCCATACTCTCCGCCTTAACCTCACGGAGCACTTCCTCCATCCCTTCCTTGACCTCCCTACGGAGGTCCAAAATCGCAGTCATCGCACACATTTTCTCATGCTCCTCCTCGTCATCCTCACTCTTCACCGCAGTAAGGCCAAGGACAGCATCCATCGCATTCTCAATCTTGGTCTCATCAGGCTCGGACTTGGTATCTTTATCGTTTCCTAGACCCAGCAAGAGGTCCATGTTGGATATCTTTTTGTCGTCTTCCAAGGCAAGAGATTGTTCGTAGGCTTCTTCTTCTTCAGCGAGCTGTTCCAGGGCGGTCTTTTTGTCTTCCCGACCCCGTTCTGACTTCACGACTTCGGACAGGACGTCGTCTTCAGACTCATCCAGGGCCTTGCTCTTGACGTCCTCGTCTTTCGATACACCGCCTTTGATTGCTTGAAGCCGCTCATTCGGCAGCAATGTCCGCGCGAGAGTCTCATGCACCTCCGGCTCCAATCTTGTCCTTAACGCCTCTAACAGCTGTCTTTCACTCTCACCAGAATCCTTTTGCGACCTCCGTCTCTTCCGCTTCCCCGGCGGTGGGGGTGAACTATCTGGGGATGGTGACAGGTCGGGGAGGTCATCTTCCGCCGTAGTGGTTGAGAAGAAGGGCCGATTCGAGGAGGCAGCAGCGACTGATGTGAGCTCGACGGCGGAGAATAGGGAGAGGACGGAAGCAGCTTCTGGATCCATCGCAGGTAGGGGATTGACCGAAGACCCTGCAATGTTTATAGGGCTTCGGCAGCCGACGGTCCACGACGGTTGTCGCCGTGACGCCCTCATCTTGATACATCATAATACTCTGGTTAGATTTGACTTAGTATCCTAAAATATTACTGATATTCCTCTCATCCCATTGCCTCCCTGATTTGTCACGGAGAACCTTCTTGCTGATGACCGAATTTCGCACTAACCCAGCTGCTGCCGCCTCACAACCGCAACCACAGAGAAACCAGGTAACCTCTCGAACAACAAACCTCCATCCACACCAAGCATACGAAATGGCTCTCAAGCGCATCAACAAGGAACTCGCTGACCTCGGACGCGACCCCCCCTCCTCCTGCTCTGCCGGTCCCATCGGGGTACGTGTCCCTTTGTCACCCACTGGTGGTGGCACAAACATGTGGAAGGAGTGTATTGACAATGATTTGATAGGATGACCTCTTCCACTGGCAAGCAACCATTATGGGCCCCGGTGACTCTCCCTACTCCGGCGGTGTCTTCTTCCTCGCCATCCACTTCCCTACCGATTACCCCTTCAAGCCTCCTAAGGTTAACTTCACGACGAGGATTTATCACCCGAATATTAACTCGAATGGATCTATCTGTTTGGATATTTTGAGGGATCAGTGGAGTCCGGCGTTGACGATTTCTAAAGGTATGTCTTGCATCCTGTGTGGGGTGTGATGGGGGTGAATGCTACTCCAATGGGGTGTACGCTTCCTATTTTCACCAATGCACCTCGTACGTTTGAATTATGTGAATGAATGCTAACCAATTGACAGTCCTTCTCTCTATCTGCTCTATGCTCACAGATCCCAACCCTGACGACCCTCTCGTCCCCGAAATCGCACACGTCTACAAAACCGATCGGGCGAGGTACGAGGCCACCGCGAGGGAGTGGACGAGGAAGTACGCCATCTAAGCTTCAGGTTTCGATGGCCTGAGTAGAATGAAGGAAGGAAGTGATGAACGGAGGCGTGTAAGATGATATAGGCATGTCGGTTTATTAGCTTTTGTCGGAGTCGAGGGGACGAAGGATGGTGGAGAAGAGCGAAGAATTGCGTATGTCTGCGACAGAATGTGATTCTCTTGCTATACCTTGAACGTTGTGTCTTGTGCTCCGTGTTTGCGGTGGGGTCAATGTTGTGCGATTCCCTATCCTATGAAATGTCCTTCGAAAATAACCATATAAAAACGCGTAAAGAAAAATGTATTGACCAGCAACACATACAAACGAACGCCAAGTGTCCCTAGTGTAATCATCAATACAGTGTCCATCTTACTCCACTCCCCGATCACCTCCTACTACATCCCCAATCTCTGCTCCAGCACCTCAACCCTCACCAACGCCGCATCCCTCTCCTTCCTAACCTTCTTCAACTCCCTTGCCATCCGTTCGACCATCCTAAACAGATCTTTGGCGCTGCCCAAGACTTGATCCTCCAGATTGTCTCCTTCGTGTTCGTCGTCTGAACCTGCACTAATGTCTTCGTCTTGATCGGAGAAGAAGCCTGAGTCGTCGACGGCGTGTGAAGGAAGTGAGAAGTTTCGGGGGGCTCGCGTGGGCGATTCTGGGATGTATGGTTCGTCGACGTCGAGGTCGGTGGTGGATTGTTGAGTGAGTGGGCCATTCGTATACGCATCCTCGTCATCCTCCATCTCCTCCTCCTCATTCATTTCCTCTTCTTCTACCCCCTCTTCGTCGGAAGAGTCATCAATCAACGACCCCTGCGACTGCTGACTATAATTCAACGTCGGACTCCCCTCAAACTCAATCGGCGCTCCAGCATTCCTCGGTGTCCCAAACCCAAGCGGGGTCTGTAAGCGCACCTCGGTGGGTAAGAACTCAGCTTGTTCGATTTCAGGAGTCTTTACGTCCTCGGTGGCTAGGGTGCTGGAGCGCCAGGTGTGATTTTGGGGGTGGGATCGACGTGCGAGTTTTTGGGAGGGGAGGAGGTGATCTTCGCCATGCGAAGAAAGCGTATAGGAGAAGGGCCGTTTAAGCATGTTAGAAGAGAGAGAACCGGTCGTTTGCGGACGTGCTCCGGCGCCGGGGAATGGACGGAGGTGGAAGTGTGTTGGTGGGGAGATGGAAGCTGCGGGTTCGAGGGTTGCGCGACGGGTTGGTGATGGACGGGGTGGGGTGTCGCTGTGATAAGGTATGTGGTTAGAGGATTGGAGAAAGAGGCGAGGAAAGGAAGAGAGGTACCTCATGATGGACAAATGCTATTGAATGAAGGGGCTGGTGGGGTGGAGGTGATCAAGGCTTGCAGGTTTGCGTAGGGAGAAACGGGAGACGCGCCGTAAAGTGAAGGAAGACGCGAAGGTAGACGCGTGTTGAGTGTCCATTGAAAGCGTGAAAACGAGACGAAACTGTTTCAAAATAACTTGGAAAACACCCCCGTTACTCTTCCTCCCATATCTCGTGAGTGAGATGTGCCCGATCCCATACATGTCTGTGCAGATCGGGGCGTTCAGTCGCGTCTCCCTGCAAACACAAAAGTCCGGGGCGTGTACACTGCTGTTTTGCCACCCCAGCTACTCCAACAAACGACCAGATCACCGCCTTGCCCCACTTCCACCTTCTTTAGAGGGCATATACAGAACGTTCAGAGGCAACAGCCGGTCTATATCAGCTTCCAGGCACTGTTTTTCGAGGTTCGCCACCTGCTTTTAGGCAGCATATATCACCATCACGACCGACAAACACAGCATATACCTCCGATAAACCACTATGCGTCGCTCAGCAGCACCCTCGCAAGCCACAGCTGTTCGCTCTCAGAACGACAACCCTTTCGGAACACCCATCGGTGGTAAACTCTCACTTCCCTTCAGAACCCCGCAGCCGAAGGGATCGACACTATCTACCCGCGACCTTGCCATTCCGGCACGAAAGCGACGAAAGGTCAACTACGCTGAATTGGGTGGAGGACAAGATACGGAGGATGGCGGAGCATACCAGACGACTGAAGAGGAGAATCGAGCGGCATTGTTGGATGTGACTAACAATTACCCGGTGTATACCCCGAAGCCAAAAGAGGTGGCATTCAAGAAACAGTTCTCGACACCGTTGATTAAGAAGGAGGATGGACAGTTCAGGCCTCCGCCGCCGAGTTTGGGAATGATCCGCAAGGCGAATTTCGTGCCGAGGCCGTTGCATGATCCTGCTGGGGAGTTTGCGATCGTGTTGTATGATCCCACGATTGATGACCTCGTCGCGCCGCCGACAGTCGAGGAAGCGACGAAGGTTGAGGATCTGAATCTTGCGACGGGGACGGAGGAGGTCGCTGTCGTTCCTGCGAAGAATGAGCCGAAGGTACATAGATCCCTCGCCGATATCCTTGGGATCAAGAAGAATCAGGAAGCCGAACGGCCGAAGGTTCCAGTCGTTATCGACCCACGTTTGGCGAAGGTCTTGCGTCCACATCAGGTCGAAGGAGTCAAGTTTTTGTATAAATGTGCTACGGGACGTGTAGTGCAGGGTGCCTATGGGTCTATCATGGCTGATGAGATGGGTCTTGGTAAGACTTTGCAGTGTATCGCGCTCCTTTGGACTCTCCTTCGTCAGTCTCCTGAGGCGGGAAAACCGACGATCAGTAAGGCTGTCATTGCATGTCCGTCCTCGCTCGTCCGTAATTGGGCAAATGAGTTGGTGAAGTGGTTGGGGAAGGATACCTTGACACCACTCGCTGTTGATGGAAAGGGTACGAAAGAGCAGCTTGTTGAGTCTTTGCAGCAGTGGCGACGAGCGGAGGGTAGGCAGATCGTGAGACCGGTGTTGATCATCTCGTATGAGTCCCTGCGACTCAATATCGCTGAGTTGCAGGGTACGGAGATTGGGTTGATGTTGTGTGACGAGGGTCATCGTCTCAAGAATGGAGAGTCGCAGACGTTTACGGCACTTGATTCGTTGACCTGTACTCGTCGTGTCATTCTCAGCGGTACACCCATCCAGAATGATTTGTCAGAGTACTTCTCGTTGTTGAATTTCGCGAACCCTGGGTTGCTTGGGTCGAGGATGGAGTTTAGGAAGAGCTTCGAGATTGCGATCTTGAGGGGTCGTGATGCTGATGCTACAGATGCTGATAAAGCCAAGGGAGATCAGAAGCTGGCGGAGCTTGGTGCGCTTGTCAATAAGTTCATCATTCGCCGTACGAACGATATTTTGAGCAAGTATTTGCCAGTCAAGTACGAGCATGTCGTCTTCTGTGGCTTGTCACCGTTACAGGAGAGTTTGTACAAGCATTTCGTTGCTTCGCCTGAGATTAAGAAGTTGTTGAAGGGAACTGGATCGCAGCCACTCAAGGCTATTGGTATGTTGAAGAAGTTGTGTAACCACCCTGAGTTACTTGATCTTCCGAAGGATCTGGAGGGTTGTGAGAAGCTGTTGCCGGAAGATTGGGGTGTGGATATGGGTGGTGGTGGGCGCGGTGGTCGTGGTGGTCGTAACGGGCCTGAAGTCAAGACGTGGTATTCCGGCAAGATGATCGTGCTGGATCGTATGCTTGCACGCATTCGTGCCGAGACGAACGACAAGATCGTGTTGATCTCGAACTATACCCAGACATTGGATTTGTTCGAGAAGCTTTGCCGGAGTCGGAGGTATGGGTCTCTTAGGCTCGACGGTACGATGAACGTGAATAAGCGGCAGAAGCTTGTTGATCGGTTCAATAACCCTGAGGGTGAGGAGTTTGTCTTTTTGCTTAGTTCGAAGGCTGGTGGATGTGGCCTCAACTTGATCGGAGCAAACCGCTTGATCTTGTTTGACCCTGATTGGAATCCGGCAGCTGATCAGCAGGCTTTGGCTCGTGTCTGGCGTGATGGACAGAAGAAGGACTGTTTTGTCTACCGCTTCATCGCCACTGGTACCATCGAAGAAAAGATCTTCCAGCGTCAGTCAATGAAACAAAACCTCTCCTCCGCTGTCGTCGACAGCAACGAAGACGTTGAACGCCACTTCTCCATGAAAGACCTTCGCGAGCTCTTCATGCTCAACCAAGAAACGATCTCGGATACGCACGATACGTTCAAGTGTAAGCGTTGTGTGAAGGGTAAACAGTTTTCGAAGGCGCCGGCGATGTTGTATGGTGATACGAGTAGTTGGAATCATTTTACGAGGGAGTGCTTGAAGGGGATTCAAGATTTGTTGTTGAGGCAGGAGGCGGAGGAGAATGTCGTGAGCATGTGCTTTCAGTATATTTCGCATTAGTGTGGTGCTTGGTGTTCATGTTCTTTTTGCTTTCTGAGGTGTTTGGGATTGTTGGACTTTGGACGAGGTGTTGCTCTCTTGAAATATCATGACGGTCCACGTTTACTCGGTTATAGAAGTAGAAATATTGATATCACTACGGATACGTAACCTTTCGAATTACAGAAGATATGATGAAGCTCAAAGCAATCATCTTATTGTCTCCTCCATGTTCCCTGATGTCACAAACCTAAAGTGAACTTGAGCTCAATCTTTGCGGATAGTGCTTGCACGCTGGAAGTATCTTGATTCCAAGCTTGGGATGTGCCGCTCCACATGTAGCTTCCTAATCCGGATCCGGAAGGCACAACACATCTGTCCCAAGCTCTCCCCACTCATTCTCACAAAGGCTGATGGACAGAGATAGCATGGAATGGATACCAAAACAAACTCTGCCTCCTTACCTTTCGTTCCATACTACCTGGCAGTCGCTGCTCATTCTTTACTCAGTTTAGATACCCTCGTCTTCTGCATGCTGAGACACACACTCATGGAATGGGTACCTGTTCCTTCCCTTTTGAGTCTTTGTTCTTCGCTCAAAAAAGAGCGCAAGGAAGAGGGCAAAGGTCTCATGGTTAGGTCTGCCAATCGAATCTTTCGTATCCAACCCCATCTCATTCAGCAGGCCCACTTTGTACAAAATCACAAGTAACAATCATCTTCCCAGTTTTGGGTCTTGCGATACAAGCTATTGTGTTGACTGACAGCGTACAAGGGAGACCAGCGGGGTAGGAGGACGAGAAATGACTCAGGAGGAGGGAGAACGGAACACAAACACCATGGCTCATCCCACTCCCTGACAGCAATGACGATCATGTTCCCGGTCTGGGTTGCCATAATTTAAGCCATCGCTCCAAGGAAAGATGATCAGTCTGAGTGAATCGCCTCTTATCTCTCCAAAAGAGATTAAGCGACTGGTCCCAGTCTGCCCCCCTCCAGGATTCTGTTGGATTTTTCGCCACTGACCCCCGCAGCGGGCAGCAGATCTATGCTGTTTATGATCATTAGTAGTTCACTGTTTGTCTGCCCAATCCTGCGTTGGAGCATAGATGCTGCATAGATATTCTCCATGGCCATGTTTTGGATGTTTTGAAGTCAGATGTACATGTTGTGCGCGAGTGATCGATTGACGCTAGCATTTACCTGCTCCGGATCCGGTACCAGCGTTTCCAGAAAACCTCACGCTCTGTTTTCTAGTGTTGCTCGCTTGTTAATGGACGATAACACGCCGGACCGAAAAACCTGTTAGATCTTCTCTCAAATCGCGAATGTAGAGCACGGCAGCTGGCTATATAGCAATGGGTTCACTGATCCTCCCTGCTCGCTGCTTCACCTCTTCGCTCCCAGCTCGCCTTACCGGATTCACACGTGCGCGATACAGTAAAGTCCGACGGGCTGCATCCTGCGGCTCCCCGCTACTCCCAAACAAAGCAGAACACATCCCTGTCGCCCAATCTACACAAAACAGCATACACCCGGGTTGATCAGCTATAAGGACTCTTATTTGGATTGGACAGGAAGGACAGAAAGTTCAAGGACGACGAGATGACTGCTGCGACTACTACCACGACGATGAACGCGCCGACGGAGCAGGCTCAGCCTAGGGAGAGGGTTGCGAGACAGGCGAGTCTTGATGAAGGATAGGGAGGTGATCAGGAGTGCTGATTTGGCGTGTGCGTTCAGAAGTCTGCCGCAAAGAGATTGTCGAGTATCTTCTCGCATGATTCGGCGACGACGGCGGTGACGGCGAACACTGCGGAGAAGCAGGAGGATCTGTTTTCGGTACGTTTCCCTCCCAACCCCCCGCGTCTGATCACAGTCATCGTTGGTTTAGTGATCCTATGTGAGTGAATTGCTGACCATGTTGCGTTTTTAGATCGCCGACCATCTGGGACGCCTGAATTCCCCATCCCTGGCGGATAAGCAGCGATTCTTCGCAGACGCAGAGAAGGAGGACACATTAAAGACCTTGGCAATGACTGCGAAGTTGGACAGAGCTTTGGAGAGAAGATTGGGCAACCAAGATGCGAAGGAGAGGAAGAGTGGGTGTGATGTGATTGCGGAGGAGGTTGTGTTGGCGGAGCCTGTGACCGGTGCTGCGCAGCTCTAAACGTGATGACACGAGAATGGATCGGCCATGGGAGTGAGGCAGCGAGACGAAGAGAGACAAGACGAGGAAAGCGTTACGGTGGCCTCGTTGGTTGTGTCTTTTTGGGGTTGGGTGTTTGATGGACTTTTTGCAGCGCTCCGATACACGAATGAGCAGACCTTTTCAATAAAGACAACTGAACGGACCTTCATGTATTCCAAGGTCTTTACCACACGATCGAAAGGCTACCCTGGGGACCGCTTTCCTCAGTGAGACGTCAGCGCCGTAATTGCTGTGAGGTGTTAGCGTTCGTTCAGTTGGTGCGCAACGCTAGACGAATACTGGGCACGTCAACGCGAAGGCTGTAAGTACCAGCATTCACCCCGGTCCATTCCATTCTCCAACCAACCCAGCTACAGCGGAGCAACAGCATACATCTCCTGCTGTCACCTATTACTCCATCCATTCTCTCGCTTTAACCGATCTCAATCAATGTCCACGCCTGATAAGTTCAAGTTGCACGACATGCAGGATGCTCATTCGCAATCCTACCTCGATACCTCGGAGTTCATTGAGCCGAGTATGGTTCCCGAGGCTGCCAAGCCGTCTGGTAGGGTCATTCACGCGGTCCAGGCTATCCCATTCGAGTGCTACCTCGACAAGGAATCAAATTGGTCACTCAAGGCCCGTCGCGGAAATTCCGCACTGTACTCTGCGATTCGCTGGTTGGGCGCCGAGACGAATTGGGATACCCTTCTCGTTGGATGGACGGGTGAGATCAAGCAGGCGAGTCAAACTGGTTTGCCTGTAGACGATAACGTCGAGGTCTCTGTTTCTGCTGAACAGAAGGAGGGGTTGACGCAGGCTTTGAAGAAGACGGATAAGAAGGAGCAGGAGATCGTTCCAATTTGGATGTTGAAGGATGGTGAGGGAGAGTCAGTTACGAAGCAGAAGAGGTACAGGGAGTATGCCGAGAACCTCCTTTGGCCGCTTTTCCATTACATTGTTTGGTCTGAGGTTACTGATGGCCGTAAGGAGAAGATTTGGTGGAAGGAGTACATCAAGTTCAACCAGATCTTTGCCGACAAGATTGTGGAGATTTACCAGCCTGGAGACGTGATTTGGGTTCACGATTACCACCTTCTTCTTCTCCCGCAGATGCTTCGTCAGAAGTTGCCTCATGCGTTTATTGGCTCGTTCTTGCATGCGCCTTTCCCTTCGTCAGAGTACTTCCGCTGTCTGCCACAGAGGAAGGAACTGCTTGAGGGTATGCTTGGTGCGAACATGCTCGGATTCCAGACCTACTCTTACAGCCGTCACTTTATTTCGTCGTGTACGCGCGTTCTTGGAGTCGAATCTACTGCGCACGGTGTAGATGCTCACGGTGCCCGTGTCGCGGTTGAGGTCTTCCCCATTGGTATCGAGACCACCCGTGTTGAGAGGGAAATGCACCTCCCTGGCGTTCAGCCCAAGATGGAGACCATTCGCGACCTCTACGCCGGAAAGAAGATCATCGTCGGTCGTGACCGCCTGGATGCCGTCCGTGGTGTTACGCAAAAGTTGCAGGCGTTCGAGCGCTTTTTGGAGTCGTACCCCGAGTGGCGCGGAAAGGTCGTTTTAATTCAGGTTACTACGCCGGCTGGATACCCCTCTACTAAGGTCGAGCGTCGTGTTTCGGATTTGGTTGCGCATATTAACGGAACGTACGGTTCGCTTCATTTCACGCCCGTGCACCATTACCACCAGACTCTCGATACCGAGGAGTACTTTGCCCTCTTGAGGGTTGCTGATTTGGGTCTCATTACCTCCGTCCGCGACGGTATGAACACCACTTCGTTGGAGTACGTCGTTTGTCAGAAGGAGAATGCCGGCCCTCTTATTATTTCTGAGTTCTCCGGTACTGCCGGTTCGTTGGGTGATGCTATTCACGTTAACCCATGGGACTTTGCTGGTACCGCTAAGGCCATCAACGAGGGTCTTTCCATGTCTGATGCGGACAAGAAGACCCGTCAGGAGGCTTTGTACAGGAAAGTTACTGCGCATTCCATGCAGGCATGGTGCTCTACGTTCTTGAAGCGTTTGTTTGCGAACGTCACCAGCTTCGACGTCTCTTCGCAAACTCCTGCGCTCGACAGGGCTCTCGTCATTGACACTTACAAGAAGGCGCAGAGACGTTTGTTGATGTTTGACTATGATGGTACTCTGACGCCGATCGTGCGTGATCCCGCAGCTGCTGTTCCTACGGATAAGATGTTGCGTTCCCTCAAGCTTCTTGCTGCCGATCCCAAGAACCAGATTTGGATCATCTCTGGGCGGGATCAGAAGTTCTTGGAGGAGTGGATGGGTGATATTCCCGGACTCGGTTTGTCTGCCGAGCACGGATCTTTCATTCGTAAGCCTCGATCGGAGGAGTGGATCAACCTTACCGAGAAGCTGGATATGTCTTGGCAGAAGGACGTCATTGATATCTTCCAGTACTTCACTGAGAGAACTCAGGGATCGTTCATTGAGAAGAAGAGGTGTGCGGTGACGTGGCATTACCGCCGTGCGGACCCTGAGTATGGTGCTTTCCAGGCTCACGAATGTCAGGCTCATTTGGAGTCTGTCGTTACCTCCAAGTTGCCCGTTGAGGTCCTTATCGGCAAGGCCAACCTCGAGGTCAGACCCGAGTCTATCAACAAGGGTGAGGTTGTCAAGAATCTCGTTGACGCCTACGGTGCCGAGGCGCCTGACTTCGTCTTCTGTGCCGGTGACGACAAGACTGATGAAGACATGTTCCGGGCGCTGAGAATCGCGGATACGGTCAAGAACGAGCACTCCTTCCCCACCACTGTCGGTCCTTCGAGCAAGATCTCTTTGGCTAGCTGGCATGTGAATGAGCCCCATGATATTGTGCAGATCATTGGTGTTTTGAGCGGGAGTGTGAACGAGAGTGCGATTCAGCAGAAGGCGGCTGCTGCGACGGAAGCGGAGTAAGTGTAGGCTATAAACGATGGAAAATGGAAGCAAAAATCTCCGTGCTATAACTATAGTTGAGTTATACAACGGCAGCAGCAAGTGCGCGCAATTGTAAGGCAATTTATTGATAGCATCTAAGGTTGAATAGACTTATTTTGAACCGAGTGGTTAGATCGGACGACTTTAACTGACGTCGGGGCTGACACGGGCCCGGGAATGGTCACTTGCTACACCCAAGTATCACCACAATGGCCAAAGCTCCCCCAACCGATCCCCTTCACCGCTCCCTCCTCCGCGCGGCGTCCTCCTCGAGCACGTTAAAACTGGATATGGATCAAGAACCAGGTTTCACTGATTTTCTCTGCGACTTCGTAGTTCTCTCTGTAAAGCCCGTGCATCCTCAATCTCTGGCACATTCAATGTAATGGCATCAGCAACATATGCCTCTGCCTGTCTCAAATTCCCCCTTGACATTTCATGTCTTGCAAGCCATATTCGTGCCCTCCCGCTTTCTGCCGTTGCTTCATCCGCTTCCATTCCCTCCCTTCTTTCCACAGTCACCAACTCCACAAAGTATGCCGCTGTTGCTTTGACGTTCCCTAACCTTTCGTACAGGTTTCCAAGTTTGTATAGCATGGTTGGAGCCAGTGCATTACCACCCAACGCCCTCTTATAGGCCTTAATTGCTTCTGCTGGTCTTTGTAGCTGCTCATAACACTCCGCAAGCGCTTGCCACATGCGCTGATCGTACGGTCTGGTAACCTGTTAGACTTGACCTTATACGTGAGAGTTCTCATACCTTAGTGATGTTGCTCGTTGGAAGTAGTAAAGAGCATAGTAGTGCATCTCCAGCATTTCATATGTTTGACCCAATCCATACCAAGCACGGTAATCTTTCCTGTTCACGTCCACAGCTCTGCGATAAGCTTCGATGGCAGCGTGCGTATTCTTCATCTCCACAAATTCATGACCCATCAAGGTCCATGCAGACAAGTAATTCCGATTTAGCTTCAGTGCTCGCCGGAAGTATGTCACTGCCTTCTCGTGTTCATTCCGTAAACTGTAGTAGTTGCCGATGATACAGCACGTTTCCGGCCGAAATTGGTCTGTGTTTGTGGCTGCCTGTGCCAGATGGGCGAGTTTGGCACGGTTTTCCATAACGTACAGGATGTTGGAATACACATCTGCTTGGTCAAGGCGATACGGATCTTCAGTCATGATTACCTCGAATATACCAGCGGCTTCGTCATATTCTGCCGTGACAATTAGTATGCTGGGAACCAGGCATATTCACATGATCGTACCTCTTGCATTGTATACCAGTAGCGCACGTTGTACTTGGAGGAAATGACCTCTGGGGAACATAGACTGCAATTCCGGCAAGTGTGCCTGTAAAGCTTCTCCGTGTTGTAACAGCTCAGCACTGACGTGCATCATGAAGAACTTTGTCATGATATGATCAGGTAATGTGGGCAGTACGGCGCTCAACTACACAAATATGATTAGCGAGATCGAATGCAGGATGGTGAGAGATGATGAACCATGTCAGCGCCGCTGATATTGGATGCCAGTTCTTGCCAGGCACCCCAGTGATAGGGGTATGTTTCCACTGCCTTAATGAGAGCTTGTACTGCATCTTGCTCCTTCTTTTGACGCCCAAGGACGACTCCGTACAAATATAGCAGGAAAGCATCGTTGCGTTCCTTCCCCAAAATTAGGTCCTCGAGCTCAGTCGTGATTGCCGTAATTTGCTTGTTTGCAATGAGGCCATTGTCCGCAGGACCTGTTCATGGTTAGATAATAGCAGCATCGAGTGCATAAAAGTACTCACCCATGATTGTCTCTGCATCCTCATCCTTCTGCTTTTCTCCGGCGAGGTACGTAGCGTATAGTCTTAAGAAGATGGACTTGTAGCTCTTGCAGCCTTTCAGGTAATGTGCAGCACGAAGATACTCCCGACAATCGAAGTATGCTTTTGCCAAGAGGTATTTATCGACTTCTTGAGCTTCGTAGGCAGCGTCGGAGTTGCGCCCCGGTGTACTTGGAGGCTCGGCAGATATATCAAAGTCCATTCCCTTCTGTGGTGTCGATGCGAATTGAGCATGTGCGAGTTCTAGAGACTCCATTCCGTTCAGAGCTTCAGCCGCCCTAAAGTAAAGAGTAAGTTCATGACAGGTCGAACGGTGAAAGCAGGCCATCCTCACCATTTCGCGCCATTGACAAGTCCACGCTCCGAGCATTTCTTCACGGCTTCGAGCAGCATAGCATGCAGTTCATATGCTGTATTCATGTTGTCACGGTTGCCCAGCAGCAACTGATAATGGGCTGTAAGTGAGGGTGTTGCGAAGCTGGTTGGAGTGCGGTAGACGATGCAGTATAACGAGTCTGAATCAACAATGAATGAAGGGAGTAGAACGACGATGGTAGACTTCGAATTCGGTACTGTTATGCTGAAATGTCTACGTTACGTCCAGGTTGCTTGGGGTCGGGCAACGACGCTACCCGCATCCGGTCAGGTGCAGTTCCACGAAACAGCCGCCAGCGGAGAGTTCGAGTATACAACCAATTCCCAATTCCATTCCCATTACCATTCAGCAAGAAAGGCTTCGTTGATTCCATTTATCGTCATACCGCTTGCATTCAATCCATAACACTACCTATCGCCATGTCTGCCGCACCTTCCAACGGAGCTGGAGCTGAGACGGAGAAGCTTGTGAGTTCGTCCTCGGCGTGCTAAATGGGAGAGAATTGTGATTGCTAATTAGGATTTGTTCTATAGCCCAAGTCTGAGATCGGATGGCTTTTCGTGTCGCAATACTACACCTTTATGCACAAGGAGCCTAATATCCTTCACGTACGTACTAAGTTGCTCGTTTCTGCACACAATGACTAATGAATGGACTGGTACAGTGCTTCTACACCAAGCGATCAACATTGGTGCACGGCAATGAGGGTGAGAGCGTGATGTCGTCTGTGGGTCAACAGGACATCCACAAGAAGATCCTCGAATTGAACTACAACGACGCTAAGGTCCTCGTCTCCAACGTCGACTCCCAGGCTTCTGCGAACGGTGGAATCATCATCCAGGTCCTCGGTGAGATGTCCAACAACGGTGAGCCCTCCAGGAAGTTCGCTCAGACCTTCTTCTTGGCTGAGCAGCCTAATGGATACTTCGTTCTTAACGACATTTTCCGGTATTTGAAGGAGGAGGTTGATGAGGAGTATGAGGAGGGTGCCGTTGAGCCTGGGCATGTTGACCAGCTCGCTCAGGCCGACTCTGGGTTCAGCAGCATGCAGAACTCTGAAAGCTTGTTCTCTGAGCAACACCTCCAGCCTCCTCAGGAAGAGGTTCAGGAGACCAAGGAGGAGCAGCTTGACACTCCTCAGCCTGCCGATGTTATCGAGGAGACTCTTGTGACTGAGGCTGGTGCAGTTGAGGAGGAGCCCGTTCAGGAGCAGGAGCAGGAGCAGGAGCAGCAGGAGGAGGCTGCTCCCGTTCAGGAGGAGGAGAAGGTTGAGGAGCCTGTCGCCGAGGAGGCAGCCCCTGTCGAGAAGGCTAAGCCCGAGGAGCCCGTCCAGGAGGAGGTCGCGGCTCCTGCTGAGCCAGCCCCCGCACCCGGTACCGTTCCCGCCAACGCCGCCAAGGCCACCCCTCCTCCTGCCGTTCCTGCCGCGCCGAAGACCTGGGCCAACCTCTTCAACAAGGGTACCGCTTCCACTCCTGCCCAGGCCGCCGCCGCCGTCGCCCCCAAGGCTGCCCCTGCTCAGGCTCCCACACAGCCCGCACAGCCCCAACAGCCCCAACAGCCCCAACAGCCCCAACAGCCCAAGCAGCCCAAGCAGCAGTCCACTCCTCCTCTCGAGGAGAACCGCCGCCGCGAGGGCCGTGCTCCCCCCGCCGAGGGCAACGCCTTTGCCTTCATTAAGAACGTCCACCAGGAGATCACCAACCAGCAGCTCCGTGACGCCATCACCGCTTTCGGTCCCTTGAAGGACTTCGATGTCAACCGTCAAAAGAACTGCGCTTTCGTCGAGTTCGTCGATGCCTCCGCTTTCGCTGCCGCTTACAACACTCACCACGTCCGCATCTCTCCTAACCTTCCTCCCGTGATCATCGAGGAGCGCCGAAGGGGCGGTCCTCAGGGTGGTCCCTTCCAGAGGCAGAACTCTGGTCGTGGGCAGCAGGGTGGATACCAGCGCGGTCGTGGCGGCAACCAGGGTGCTGGCCGCGGTGGCTTCAACAAGCCCCGTAACGGTGGAGCTCAGACTCCCACATAGAGGAGTTTGCATCTAGCACAACCATAAAAAAGACCAATAGGGGAGGGAGGCTTGTGTGATTAGGTGTGGCTTGGGAAGCTTAAGGAAAGCGTTGGGTTGAGTAATAATTTATTAGTGCTAGTGTTTTGGGATGGTCATTTTTGCGTTTACTTTGCAGAGAGCGTTGTGATTGATATCGATACCGGTATGATACGATACGATATGTGCGAGTACGAGTGAACGGAGTCTTTTTTGGTCTTTTTGGTGATGCTGGCATTGCGCTGTTTACAGTCATTTACTTTAACGATCGCAAATAAGAGGTAGTTGTGACTGGACGGCCTTGAAGTCCATTGAACCCTTGTCGTGGTGGTGTACTCGTATACAGAGAGCGGGGCGGGGTCCAAGATAAAATACGTCATACATGTGCCTTAATTGTTACAATCATCGCAAAACCTGAAGACCAAGAGCCGTGATCAATTGCAACTGTAAAACTTGAGTATGGTTCAGACTCGTTCAGCTGGCAAGAAGCACGATGCGGATCAGACGACCTTGGGTCAGAAGATAGAGAGGCAGCCCAAGAAGGCGAAGGTTACGAAGAAGAAGCATACGCATGGTGGATAGGTTGGTAAGTCATTGGAGAGCTTTGCTAACCAATGGTGCACAGAGAAAGCTTCGAAGGGGAAGAGGAAGGCCAAAGAGGAGGAGGAAGAGGAAGAGGAGCCTGATAAGGAGGAGAAGGAGGAGAAGCCATCTGTCAGCAAGCATGAGGCTTCAGCGGGTACCAAGCCGAAGGATAAGGAAAGCTCATCCCAGACTCTCGAAAAAGGACTGGTTTATGTATGGATCCCATTTTCCCCGTTCTCGGGGCCAATCGTTGATCTGATGACAGTTCTTCTTCCGCCCCAAGATCGACGTCGAAACCCCTCACGACGCCGACGCCGACATTCAACGCTCCTACATCGTCCTCCGCCCCATCGGCAAGAACGAAAAGCTTGGTGACAGTGCACGCGACGCAGAAAACGGTAGCCCGGGATAAAACGAGCCTGTCATCGACGCTAATTCCAGGTGTACAGACAAAACCCGCATTATCGAGATTCCCAAAAAGAAGCTACCTGCTACGGGTCGTCACGATCGCTTCTTGACGTTTGTGCCGAAGGGGTGTGCGGGGATGGTGTTGAAGGAGGTTCGGGAAAGACTGTGTGAGGATGTCAATGAGACGAAGACGAAAGGGTAGACTAAGTTTCTTGACGTTCCTATGGAAATGAGCTAAATCTGGTTTACAGGACGAGGGTTACACCTGCTGCAAGGCCTGAGGTTTGCCATACGGGTGAGGCTGCTCTGCGGCCTTTTGTTAACTCTTTGGTAGGGTGAGGGGGTTTACTCTATCGTGCACGATGGCAGCACCACGCACTTTGCCTATATGCTGACGGTTCCGTCCGAACCTGCGGCAAGTGACTTCCAGCATTATGCTCCCTGAACATGTAATGGCTTACACGTTATGGAAGGATGTGCAGAAGGCCTTCAACATTCGCAGCCAAGGTACATGTTGAACGGTTGAAGCAAGGTTGGCTCTTCCATACTGATCAATATGTACAGGTTCTTTTGTCGTCAGCGTCAAGAATCCTGAGACGAAGCAGCCGCCTCAGGCTCGTGGGTTGCCGCAGGCTGAGTATCCCAAGGAGTACTTAATGATCATGTATTGAACATACGAGCTAGGCTGACATCACGGTGGTACGCAGGGTTATCGAAAAGTTCCGTCAACGTTCCTGGGCTCCTCTTGAACCGGAGTTTATGAGCTACGACCATGCCCAGATCCTCTTCATCGGTGAGAAAGGCGATGTCGCGGACGAGTTGGACAAGGCTGAAATGGAGGAGATCGAGAAGCTCGAGGAGGAAGACGAAAAGAGAATGAAACATCTTGGCGAGGAAGACGGAGTCTTCAAGGACTTGAAGTTGACGAAGGACGAGTTCCCGGAGGATGCTTTGGAGGGCACCTGGGTGCAAAGCTCCCAGGGTCAGGTGATGGATGTATAAGTGGGGACATTTGACGTCGGAGTTCTGGCCTTCGTTTTGGAGTTATGTAATATTTCGACCTTATATATCGGTATTTTGAATTAAGCATATATTCGATGAATCCCGGGATCGTCACAGGCCTAGGATTTTGTGGGGTCGAAAAGTCGGCACGGGTGCAGGTTCGGCTTGAGACCAGTAAAGGCTCGGAGATTGAGTTCAGGACAAAGCTTTGATCCGTGAGGTCTACATCTTCAGCAAATCATTTCAAATCCATATACCATGGCCTCACCAGCACTGCGGATACGAAGCATCAGCTCTCGATCAATCGCCTCTCTGCGATCGGTTACCCTAAGAACAGCCTCGGCACCTTCATTACGACTAAGATGTACCCCGACGAGCCGGCCATCGAGTTCATGGGCTGCTGCTGTGTCTTCGGCGTCGAGACTGGTTGAGCCTGATCCGAATCAACCTCTCATCAATCCGCTCAACTTGGTCGGTCCCGAGATGTCAAATCTTACATCCAACATCCGATCTCTCCTCGGTTCAGGACACCCTTCTCTCGACACTGTCGCTAAATACTATGTTCAGTCTGAGGGAAAGCATATTCGTCCGCTCATGGTACTGCTGATGGCTCAGGCGACGGAGGTTGCGCCAAAAGTTCAGGGTTGGGAGAAGGTCGTGGAGGTTCCGGTGAACGAGGGACTCGCACCACCAGAGGTGCTCAATGACAAGAACCCAGATATGATGAACATGAGGTCAGGACCATTAACGAAGGACGGCGAGATCGAGGGACAGACGTCGAATATCCTCGCCTCGCAACGGCGGTTGGCTGAGATCACGGAGATGATCCATGCAGCATCACTCCTCCACGACGACGTTATCGACGCTTCCGAGACCAGACGAAACGCACCATCCGGAAACCAGGCATTCGGAAACAAGATGGCGATTTTGGCTGGTGATTTCTTGTTGGGACGGGCGTCTGTTGCATTGGCGAGGTTGCGCAATCCGGAGGTGATTGAGCTTTTGGCTACTGTTATTGCAAACTTGGTTGAGGGAGAGTTCATGCAGTTGAAAAATACTGTTGATGATGCGATTGAGGCTACGGCGACGCAGGAAACGTTCGATTACTATTTGCAGAAGACTTACTTGAAGACTGCGTCCTTGATTGCCAAGTCGTGCAGAGCAAGTGCGCTTCTGGGTGGTGCTACGCCTGAGGTTGCTGATGCTGCTTATGCTTACGGAAGGAACCTTGGTTTGGCATTCCAGATCGTCGACGACATGCTCGACTACACCGTCTCCGCTACCGACCTCGGTAAGCCCGCCGGTGCAGACCTCCAGCTCGGTCTCGCCACCGCGCCGGCCCTCTTCGCATGGAAGCACCACGCCGAGCTCGGTCCCATGATCAAGCGCAAGTTCTCTGACCCAGGAGACGTCGAGCGTGCACGCGAGTTGGTCGAGAAAAGTGATGGATTGGAGAAGACGAGAGCCTTGGCGGAGGAGTATGCCCAGAAGGCGTTGGATGCAATTCGGACGTTCCCGGAGAGTCCGGCACGGAAGGCTTTGGAGCAGTTGACGGACAAGGTGTTGACTAGGTCAAGATAGATGGAGTGCTTGAGGACGGTATTGCATTTTTTGGAGCGACATGATTGATACAAAAGTTTTGGTTGGTGTGGGCATTGGGATATCAGGGATATTATTAGGGATACGATGGGTATGCATTTTGATATACGTGGCAAAGTGATAAAACTATCTCCTCTTCTTTCATCAACCTTGCCTTAGTAGCTCAATTTCGCAACTCTTGAGCAACAAGGCAGAACGCGATATCGTTGCTTTCGCCTGCTTTAATCCCTGTCGTTGGGCTTTCGCAAGCGCGTACGGATGCGGAGACACTCCCGCGGTTCTATGTCTCGCGTACGGGACGTTAGCAGAGCCTTCCGCTGAGCCCACTGTCTTGCGCTGCTCTCTATCAAGGGGGCACCCATGGACACTTAGCCTTCGTGAAGCACCTCACTGCTAGGCTCCCCAATACCATCATCGTCCGTCACCATATCATCGAGATCAACCTCTTCCTGAGTGACCGGTAGTCCCATATACGTCCAGTTTTCTTCCTGCAACAGTGGCACTGATTCACCACCGGCTATCCTCTGTTCCATTTCCGCCGCCATGTGCTCAATGTTGCTGATCTTCCAGTCCGGATCAAGCTGCTTAAATATTTCCACAGTACCTTCAAGATACAGCGACACCACATCACTGATAGCAGCCCATGTGTATGGCTTACGCTCCGAGATCAGGTGAGGTGGTTCTCCTGATTCGCCTTTGGCGTAGTGGTTCTGACAGTCGCTAATGAGGGCACTCATCAGACTGCGTTCCTTCAATCGTGCCAACATCAAGACGCGTGCGTTTCTTGTCTGTGGTGGTGACAGAGACGTCAGGGGATACAGTGTATTCAGAAGTGCCATGCACTCGATCTGCCAGCCATCCGGTCGTCGCTCCAGTAAGGAGAATACAGCGCGGCGTCTGAGGGCCTTGTCAATGTACAGATAACTGTGCAAGATCCCTTTCTGCCGCTTTCCGGTTTCCTCACTTGCCGCGCTCAAGACAGATAACATGTCACGATGCGTTTCGAATCTCTCCAATTGCGCAAGCATGTCCCCAATGAGAGACGATGTCTGATGTGCAACATCAACCCTCAGAAAGGCCTCAATCAATCGTGGAACCGCATGTAAGGGAGGTTGGGCATTCGGATCAGCCGCTGCGATCTGCTGAAGGAGAACTGTCCGTTCATGTTAGCCGCATCCTTCGCGTGTCGCGCCGCAAAAACTTACGGGGAATGAGATCTGGGGTGTACGCTGTCTGCTCATCAAGCAGAATGTGCTCAAGCACCCATTCCATGGAAGGGAGATCAGCCTGGAAAGATGTCGAGAAATGGGGATGAGTTCTAATCAGGTATTGGGGGACCAGGTGGCCTCGGGCCCTTGCAGTGGCCAGGCCTGTCAAAATGTTGCACAGGAATCATGGGTGAGAAGAGATCGTTGTTTTAAACGTAGATGATGGCAGTTTCAAAACTCTTGGTGGTACAAGACCTTGGTATTTTCAGCGTAGTCAATACTGGCAAAGACCTCCAGGTCAGCGTCCGTGGTGTGCCCCACGCTCATGCTGAAATTGAACAGTACTGTGATCTGTTCATATTGTGTTGACAGCCTTTAACGGTACGTATATCTTCACATCGCGATTATTTAAGGAAGATGGTACTGAGAGCAGATACGGAGATGATTGAAACTGCTTTATCGAGGGGAGAGGTTCAGCATGCTGAGACCATGGTCTTACTTCAGAAAAAATGGAGTTGTGCTGAGCACGGGACTTTTTGCTACCGGCATCCAGTAACCAACAAGAACGACCATCTGCGGTTGTAGGCTCATCTGTTCGATGCCTGGGTTGATGCTATGATCTGCGTTTGAACCGTTTAGCACCTTGTCATGCCCACCGCTGATTGAACCAGTTTTGTCAATACTCGACAAAAACCGCAAAAAGAAACCACTCCCTCCAGTCGTTGTCAATCAATCAACTCCTGCTCCTATCTTTTGTGAAACGCCTGCCCCGAGGGAACCACTACTCCCTACACCTACAACGTCCGAAATTTCCCACGGCAATACCACCCTTGCACTCCCAGTCCCTCCGTCGAGTCCTTTGAGTTTCGAGGATTGTTCTGATCTCAGTGGCTTCTTGGAACAACTCTCAAGACTTTGATGTTTGTTCAATGTTTCAACTAGATCCCAGAGTAGGTTCTTGTATCATAGTAAAACAACTCCTGCGTATCCCGTTACAGGGACGAGCGTGTTTTGTCCCAGCCAGCTTACCTAATCCCAGCAAGAACGCAGGAGGACATTCCTCGAAGAACAAATCCATATATCCCCGACCAATGACCTGGTAGGTTCCATCGATCAGCAAGAGGGTAAGGGTACTGCTGCATATCTCCGAGTCGCTTCCCGGATCTAGACGATCTATGAGCAGGTTCCCAGGGTTGTTTTAGCCGACGCTCGCAGGGCTGGAGGGCTATATAAACCTCCTCGCTCCCGCCTCATCGACGGAGAAAATTGTCAAGCTCTCAACGCACCCTCCGTCCCTTCACTTACTTCTTGTTCGACTCGCCGGTTCGAGTCGACGACGCACTCTCTCATTTACTATCTACGAAGTATCGAGCAGGACTCACTTCCTATCTACCTCACTTCTTCCAACTCAACAACTTATTCACATTCACCATGAAGTTCGCCGCCTCCCTTCTTTTCGCTGTCGCCTTCCTCGGCCTTACCCCAATCGACTCGTTCGCTGGCGTTACGAGCGTTGCTGCTGTTTCCTTGAAGGCTCGTGAGGCTATGCCCATTCCTGCACCTGCTCCTCAGAGGGTATGTACCAAATCCCACCGTCGTCGCCAAGTTTTCGGAAACACTACGGCATCGGCCTCGAAGAAGGGGTCTGTTGTCAATAGGGCGAACTTAAATGCTGGTAACAATACTGTTTCGGCTATTTCATTTGCTGCCTCTGGCAACGCTGCTTCTCAGGTCGGTGCCATTATACCCTGTTGATATCCGGTTTGGCGTTGTGACCTTGTGGTTGTTGTGTGGTTATTGGATGTGTGCTGACTTTGTATTTGATAGGGTCGTGGACGTGGTGGTCGTAACCGTGGTGGTAACGGTGGTGGCAACAACAACCAAGCCAACCAGGCCAACTCCTCGACTGCTGCTGCTGCTGCCTCCATTGATGCTGCTGCAGCGGCTTCTTCGAGCGCGGCTGCCAACAACGATGCTGCCACCGCTGCCTCCTCCTCCGCCGACGTTGCGGCCGCGGCTTCATCCTCCAACAACAACAACAATAACAACAACAACGGTGGTGGTGGTGGTGGCGGCAACAATTCTGATCTCTCCCTCGACCCCGCCAACGTCCAATCCGCCTCCGACTCCACCGGTCAAGCTGGTTCGGGTGCCGAAGCTGGCCAAGTCAACTCCGCCACCGACCCCGCTAACTTCATTAACTTCTGCACCGGCAAAACCCTCACCAACGGCCTCCAAGTCAAAGGCGGCTCCTGCAACGGTGTCGTCATGGGCGATATCCCTTCCACGTCCAACATGATCTCCTCCATCATCACCGGCCCTTCCAGCGGCGAGGATATCCAGGCTGACACAACGTTCAGTATCAACGTCCTTGTTGCGAATTTGGCCGCGGGGCAGTTTACGAATGCGCAGACGACGTATTATTCTGCGCCGCAGCAGTTGCAGAATGGGCAAGTTCTTGGGCATACGCACGTCACTATTCAGGATTTGAGTGGTACCACCAACCCTACTGCGCCGTTGGATGCTACGACTTTCGCGTTCTTCAAAGGTATCAACGATGCTGGTACGCAGCAAGGCAACGGTGTTCGCGAGCTCAGTGCTGTTGTTACGGGCGGTTTGGCTCAGGGATGTTACCGCGTCTGTACCATGTCCTCCGCGAGTAACCACCAGCCTGTCCTCATGCCCGTCGCGCAACGTGGTGCTCAGGATGATTGTTTGAGGTTCTCTGTTGGTGGCGGATGTTCGGATTTGGCTGCAAAGGCGAGGAGAAGGATGATGATGTGAGGTGTGTCTGAACTTTCTTTTGTGATGATTAATTCTTGTGGAGCTGGACTTCGCGAGACTGTATATATTGAATTGGGGTTTTGTGATGAGGTAGATATTTTGTTTCTTGCTTCGATAGTAATGTGAGGGTGCGTTTGTATCATTTTGTCCATTGTGATTTCGTAGGTGCCGCATCACCCTCATCCAAGAAGATCATGATGTCTCCTCCGAGCCCATGTTTCCTGCGAGATTGAGTATCCATCTACTACCTTCAACGGGTTCGTGTGTCGTGTATGCACTTCAAATTTCGGGCAGAGCCTTGGGAGTATGAAACCTCTCCGCTGTGGGACATTGCCATCAATGAGTCGACGCGAAAAACTAGAGCGCCAGCGCTTCACCGAACACGACACTCATGGAGCAGGGCTCTCCAATACATAACTTGACTTATTCTTTTTGTGGGGTTGCCGTCATCATCGCAAACCCTACAGACACCTCACGTCGTTCTCATACGAACTGCATGTCCCTTCCGTTGCCTCCAGCCTCCTCAACCACTCCTGGATTTACCAGAGTGGGCATTTGAGGCTCTTTCAATGGCAACAAGAGCCTAATGGCATCACTCGCGTTCAGGTAGTACCTATGCAGCCTCTTGTACCTCACGAACCCCAGCTTCTCGTACAAGGCCATAGCTGCGACGTTCGTGACCTCGGTCTCCAAAGCGATCTCGTCGGCATCTTGTGCAACCATTTCATCAATTGACCGCTGGACAAGTCGTGAAGCGATTTGAAGGCCGCGGTATTCCTTCTTGACGGCTAGCATGGCTATGTAACCTCGCAAAGGCGTTTCGCGGTGAGGTTCCAGCTTATTAATGATACAACCAATTAGATCATCATTGTACCGAGCCTGCGGGATCCTTGTTAACCTGCTTTTGCTTTTAGAACGGATACCTAAGGAAACAAACCAAAATGCACAGCTCTGGCCATTGATGGATAAAGTACCGGTAGACATAGATCGAGTACGGCTCGCTCAGATCGTGTGAGATCAATGCCATGATATCAGGCAGTTCCGTTTCGTCTTTGTATCTCTCGTAAACGACATCTTCAGGTCGTATCGGATCGGACGGCATTGTCAGTGTATGTGGGGTTGATTGAGCCGAGATTGGCGGTCTCGATGTTCGATGATGCAGGCAACCGTGTAACGTAGACACACCACCGAAATGCCGAATAAGAAGAAGAAGGGAACCAAGAGGAAGAATGCTGATGAGTCGAAAGGTAATGGCTCAATTGCAGTCAGCAGTGGGTCTTCGTCGACAGTATCCCAGCCGAAGGCCAGCAATAGGATCGCCAAGGCTTTGGAAGAGGGCATCCAAGACGTCGAGGGCTTGCTACGAAGACCAAACGCTCCGAGACGGAGCTTTTCGGCTCCTCCAGACGACGCATGTATACAGAAGATTCGAGAGTCCCTCCCTTCGGATTTGGCGTCGCATACAGGCCATGTCCACAAAAAGAAACCCAGGCCATTCCGGGAAAAGAAGCGGTTCATCTTCGGCTTGGGCGCATTTATCGGTGTTTTGTTGGCCGTACTATTCGCAAAACCACCTCAGGTTGACAACTCTATGTGGGAGGTAATGCTGGAAGCAATGGATAATTCCGATTGGGTCGAGGACATTCGCGGTGTTCTTCCATCCGGTCTCCTGAACGAAGCGAAGCGTATGGAAGCAGCATCGAAGGGCACGACCTTGAAAGGTGATCCGTTCAGTGCAGGCATAGCACTCGCTAAAGAAGGTGTCACTGCGAAACACCCGGTTGTGATGGTCCCTGGAGTTATCAGCACAGGACTGGAGAGTTGGAGCACGGGGGAGACATGCGCGTTGCCCTATTTCAGGAAGAGGTTGTGGGGATCTTGGAACATGATGAGAGCAATGCTGCTTGACAAGACGTGCTGGATGGATCAGTTGAAGCTTGATCTGCATACCGGACTTGATCCGTCCAGTGGAGGGAAAATCCGTGCGGCTCAGGGATTCGATGCAGCTGAGTAAGTTGTTGACAGGGCAGTATGGACAAGCAATGCTGACAACCATATGTAGCTTCTTCATCACCGGTTACTGGATCTGGTCGAAAATCATTGAGAACCTTGCTGCTATTGGGTATGACCCAAACAACATGCTGTCCGCCGCTTACGATTGGCGTCTTGCTTATGGTAACAATGAAGCACGCGATCACTACTTCTCAAAGTTGAAGATGTATATTGAGTACAGTGTCAAATTCAATGAAGGGAAGAAAGCCGTGATCACAGGGCACTCGATGGGTGCGCAGGTCATTTTCTGGTTCATGAAGTGGGTCGAATCCCCTTTGGGCGGCAATGGCGGGCCTACCTGGGTTAACGATCACATCGATTCCTTCATCAATATCTCGGGTTCTATGCTCGGTACACCTAAGGCCATTGCTGCTCTGCTGTCTGGGGAAATGAAGGACACGGCTCAGCTCAATGCCTTTTCTGTGTACGGCCTTGAGAAGTTCCTCTCCAAACAAGAACGAGCCGACCTCCTTCGATCGTTTCCTGGGATTGCGAGTATGTTACCGAAAGGAGGCGACGCTGTATGGGGAAATGAGACCTGGGCTCCTGATGACATTGACCCAGAGACCGGCGAGGAGAGAAGCGGCGAAGCCAGTTATGGGAGCTTTATCAACTTCAGGCCGGAGAATACGGAAACGGGCGACAACCTTGGCCTGAGAAATCTGTCTCTTGCCGCGTCCTTCGATTATCTCATGCAGCATACGCCTCATTCATTTCACAGGGTATTCGCAATGAACCGCCTTCAATTCCCAAAGTGCTAACGATTTCTACAGATGCTTGCAACAAACTACTCGCACGGCGTCGCTCACACTGCGGCCGACGTTGAGGCTAATAATCATAATCCCGCTAAATGGATCAACCCTCTTGAAGTCTCTTTACCGCATGCGCCAGATATGAAGATCTACTGTCTATATGGTGTCGGAAAGCCTACGGAACGCGGATATTGGTACACAGAAGACTCGACACCTGGAGCTCAGGTTCCGATCGAGAAGGCACCCGCTGAAGAGAAATGCCCATGCATGAACTCCTCGCAGGCCATTCCGAAAGAATTCCCTTGGAAGAGGCCAACATGGATTGACAATACTGTCAACATTCCTGACATGAATGTCGACCATGGAGTTAGAATGGGAGAGGGTGACGGGACGGTGAGTTTAATCAGTACGGGATACATGTGCGTGAAAGGATGGACCATTCCAAGATACAATCCGGCGAACGTCAGTGTTATCACATATGAGATGCTTGATCAGCCAGATCGATTTGACATTCGGGGTGGGCCAAGTACGGCGGATCATGTCGACGTTTTGGGACGAGCTGAACTGAATGAGTTCATCCTTCGCATCGCTGCCGGAGAGAGTATACCCACCAAAATCATCAGCAGGATCAAGGAGATTGCCGAGCGGGTGCATATTTCCTAATCTGGAACAACATGAAAGGAGAATAGATACATTTGATATCATAGAGCTCCGTAGATGCATGACCTTCCTGTCAATCTATCACCACACATTCGTCCTTTATGCAGGGAGCGAAACCCCATGATTCTTCATCTTCTGCTCCAACAAATCCATCACGTCCTCCGACAGTGGCTTGTCGCCCAGCAATCTCTTCCTGATTCTTGCCTCCCTGTTCGCAACCTGGAGCTCAGTGAGAGCAATAGGCATAGCCGGAGATGTAATCTTGGGCACCGGCGTCGGTCTCTTGTACTTGGAGTATTTATTTCTCAGTTCGTCCCTGACTGATTCGGGAATTGGTGAGGTGTGCAGGGTAGGAACCCAAGTCGACCCCTCAACTATGGCGGTGGGTGTGTTCTGTGGATGGTTCTTGTCAATTTCGGGAGCCTTTCTGGGCCAAGGCAGGGTCTTGTTCTCTCCAGGGATGATTCGAGACCATGTCAGTCTACCGAAGTTCTTGTCGTAGTAAAGCGGTCCGCGCTTGATCTTCTTGACGATAACCTTGCGCACATTGCCTTCAGCGTCGGGGAGTTCAGCAACAAGGCGAACGTCGGAGTAATGAACAGGCTGCGGCCTGTTCATGAACTTGTCATCCTTGCTCTTCTCTTCTCCGCTGAGGAAAAGTTCTGGCACCCTGCTTCTTTTCTATGAGGGAACGCAAGTTAGTAAGTGCATTCTAACTGCGATCAGTAAGGGTTCCAACCATTCTGACACCCTCCACAATCAGCTGGTTCATGTGCTTGGTGATATCAACAACTTTCCCCTCCGCGCCCTTGTCAACTCCGGAGATAACGCGAACAGTGTCTCCCTTGGCGATGTTCCAGTACTTGATCAAATCCTTTCCCAGCGCCGGCTTGGGCTTGCCGGCGGCATTCAGTGCAAACCGTGCTGCTGTTGGTCTGAACATTGTCTGTCTTGTGAGGCTCCGAGTTCACCTGGTCTTCGCGGCCTGACAATGTCGATGTCTGTCTGCAGTTGCTCCGGAAATCCACCGTGTGCCCTGACTTTTTGGGTAACGGCGAAAAGCACTTGGGATAAAATACAATCAAGCTGGAGGTAGTATGAGAGTTTATGAAATTTATTATAGGCAGTAATATTCGCCAGAATGAGCCAAAACGCCTGGTCCCCGTGTCTCCGTACCTCACCATGAACACTGCGCAGTACGTCCACGACTATTGCAAATCAGCTCATGATCAGCAAACGCCTGTACGTAGCTCATACCAATCCGCCAACTTGCCTTTCATGCTTCTACTCCAGCAAACTTGTATCCTTCCGCAATTGTCTTCTGGATATCCTCATTCTTGTGTGGTAGCAGCGATAGCGCATATGCAACATCGTTCCAAGCCCTCTCGGAATCGCAGTGAGGCAATCGAGAGACCAATTTGTCCGCAAGCTGCTTAGCGTGCTTCTCTTTCTCGATGAATGTCATGAGGAACTTGACGATCCTCCTGAAAGTATCTTCGCTCACTTCTTGGTCAGCACTCAAGACTGAGAAGATATCCGTAAAGCCGTTGTAAATCGCGTTATCCTTGGTTGCGAGCTCTGTAAAGAACATCTTCGCCAAATCTGCAATACGCTTGTCGGAGTTTTCGAGACATTTGGCCATTCCGGCAAGTTGACCTCTGACCTTGATCTGACCGGCCAGGATAAGGAAGGTAAGGGTCATTAAGCATGTCTTGGTAACAGACGGGTCGCGGTCATTGAGACGACGGTACAGGAAGTCAGTGTTCTCGTCGACGAGATGATTGAAGCAGACTGTCATATCACCCAAAGCAATAACAACGTTGCTCCTAGTGATGGGATCGTGCGAACGCTCAAGAATCGTCAGGAGCAACGGTAAGTGTCTTTCGCAGAACTCAGAAGAGACACACATCAACTTGGCCAAAGCAAGCGCTGCCGCGGACTGCAAATCCTTGTCCTTGTAGACCAGATTATTTTGGCAGATATCGGCAATCATAGGACCGAAGCGTGCAAGCAGCGATTTGTCACCGTACAGCAGTTCATGTTCTCGGATTTGTGCCATAGCATCGGTAAAATCGTCCTCGGAGGTACCGCCGATTGCTTCGAGCTCATCGGCTTCAACCGGTGCGCCCTTGCTGAAAGCAGACGCTGCAGACTTTTTCGCTGCATTGGCCTTCCGCCGCTTGAATTCCCTTTCCGTAGCTTCAATATGAACGATCTGCTTGATCGCGACGTGACCAACAATGAAGAGTAGCTGAGCCAATCCGGTAGTCGACTGATCTTGCGAGGCCTCGGTGTCGGCAACAGTCTCCTGTTCCCCATCCTCCACTTCCATCGCATCCTCCGCATGATATTGTGCTGTGCGCTGGAACACGGCCCTGGTCTTCTGTCGGATAGCTTCGCCACAAATAATGTCAGGGTGTTCCGCTAGTAAGTAGATTGCGTTGATAGCCTGCTCAGCGACCCCGAACCATTCCTTGCTCCCTGAAGACATCAACACGATACTGTACAACCTGGAAAAGACTGTATGATCATTGGGCAACTTCGCGACAGTTGCCCTATCGGGCTGTCCTTGTGTCGCTTTCCTGTTTGGTTGGATTCGCTGGAGGGCAATACAGCTGTACTTTGCCAATGCCAAGTCGGTACGCCCCAACAGTCCGAGGCCAACACGCAACAGAGTCTCAAGCTCGTTAACAATGACCTCAGGATTCGCAAGACCGAGCATGCCGAGTACGATGATTGCACCTCTGCGTTGCGATTTCGAAATTTCCTTTCTTTGCACGCCGTACACCTGCCACAACTTCTGGACGACGTGGTCCGAGATGTAATCACCCTCCTTCATCATGGTGCTCAACAACTGCTCCAGACTTGTCAACTCGGCTAATGTAGCTCCATACGTCAAACTCATCATGTTCCTCGCCACGAAGTTCGCAGCGTCATTCGGCGATAGATGGTCCGGCGCTTCGAAGAACAAGCCACGGTAGCACTCGATGAGGTGAGATTGGACACCCTTGCCTTCATCACTGTTACCCTTTGTCCAGATGAGATGAAGCATCTTCCTGATTCCGAGCTTGGAGGTTTCGAGTTTGTAGGCGTCGGCAACGACGAAGAAGTCCATGGCCTCAATGATCTCCGACTTATTCTTTGATGCAAGAAGCTGAGCAACAACCTTGGATCCTTCATGGAGGGACTCGATGAAGCGGAGTGCTTCTGTGTAGTAACGCTTCGTCAACTGTAGCCTCATCAGACTCTCCTGGTCGACCTCTTTCGGTTGTTGGGCTTTCGGAGTCGCCTCTTCATCACGGGCAGGCGCCTTCTTCCTTGGCGTTGAAGGAGCTTCCTCGCCAGCATCGTCCATATCAACATCCATGATGCTTGCTTCGGTCGCGTCATCAAGAATGTCTTCCACGTCTGTAGACGGCGCCTTCTCTGCCAATCCAGGTGTGCCCACCGGAGGCTCCAACGCCGTAAGCTCGGCATTGACCTGCTCCAACCTCGCGATCCACTCATTCTGAGTAAGTTGTCCGCCGTGCATCAAGCCGAAAGGGTGAGTCGACAGTAGCTTCGTAAGAAGCCTGATTGCATTCCTTCGTACATTGCTGGACTTGTCCTCCAGGCTACGAACGGCAAGGTCGGCAACAATCTGCTTTCGCTTTGGGAACTTGGTCTCCAAGTCACACAATCTAGTATAAACCTGGCACACCTTGCTTCTGCAATATGGATTGATATCCAAGAAGCGCTCCTCCAAAACATCGAAGAAACCGTTGATCTGTGTTTTGTGGTTCTCCGCCTGGTCACTCTGTTCTTGCTGAGACATATAGGCGATCAGGTTCCCGCACACTTCAATAACTCCGTTGCGCGCAGCGTAAGCTTCTGAATCAAGTTGCCGTGCAAGAGACGTCATTTGTTTCAGGACGCTTCGGGGAAGCAATTCACTGAGCTTGACGACGAAAGTTGCTACGCTTTTCGGGCCTTTGGTGTCTGCGGCGGCAAACTCTTTACTGGACAGCTCTCTGACAACTTCCTCGGCGAGTTGTGGATAGTCGTACTGCTCTGCCAGGATTTGAAGGAATTCGGCCGTATGCTCCGATAGGTGCTCGAAGTATTGCAAGGCCTGGACGATCGAGGTTTGTGCTGCAAAGGCCTGTCCGTGATGTTTGATGGAGATACAGAGGACTTTGTACATCCTCATGCGAAGTGCGACAACCTTCATGCGCTGCTCCGATTCCGCAATGAGCCAGATAGGTCGTGTGAAGAGGCCGATAAACAGGTCGCGTTCTGATGTGGTTTGCCATATTCTACCGAGCTTCAGTCCTAATAGCCTGCATACGACGTCCAGTGCAGCTTGTACTTGACTTGTTGAATCCCAGGTTGTTGGTTCTATTGCTGCCTTTGGCTTTGCTGTCTTACCACGACGTGCGGGAACTGCTTTTGCGGCTTGTGCACCATCCGCCGCTATGACTACCCACTGCAAAAGAAAGGCGTACATCTCGCAGATCTGTCTGTGTAAGACGAGCAGCTCTGGGTCTGGCTGTTCGATATCTGATGCGAGGATCTCGGTCTCGGATTGTAATGAAGAGACGATGAGGTCCATGATCTTCGACATCTGCGTTGGCGTCAAAGCAGCACAATTCTTGAGGAGCGCTTTAAGCACGTCGAAGATTTCGTCATTCTTGATAGCTTCGGGAGATGTAGACAGCGTGTCGATTGTAGTGTTGATATATCTATCGCATTCCTTCTGGCTGGCAGACGAGAGGTCCAACTGCGTCGCGACCGAGGAAGGGTCATCCAAGTAGGCCGCAAGCTCAGCTCTCAGATCAAACTGATCGGCCATTCTGATCGTATCAACGTCCAATTCAGGCGGTTCAACGCGTGCTGGAGTGCGATTGCTGACGTTGGTCGAGGGTTGTTATTGCGTTTGTTTACATCTGTGGGTGTATGCATCTCCAACTTTGGATACATCCTACTGCAGGCAAGCCGACCATATCAAATTCGCTGTGTTTCTTCGGGCATAACTCAGCAGAAAATTGATACCCTTGTCTCGTTCGAATGTCTTTGGTCTTGTATAGTGTAGCTCTATACGATCAGGTCTGCCTGCTTACACTTCCTTTCTGATTGAACGAGTTGTGATTACGCGGGGCGACATGCACTGTGCTACCCATTTTGGTCAAAGCATGTACTGTACGGCCGGGAACACGAAACAACAACAGAGACCACAGACACGACGACAAGGGCCATCCTGTATAATAACCTTATCCAGCATTCATAAAGGCCATATATTATGAGCTGCTCCTCTTCATCATCGTCACGGCATAATGATCGATTTGGCAACGTCTATGACAATACTATGGACCCGAAGATAGGAGCAGGCATGAAAGACCGGCTGGAGGTTCAGGATACGCGTCTATATATGCCTGAACCGCGGCCAGGGATCACGAGGATGCATGGCACTCCTGCACCGCCTACACCTCAGCAGTTTTCACACACGACTTACCCAACATACCCGGAATATGACGACGAGGAAGATGAGGTCGTGTTTGCGCCACGCTCGGAGACACCGAAACCTAAGTCATCGCCATTGAAACCAGAGGCACAAACACAATCCATTAACAAGATATCTGCACCGGTTTTCGCTCCTCGACTACCGCCAACGACAACCGCACCCTCTGACGTCGTCTCACTCCTTGAAGCACTCGCCGACGGCTCACGCGGGTCACCTACGCCGGCAGCCTCAGGATTCGGTACTCCCCACCGGCCTCCACTTCGTTCAAGAACGATATCCCATGACGCATCTCTTGCCTTCTCTGCACGGGCACAGACGCCAGGTACGTTTTCTTTCGAGCATAAGCGATTGGAGAAAGTACCAGAGATTCAGGTTGGGGAAGCACGGCCGCAGACACCGATATTTGCGAGAGCCGATTTTAGGCCGCCGAGCGTGAGGACTCCTTCGCCAGTGAAGCAGCAAGTAACGCCTATGGCTAATATTGTTGAGCATGTGGATGACGAAGAGGATGAGGAGGATGAAATAATCTTGGGCTCTCCCCCGAAGAGGGCCGAGGCTGTTGAGGAGTTTACACCCACAATGGAGGAGCCTGCACCGGTCCGTACCGCCAAAACGGCTGAGAGGGCACCTCGACAGGAGAATGCTACAGCAAAAGCGGCGGAAGGCAAAGAGGTCGACGAGGCAGCCATGGACTCGCCACAAAAATCTATGGTCGAATATGAGAGCTCAGAGGACGAGGCGAGACCCAGTGTGGTTGATTACGAGAGCAGTGAGGACGAGGGTGAGCTCGTGATAGGTGCATCGTTGGAGGTGAAGAGTGAGACGCAGGCAACGACTGTGATGGCACACATCAATGATGTTATTGTTGATGTCAAGGCAGAATCAGTACTACCCGCCGTTGAGGAAGCTGTTGAAGACGCTGAACTGGAGGTGCAGGACGACGACGGATACAATGAAAAAAGGGTTTCTCAGGAAGTCACTATTGACGAGGCCGAAAAGGATATCGTTGCAATGGAGGCCGTGCAAACAGCAGCTGGCTATATTCCTGAGATACCCCCCGTTGCTCCTCTGCAGTTCACCAAGAAATCATCTCCAGCCGAAATCCAACTCTCTTACGAACCGACCCCCCCACCCGCAGCTGTCGCAGAACCCCCGGCAGTTGAAGAACACTCCAAACGATTCGTAGCACCTCCACAAACGCCTCCGAAAGGCCTACGATTGCCTCATGCCACACTGACTCTTCCTTCCCTTGCAGCACCGACACCACAGATACAGGTTCAAACTCCAGGATCCACGATGCTTGATGCAGATGCTGCGGATATATGGCTGAAGGCTCATGATGCCGGGTTCCTCAACTCACCCAAGAAGCGACCGGTTGCTGGAGAGGAGCGAGAGGAAGTTGGCGAATTGAATTCGGAAGGCGAGAGATTACTGCAGGATCTGCTACGGGAGAATGGGACTGCTGATGCCGGGCTCGGGAATATCATTGGACAAGACACCGCTAGAGAGTTGGAGGAGGTGTTGGGCGGTGCATTGGCTGCGGAGGAGTCGAGGCCATGGACGCCGGAACTTGGGGTTGGTATTGATTGGCAGATGGCTGCTGCACCACTTGCTGAGAAGCCGAACATGTCTGTGCCTATGGTGTTGGAGCAAGAAGCCGCAGCACAGCCAGAAGGAGAACTGGTTCTGGAAGATGAGAGTGACCTAAGCGAGGTCTCGGATGTTGAAGAAGAGGAAGAAATGGATTTGGACGCAGAAAACGATGTCAGCGATCTTGTCGAGGATGAAGAAGACAGCGATGAGCCCGGATACGAGCCCAGTCCGGAGCCGGAACCACCACTTCACGTCAAGGAGGAGATGAAAAATTTCGAGCTCACGTTTTTGAACTTGCGTAATAGTTATCGGCTTATCGACAAAATCGGCGAAGGGACTTTCTCGTCTGTGTACAAGGCAGAGGATCTCCGGTATCGGGAATACAGGAACGAGTGGGATATGTCGCAGGATTCCTCGTTGACATCTTCGTCCCCTCCACTGTCGAAAAAGCGAAAGCTAATGAGGAGGATGAATCGACCACGATTTGTCGCAATCAAGAAGATCTACGTCACATCCAGTCCGCAGAGGATCTTGAACGAGCTGGAGATCTTGCACGAACTCGGTGGCTGCGATAGCGTGGTTCCTCTCATCACGGCGTTTCGTCACGAGGATCAAGTCGCTGCTGTCCTGCCATACTGCAAACACGTTGATTTTCGGGATTACTTCCAGACCCTTACGCTGCACGACATCCGCCTCTACTTCAAGAGCTTATTCTCTGGTCTTGAATACGTTCACGAAAGAGACATTATGCACCGCGATATCAAACCAAGTAACTTCCTATACGACGTACAGAAGATGAAGGGCGTACTTGTTGATTTTGGGTTGGCGGAGTATACGAGAGAACGGGAGGGGTTTTTGGAGGAGGATCCGCTGTGTGTTTGTTCGACGTATGAACATGAAGAGGCGCCGAATTCTATTGCGCCGATTGCGGGCGAGCCGTTGCATGGATACCGTAAGCATGATCAACGACCTTCGAAGCGCGCGAATCGGGCTGGTACGCGTGGGTTCCGTGCGCCGGAGGTATTGTTCAAGTGCAACTATCAAGGCACGGCGATCGATATCTGGAGTAGTGGTGTGATCCTGCTGTCGTTCTTGACGAAGCGATTCCCTTTCTTCAACTCTACAGATGATGTTGAGGCGTTGTTGGAGCTTTGTTCGATCTGGGGAAAGCAGTTGATGAAAGAGACTGCTGCTCTTCACGGCTGTTCTTTTGAATCGAATATCCCGACACTTCATGATCGCCGTATCACGTTCAAGAAGCTAATTCCGTGGGCTACCAGTCGGGAGAACAACGTACCGTTCACGGAGGAAGAAGAATTAGCGATGGATTTCCTGGAAGGGTGCTTGGACTTGAATTGCAAGACGAGGTTCACTGCGACACAGGCGTTGCAGCATGCTTTTCTTGCGGATGTGAGCATCTATGATGGGGAGGGAGCATATGAGTGAGGCGGGCTAAGTATACCAGAGCTGTTGCATCAGCTGAACATGGATAAGGCGTTCCTTTATTGGACTTTGGATTGGGTTCTTTCAACAGCATGGCGCTAGCAGACCTAGGACTAGGATTTTTGCATGGTCTTTGGGCCCTCGATACAATACATTGCAATTTGGTTTCCTCTTTCGGTAGGCGCCTATGGCCAGTCAGTCCACGTTACGAGCACCCGCGTCGAACTTTCTGCGGGGAGCCTGGAGGCTTCGGGAAGGTTTACGCAATCAGCCAGTATATTCCAGCAAGAACGAGTCATACCATACCATGCCTTATAAGAGATCCCTCATCGGCTCCTCTGTCCATCATCATCATCAAATCCAGAGATCAACCACTTGACAACTACTCAACACAAACAAGCCACAATGATCTTCGCAAGCCCATACAACACTTCTCCCTCCCCTTTCGACCTGATCCCCGCCATCGTTGATTTTGCCTCTCAGTTCGATGCACCCGCACACAACCACGTCCGCGACGCCGCTCACCGGCAACACGTTCACAAGGCACCCACTCGGCCCTACACCCCTCCTATCGACGTCTATGACGCGGATGACAGGACTACGATCTATGCATCGTTGCCTGGTGTCAAGAAGACGGATATCGAGATCTCGTATGATGCCGGAAAGAAGATCTTGAGCATCGCGGGTCAGGGTGGGGTTGTGTATCGCGACCCAGTATCCGAACCTATTCAGGCTGCGATCGAGGAGAAGAAGGATGAGGAGATGACGGATGCCACCACTACCACCGAGGTGCCCGAAATCGTCGAGCCCGCATCTGAGTCTGAAAAGGAAACGTCCGAAAAGTCCGCTGAGAAGTCAGAGGAGTCAAAGCCGAGGAGAAGAAGCGTCACAGTTGAAGACGTCCCTGACGGCGCAGACGATGATTTCGCCATCGTGACTCACCCCAAGTCAATCACCTCCCCCTCACCAGCTGCTGAGAAAGCCGTCGTCAAGGCTCCCGAACCCTCGCCCGCACCCGCACTGGTAGCTAAGACTGCTGGACCCATCCCGCGCGTCCGTGAAATCCCTTATGGTACCTTCGCACGCCATATCCCCCTAGCACGATTCCTCGAGGGAAAGAAGGTCGATGAGGCGGATATTACGGCGAAACTTGAGAATGGGGTTTTGACGATTGAGGTTCCCAAGATTGTGTTGGAGGGAAGGAAGAGGATTGCCGTCTTTTAGAGCTGAAAGATGAGGAGTCATACGATATAGTTTTGTTTTGCGTGTCATGTTAATGGGTTACGGTCTTTACTGGAGTGTTCTTTTTCTTCTCGGTCATTATAGGATACCCTCTCTTGAATCAATTTGATTTCAACTATATTGTTCCTGTTCTTGTAAAGGGTCCCATACTCACTCCAATCCCAAGAGCACAGCAACCTCCCCCCTCGTCCTCGGCCACACCGTCCTCGGAAACTCCACCGCACCCTCCTCCCCCACAATCGCACCCTCCACCTCCCCAAAATCCCTCAAAAACCTTTCTGCGCCTCTATATATCACACCAGACCCAACTCGAGAGGAGTATAGTCTTTCGAGACGTGTATGCGCGTCCATGAGCGCTGAAGGGAGGAACGCGTCGAGTTGTGCGGAGATTGTGGCGAGGGAGGGGGTGGTGAAGGCTGGGAGGGAGGAGAGTGGGGTGCTCGGTTGTGCGGAGTGGAGTGCAGACAATAGAACCTCCACGCCAGATTCTTCGAGGAAGAACCGGTACGTATCCCCAACTAGTTCTTCAACGAGTCGAGCTTCTTTCTCTTTGAGAGTGTTCACCGCGTTTTGGGTAAACGCATACATCTCCACAACCCTCCTCGCACACTCGACACAATTAACCACAAACACAATCCCCTCATGTCGTTTCATCTTGTTATCTTGAAGAACCATCTTCTCACAAGCTTCGAGGTATGACCACAATGCATCATCCAGCACGTCCCTAAACCCCTCCTCCCGTTCCACAGCAGGAATGAGAGAGGCGTCGTACGAAACTATCAATTGTCGAAGCTGGCTAACTGCCTCGACGAGAAACGGAGGCGGTGAGAGGTCGTCCGGTACTGTATCCAAGGAGGCTAGAGTGGTATTCCGCTGACCGTGGAGCGCGGACGAAAAGTGCTGTAACGAAAAGGCTTCGAGAAGTTGAATATTATCCACTACCACGGATTCCTTGCCCAGAGCTTTTATGAGCATGAACTTGTAGAAGCGGATTAAGGACGCAATTTTGTAAATCAGGACGGGGTCTTCTTGGGTTATGAGGACGTGTTCTGTTCGGGACTGTATGTTTGTCGTCAGCGTTACCCAGTAGAGTATTCAAGAAAACAAACATACCCGTAGAGGTTTCCCGACACCTTCCAGGTTTCGGTCGACGAGATCTGACATCGCGCCGCTCCGTGTACCGACGAGGACGTCGAGTACCTCGCGTTCGTTTGCGACGGCTTGGTGGAGCCAGGCTAGCATGTCGCCCACATAGCGTAGTGGATCATGTGCGAGCATATCAATCGGTCGTGATCCGTCTTCGCCTTCTGTCAATGCTCGCATGAAACTGTGTATCGCTGCGCGTTGTCGCGTCGAGGAAAGGGAATCGAGTGCTTCGTCGAACAAGGCGGGGGACTGTGCGGACAAAGTGGCGATCGCTCTTCGTAGCAGGGTCGGTGAAGGCGTGTTTTCGTTTGAGAGGTCGCAGGAGGATGTTGCGAGGGATAGTGTCCGGAATTGCCGCTGGAGCCAAGAATGTAGCTTGACGGATGCCATGTCGAGATGATGCTGTGTCCGCTCGATGATATCCAACCCCAACTTTTGGTTATCGGTCGTGAGTAGCGTCTCACACGACGCATTAATCTTCTTGCACCGCTCATATGCGGCGAAGAATGCTTCGTCGACGGGTTCGGACGAGGACGTTAGTGCCAAGACTTCGGATTCGGCCATGGTGAAATTATCGAAAAAGCGAGTGAGAATGGTAGCTTTGGTCGTAAGCGCAGCCGTCTGTGAATGTAGGCCATCAAAAGACGAGAGGACGCGTGAAGCTTGGATGTTGGCGGCGTTGGCGTGGGAGAGGAGGGTACGGTGGGTTTGCGAGACGGTTCCGAGTGTATCCCCAATTCTGTCGATGGTGTTGACGATACGGCCGAACTCCTCGATGACTGCGCCGTGTTGTTCGATCACGTCGAGCTCGAGCTCGCCTTTGAGTTGTCTGCGTCTGTCGGGACTGTTGTCTGCGAATCGCGCGTCGAGCGTGAGCGCGTCCAGGGCATCTTTGAGGGAGTTGTCGGTGTAGGAGGCGGCCAGGATCTGCGACAGGCGGACGGAGAGTGGATTCTTCGAGCTGACTGAAGGTGTCGCTGGCAATCCCTGCATTTTGTGCTTCTCTCAGTCTCTCAGTCTCTTACGGTGTTGTACTTTGTTGTACTGCAGCCACCCCCGGTATACTGTATATACGGCATACACCCCTACGTCAGCCAACCAAAGACAACGTTCCCATTTGAAGAGGGATGTCCACCACCAACCCCTTCGCACGGATGTTCGGTGCGGGGAGCATTTACGAAGCTCTGCAACCCGCACCACGATACCAGCCCTATCACGACGTCGAACAAGACGCGTACCCACTTCATGACGACGAGCACGTCGGCGAAGACGAGGTTCCGCCATCACTGCTGTTCGAGGCAGGCGGGCAGCATGGACCCCCGAGACTGGGTAAGAAGGTCATGCCGCCCTTGCCGAGTCAGATTATGGAGGATGGTCCGCATATACTGCCAGATGAGCCACCAACAGGAGAGCCCATTGGAAACCCAAGGCTTGGGTTGATTGATGCGAGGGAACGGGCGTTATGGAGATGGGCAAACGTGGAGAACCTGGATATATTCCTGCAAGAGGTATGTGATCCGGTCGAAGTGCTGACTTATCGTCAGTGTGCTGATTCGGTCACAGTTATACTCGTACTACCTCGGCAAGGGCATTTATTCCATCATCCTATCCCGCGTCCTCGACCTCCTTACTTTACTCTTCGTTCTATCTTTCTCAACATTCCTCACAACATGCGTCTCATACCCCCTCATCCCCACCTCCCACCGCCTCACCGAGGTCCTCATCCCACAATGCCTCTCCACCATGTCCTCCACCAAAACCTCAATTCTTTGGCTTTTCGGCGTATATTGGTGTATCAAAGGACTCCAACTAATCGGTGATCTACCACGCCTCAAGGCGTTGAAGGAGTTTTATGAGTATGCACTCGAGGTCCCGGATGGGGATTTACAGAGTATTGGGTGGGCGGAGGTGACGAATCGGCTTATCAAGCTCAAGGATGCGAATCCGACTACTGCGTCGAATCTCAGACGACGGACGCAGCCTGTGGCGAGGATGGATGCACATGCTATCGCGAACAGGATCATGCGGAAAGAGAACTATCTCATCGCGCTTTTCAATAAGGAGGTGTTGGATATACAGATTCCGTGGGTGAGAGGGATGGGTATGGGCAAGGGGAATGTGTTGACGAAGGCGTTGGAGTGGAATTTGGATTTGTGTGTGTTGAGTTATGTGTTTGATGAGCAGGGGCAGGTGAAGGAGTTGTTTGTGCGGGATTCGCATCGACGACTACTAGTCGAAGCGTATGTCTTGCTGCTCATTCTGGTGGGGTCGGTGATGCTGACAAGGAATAGGTTACGCCGACGATTCATCTTTGCCGGGTTTATGAATATCCTGCTCGCGCCGTTTATTGTCGCATACCTGCTTCTGTTATACTTCTTCAGATATTTCAATGTAGGTGGTAATTGTCGAAGGCTGTGAATTCGGCTAATAGGACCTACAGGAATACCACAAGAACCCCAGCTCTATCGGCTCACGAAAGTACACGCCCTACGCACAATGGAAGTTTAGGGAATTCAACGAGCTGTACCATCTGTTTCAGAGACGGATCAACATGAGTTATCCGATTGCAAGTCGATATATTGATCAGTTTCCCAAGGATAAAACTGCGCAGTTGTCGAGGTTCGTATCGTTCGTTGCTGGGTCGTTCGCCGCCGTGCTGGCTTTGGCGTCCGTCATCGATCCAGAGTTGTTTCTTGGGTTCGAGATTACACCTGATCGAACGGTGTTGTTCTACATCGGAATCTTCGGAACGATCCTCGCCATCAGCCGTGGGATGATTCCGGATGAGACGATCGTGTATGATCCGGAAGCGACGCTGAAAGAGGTAATTGAGTATACTCACTACCTTCCAGATGATTGGATCGGTCGTCTACATTCTGATGAGATTAGACGGGAGTTCACGAAGTTGTATGACCTGCGAGTCTCGATCTTCTTGCAGGAGATCTTAGGGGTGTTGTTCACGCCATTCATATTGTGGTTCTCATTACCAAAGTGTAGCGAACGTATCGTGGATTTCATTAGGGAGTTTACGGTACATGTTGATGGGATCGGCTACGTGTGCTCGTTCGCCGTCTTTGACTTTAAAAGACATGGGAATGCGCGGTATGGTGTTCCCACGGGGACGCAGGATGAGCATTACGTATCCAATGAGGGTAAGATGGAGAAGTCGTTCTTGAATTTCAAGGCTGCGAATCCGGATTGGGTTCCTGATCCATCTGGATCTGCGTTCCTAACGCGGTTGAATGAGACACAGGGAACGAGAGGACCTCCTCATCGGAGGACTGTGGGGCGGGGACCGCTTAGTCCACTGGGCCGACATGCACCGCCGATGCGACACCATTTCGCGGAGGCACCGGTGAGTATGTCGGATAGTCCTCAGCGTCCGATGACGGGACGTACGACGGGGTTTCACCCGAGACCTGAAGTGGTGGAGGAAGACGAAGACGAGAATGAGCCAAGGGAGCATGAGCGGTACATGAGTAATCTGGGTGAATCATATACATCCACCACGGCCCCAATCAACCGCGAGGAGCCGAAGGTCGAGGATTTGGGTGTCGGAGGCGGTGTTTTGGGTTTGTTGGCGCAGTTTTATGAGGACGGGAAGGGACAGGGGGTTCATCGGTAAGGGAAGGGAAGGGAAGGGAGTTTGAACATGGTATTCTGCTTTTGGCTTTGGGTATAAGTGGTTTTATTCTGCGTCGATAATCATACAATCTTCATCTATCATGCTGTCCGTTTTAATGTTGTTTTCCTTGATCCAGTTCTTGATGTCGTTGGAGTTCACTACGACCGCACCATCTTTCTTCACCCAATTGTTTAGGCCCATTTGGGTCATGGCTTCGAGGACTTCTTCTTCCCTGATTCCTGTTGCCTCGCTGATTTCTTCGATGGTTGTCTCGGTTTGCCCGTCCTCACTAGTTTCGAGGAGGACGGCGGCGACGGCACCGGTCCAGTAGTTGATGTAGCCTCTGTAGCCTAGGTCACTTAGAGGCCGCTCTGGACCTCCTCTGACATCTTCAAGCCGTGACAGCGCGTAGGAGAATGAGATGAGCATACGACCGTAGCCGTGCCGTTGGTGCGGAGGAAAGGTGATGATACACGCTAGGTTGTTGTTATCCCACGAGACCTTCTCCTTCGAGAAATATGCGCAGTATTCTGCTGTACCTGATTGGTTGTTGACCAGTACGTAAAACAGAAATCCGCTGACGTCGTAGTAGATTGTTTTGTGGTCCAGAAACAGCTTTGCGAAGAGGCAGAGGTTCTGGCAGTAGAGCTTTTCGACGTCGCCGTCTACTTCGTAGATCGACAGAGGGCCTCTCTCGTATACTTTCTTGCCAGGCAGATTGTTTTCCTTGGGACAGGCCACGATATGCTTCCGTAACGGCTCGCCGTCAATTGTGTATTTGAAGCAGAGTGGGCATACGTGGAGGTATGGTACACCACCCGGCGTCACGAGCTCTGCAGGATAAGGTGAACGATACCATGTTTGGATCTCGTACCTGCCAAAGATGACCTTGTCGACATTCCTTACACCTTGATCAGGCCCTTCGGTCGACACGGACTGCGCATCCATGGCCTGCGGAGACGCGACATGATCCTCAGCACCCGGCGCAGGCGACGCGGCTCCTTCTTCGACAATATCTCCAATGGCAGAAAACGGTACCCACGCGTCAAGTCGCTTATCCTGGTTGATATAATGGACGTAAGCGCGTTGCGACGTGACATCAATGTTAAGGATGGAGGCAGATGCTAAAGGATAGGTGAGCAGGGACTCAATTGCGCAAGTAGCTAGACGTACAGTAACTATCCTCTCGCCATTTGACCCATCGTAACTGACGAGGAGCAAGGTCCGTCAGCTGGTGCATGGATACATGTACAGGGCATTGGTACTCGTCGCGCACATCGTATACTGCATCGTCACGTGTACTGGCAAGCACGGAACTGTTCTCAGAGAACAACTGCTGGACAACTGAACGTCTTCCAGTTTCCTTCTTCTCTTCTTCTCTTCCTTGGCTGGCCCTTCCCTCCTCGGCCAGGTTAGGGTTTGCAACCCAAGGCCCCCTGCACCGAAATTTGAGCAGCGCGGGTCTACCTCGAAATTCGGGCAGTCAAAGCTGAACCTCGTCGGATTCAGTCAACCCCATCGCCAACAATGCCGACCAGACTCACCAAGACTAGGAAGCACCGTGGACACGTTTCGGCCGGTAAGGGTCGTGTCGGTACGTTACTTTCACTGCCCTCTCGCTCGCAAGCCATTTTCTGACTTTGATCCACAGGAAAGCACAGGAAGCATCCAGGAGGTCGTGGTTTGGCTGGTGGTCAGGTATCTTGAGTTCCCATCCTCCTTGCACTGAGCAGGAGTTAAATGTATGGATGTTTAGCACCACCACCGTACCAACTTCGATAAGTACCATCCCGGTTACTTCGGTAAGGTTGGTATGAGGTACGTTGCGCCCACTCCCCCGATTGTCCCTTTGGACAAGTCTGTTACTTTGCGCAAGTCGTGAAGAGACTGTGAGGATGATTGGCTTGTCCCGCAATGGGACGATTGGCCTCGCCTTCGTGCGGTTAACTTACTCTGACCTCAGGTATTACCACCACACCACCAACAAGGAGTGGTGCCCCTCCCTCAACTTGGACAAGCTCTGGACTCTCGTCACCCCCGAGGCCCGTGAGCAGTACCTTGCCAACGCCTCCGCTGAGAAGGCCCCCGTCATCGACCTCACCCAGAACGGTTACGGCAAGCTCTTGGCCAAGGGTCGTCTCCCCCAGGTCCCCGTTATCGTCAAGGCCCGCTACGTCTCCCGCCGTGCTGAGGAGAAGGTCAAGGCCGCTGGTGGTGTCGTCGTCATTGAGGCTTAAGTGTCTCGATTTCGTCTTGGTGTGGATGTTTTGGATTTCTGAAAGGTTATTCGGCGGTGTGTCACGGTGATGGATGGCTCTTATTGTTACACTCCGGGAAAATAAAGCTTATACCATCCTATCTGAAAGACCGTTTCATCGTAAACCATGTAAATTCTTATCACTAACCAGCAGTTCAAGAAAAGCCATCCAACTCGTCTATCGTAGCAATCACTCATCTCTCATACTCTGGGTTCCCCGCTGAAACGTCATGGTCAATGTTTACTTCCCGGCCCTGCTCGCCTTTTGCTGATAGCCAGGCGTAGGCTGGTTCTTCCGAATACTCCTAATCTCATCCATGGCGAACCCAGGCACGCGAATATTGTAGTTCTTCTCCAAGTGAAACTGGACATCCTTTACATCCAACGTGTCCGACTTGCGGTGCTTAGCCAAGCGACACGCAAATCCAGCGACTGACTCAACAAACTCATCCGCGACCTCCAAGAGCAAGTCCTCAACTTCCGGTTCGAGACGCTCGTCGGGATAGATCTGCCTAACCAATTCCTGCAACTTGCGCTTGCTCAACAACCTGTGTCCATCTTCCAACTCGTACTGCGGCGGTCGGGCGAGGGCGGGTGTGGCCATCATCGCATTTCCGGTCGCATATCCACCGGTCAACGTTGGACGTGCAGGAGGGACGACAGCTGCTTGTGTAGGTTTGATGTTGAGGGTGCCAGGGATAGCCGGTAGACTGTTGAAGGTAATCGTCGGAGTGTTCTGACGAGCTGCCGCCTGTTGCTGCTGAGCAGGAGTAGCTGCTTGAGGCCTAGGTCCACTCTGCGGTCCGACTTGGACCGGTTGCATTTGAATTTGTTGAGGAGTCATCTGAGCAGCTGGGTTGGGCGGTACTGGGGAATTGCTATTCGCCCGGTTCATGACAGGCGTCTGAAGGTTGTTTTGAGGGATGTTCATCTGGGTCGCTCCAGTGCCCGGAGGCTGCATCTGAGGGGGCTGATGCGGCGGGATCTGTTGTGGTGTACCGACCATAGGAGGGTTTGGATGCGTAGACAGGGGACGTGGTGGTTGAGGTGTTCCGACCTGAGCCTGTGGTGCTGCGCCGGGCTGGCCGGGCACTCCTTGCTGCCCCGGTGGTGGTCCGCTGCTGAAATTCCTCGGCGCAAGACCCTGCTGTACCATAGTGTTGACTATTGCACGCTGGTACTGCGTGTAGTATTCGTGATATTTCCGCTCCTCTTTCTGAATCTTGTCGCGCTCCTCTGGCGAAAGATTGGCATTTTGCAGTTGCTGATGAAGCTGTGCAATCTTCGCCTTGAAGCTCTCGGTGGTCCTAAATGCTTCCTGTACTTTCGGTTGAGCCATGAAGGTACTACGCTGTTCCGGTGTCAAACGGCTAACCAAAGCTGCTGCATTCAGTGGGACCGGTTGTCCTTGCTGAGGGACCGGAGGGGTACCAGCACCGACCGGCCTCTGCTGCTGCTGCTGAGGCTGCTGTCCAGGCACTTGACTCTGAGCAGTCTGTTGCACGCGTATCAACTCCTGTCTAAATCTCTCCGCAAGATTCAAGAACTGTTGTCCTTGAGGAGTCTGAGGCCCTACAGCTTGTGCCTGAGCCCTGTATTGTTGGACTTGAGCCAACAGCTGCTGGACGTTGTTTGGAGGGAGTGCAATACTCGTCGGACGTTGCGCTTGCCCTGGCTGAGGAGGTTGCTGGCCGGGCTGGGCTTGACCTTGAGGTTGCGGGGTCTGACCGAGCTGCTGAGTCTGGATCGCAGGAGAACTCTGAGCGGACATGGGCTGTTGAGGAGTGTGCATGGCTGGAGATTTGGCAGCCTTCTGGGGCTTCGGGGACATACGATATCTCAGCAGGAGATGAATGTATGCTGGTATATTTATACGCGTCGTCCCGGTCGCATGAGGTGGGTCGGTGCAGGCGGTGCAGCGGCGGGCAGGCAGGTAACTTTCCAACGTTGCCAATCTCACGAAAGATGTGAAGGATGGTATCGTCATGGCATTCGCCATAACTCTTGTTTATCTCTGCCTATTATGATATGCAAAACCCTTGAAAGTAACGTCCCGAAGCTTACTCACAACCACGTAACACAATAATAAAGACTCCATCCAAAAGACAAACGTAAAACGCCATGAAAACACAAACGACAAGATGCACCGGTTTAGTGAGCAGCTGCTACTGCAGCATGCTGATCTTCAAACCCCTCATCTCCCTTGGTAACACCAACCTTGCGCTTGACTGGTAGGGGTCCAGTATCCCTGCCAGACGTTGCTGCTCCATCCACGGTAGTAGCCTTCTCATTCATCGCGGCCTCTCTATCCTCGCCAGATCCACTGTCACCTCTACCACTGTCGCCATCGCGCTCTTCGCCTCCCGGGTTGATGACTGGTAAGACCTGCTCCTCGTCTGGAATTGGACTCTGCACTGCCCGCAATGTCCTTTCCGGTTTGTCCTCCTCCTTCTCCTTATGATGATGTCGCGTCTCCTCTCTCCGAGCCTCAAGTTCGGCTCTTTCCATGATGCGTTTCTCCTCGGGATCCTGCTTGTCACCCAACCCCCGTCGTTCGCGCATCAACCTTTCAGGCGTCTTCACGATCGCAGAGATGAACTTAAAAAACCGTTGAGCGTACTCAGGCGGAGGAACGGCCGAAATCTGACTCTTGGCGTTTGACAAACCCTTCCAGAAATGTTCCATCTTCTTGATCTTGTCGTACTATAGTAAATTGTTAGCATTCAATCGAGTTGAAATGAGCGGGAAGGAGTCAAACCTTAGTCAAGAGATCAATGATACCCAGATAGTATATGACATCTCCAGGCTCATTCGACTCGTTCGTGGCCCGGCATCCACCGTCATCAGCGTAAAACACAAAGCTCTTACGCTCAGAACTTTCGGAATTCGGCAACCCGTCTTCACCAACAGTCTTCCCTATCCGCACTGGACCAGCTTTCCTGACGACCTTCCTCAGCGCCGACGCCGCTTTAGCATTGTCCGCACGTGAACTTGGCACTCTTTGCAGTTGCGTACTTTGCTCCACGGCAGGACTTTCGGGATGAAACACTGACAGGCTGTTGTCCAAGATATGGTCTTTATTGCCCCGAGTTAGGTCATGAATGCCGATAAGCAAGCTGTAGTCCATAATGTTCAATCGAGAGAGGAGGTCGACGTCGGTCTTCACCTGGCGTAAGAATAACTCGCCTTTGGTCGGTCCAAGACTGAGATGCATATCGCGCCTGATCCAGTTCAAGTCCTTAAGAGTAGCCCGAGGGTTCTTCGCAAGGTCCTCTTCCCTGAAATCTCGGCCGATAGTTGACCCCTTCAAGTCGAATGTTTGGTGTATGTCGCGATGTGGAGGAAACAGATTGTTCATGACAACAAAGTGGATTTTCCGACCATAAGGCGCCTTTACACGATGCAGACCGTAGAACTGAGAAATCAATGTGTCAGGGTTGTTCTTGACATGGTTGTAGTAGTCCTTCAAGATTCTTCGCAGGAACTTGTGTTCGCTATGGTGGATAGTCTTGATGATGAAGCGGTAGTCTCTCGAAAAGTAAAAGAAACTGCCGCTCTTTCCTGGCGAGCCAAGTTGAGAAAGAATATACTTGCCAGTCAACGAAACCAGATAGTCAGCTGGATCGAGACGAAAGAGTTGTCGCAGATGTCGGAAGACCCATGGAGCATAGTCCTTGAACTTGAAATCGTACTTCGCCGATGGCGTAAGTTCATTGCCGGTGATATCGAAAGAGAACTTGTGCCGAGCCTCAAAATCCTCGTCTGTCAACGGCCGATCCACCTTCGCATTACACCTCGAAACACCCACTCGAATACCCGTCAGCATATTGTATGCGATGACAAAGTTCTCGTGACCCTCAGCAACTCTTGTACCGACCAACACCCTATCATCGTCGTCCCAGTAGCTCTTCTTTCTTCTCTTGCTCTCCCGTTTTACTTTTATAGACTCTGACCATCGTGCTGACCCCTCATCCTGTGGAACCTCGTCCAAGTGCATCTCCTGACTGCTAAATGATCGAGTCATCCGTCTGCTTCCCAGGGCAAAGGATGAGCGCCTTAGGTTAGGTGATGTGCTTACTCTTGGCGAGGATAGCGGTACAATGCCGCCCTCCTCGGCCACAGTTGGGGGAACATGAATGGGATGGGCACTGCCGAAGGAACCGGATCGTGGATGGGGTGAGCTGAGTGCGGACACTCCTGCAGGGCTTGTAGATCGACGTCGTAAGGACGATGCTAGTTCCGTCGGTGACGAAACAGTAAGGAAGTTGGACGTCGCCGGTGGTGCGGAAGTTGATAGTATGGTGGGCGTAGCGGATGCTGGCTCAGTTGCATCTCCATCCACTACAGCGCCAAGGTTCAAAGCTTCAAACTTGGGAAGTATAAGCGGCGATTGAGATGTTGCAGGTGTAGGGTCGCCGTCCGGGAGATTCGATGACTGTTCATACGTTGACGATAGTGTTGCATCGATGGTGGGAGTCTTGCCGATATCCAAGTGCGGTTTCGTTACGCCATTCACCGTACCTCCATTACCAGCCCCATTCAGTGCCAGAGATGCGGGCTGCTTTGGCACTCCATCTGTTACGACAACATCCTTCCCCTCCTGATGCAGCTCTATGGGTGTCGACAGTCGTAACGCGTCCAGCTGATCCGATCGACCCAAGGGCATGGTCGGATCTCAGTACGCCTAAGAACAGCTACCGATGTCTTCCGTTCCGGTATATATAAAGGCTGAAAGTTGAAGAAACTGACGTAACTCGTACTCCCGGCAGCTGCTGTTTACTTGGGGTGCACCAGTGATAACAACCGCCAATGACGACGCCGAGAAATAAAAGAAGGACACAGTCCTGAGCGATTATGAGTCGTCAAGGTCAGATGCTGGACCTTCCACCGCTTATATTCCGGACCGGTCTCGATAAGTTTTGTCGTGAGGTGAGTGAGCAGGCGGGTTCGGCGCGTGCATGTGCTCTCCTGGGCTCAGCTTCTCAGCGCAGATTAGGTACGTCACTCGTATATACCAACGAATACAAGGAAAATGTTTTCGTCAATAGGGAGGCCTGCTGCAAAGTCATCGAGGCTTTCTTCTTCATCATCTATGTTTTCCTTGCTCCCAGGTGCGTGGGGGTGGCTGTTCTTTGCTCGAGATCAATCATTAACGTCGGTGATCCAATAGAAACCGCTCGTGCGAACACCGCTCGCCTCCTTCATGGCTCTGTTCATTCCAGCCCTCTGCTGAGGGCGATCGCCTCTCATGTCAGATCGAATCACAGCTTCGTAGTACCCTCAAGGCCAGTGCTGCGCCGCGGCATCCTTCCCCTTCTATCACATCGCCGCACGATCATGTTCAACAACTTCAACGGCATGCCAAATTTCCGCCCCCCGACACCTTTTCAAAAGGCAATGATTGCGGTGGTGGGTATTGCAGCCGTTCCCGTTATCTTCTTCGTCGGACTCGGATCCTTCACGTTCGTATGCGTTGCTGGTGCGGCTTATGTTGCATACCGATCTGTGCGGAACTTGTTTTCCGGCTTTGGTAACAGGGGATCAGGATCACAATATGGTAGTATGGGACCATACGATATGGGGTCACAAAGCGGAAGACCTGAAAGCTGGGGACCACAGAGCAGGGGCAACGGCAGCTTTGGAGGGTTGGATGATATCATGGGACTACGAGGCATGCTCAACCGCCGCGGTACAACCGGGGCCCCAACAATGGGTTCTCCGTTTGGTTCATCGCCTATCTTTAACTTCTTGAAAGACAACGTTCTCAAAGCGGCCGGCGGCATGGCAGAGTCTGTTCAATTCCTACGTGAACAGGCGATTTCGCGTGTAGACCGTGGGATTCAGACGGGTGAGGTTCGCATTTCCACGGTAAACCCGCAATACGGGCCTGTCCATGTCATGAAAATGGCGAGTGTGAATGGTAGTCAGGCGGGTGTACACATTGAGTTTGCGATCCTCGGTACAGGTGCAACGGTCATTGCGAAGGGCGCGGGGTCCGAGTTGAGTGCCGTTGTGGTGGTCATGGATGGTAGAGGAGGGGCAAGGGTGGACCTGGATATGAATGGCTCAGGTAATCAAGGATACAGTACATACCAGAGCGAACGCACACAGACGACGTCGGAGCGACATACTTCCTCTCGTCCTCGTGGTAAGATCATCGACGCTAAGCACTGGGAGAAGTCGTGAAGGATTAAACCTTTATCTATTCATCATCTGTCTAGTAAATAGGGTATCATTATCATACATCTGACACCTTCCTCCACTTAGAATGATTGCTGCAGCTTTTGATCCAATAATTTGATCCTTTCTCGTCTCTCCAGCATGCGCTCCTCCAATTGTCTGATCTCCTCCTCTTCCCTTAACAGATCTTCCTCTGTGATCCCAGCCAACTCTCGTGGCGCATCATCGTCGAAGGACGATGAGTAATCTGCGTGCGTCTGTGCGAGAATGTCGAGACGTGCACGTTGCTCCTCGACGATTGCCTCTAATTTCGATATGGAGTAGGTGAGCTGGGAGTATTTCCCTTCTAGTGAGGCGATACGTTGTGATGCTTCTGGCATTGGACTGTAGGTTATGACAGTTAAAGAATGCGACGGATGTATGCAGTAGGTGATTCTTCCTAGCGTACGCGATCGTCTATGTCGCTTGTGTGTTGTGGTAGAAGGGCATGGCATATCGGTAGCGGTAGAAGCGTTGTTGGACGTCGGGTGGGAAGAAGGAGGAGGAGATGTCGAGGACGAGCCAGAGGATGGGGAAGAAGGGGAGGAAGGAGGGACCGAGAATTGTGATCATTGATTCCATTGCAAGGCCGATGGAGAGACCGGATATCCTGTGCGAACACGTTTAGATAAGATCGTTGGAAGGAAAGGGAGTGAGAAAACGTACCATGCCAGCAACCGAAAAACCCAAAATCCCACGGCTCCTAGTCCACCCCACAACGGCACATGAAACGTCAGGTTGATCAACGTATACCACAAACTCAACACCACATAGATAGCAGCTGGCGCCGCAATCCGAAATATCACCGACGACGAATACTTCAATATCTTCTGCAGCGGTTCGCGTGCCGTGTTCAAGAAAAGCGCAACATGAAGACAAAAGATAAGGTAGTGAATCAACCCTGCCTCCAACGGCGCTTGAATCGCTCAAGAATGCATCGCCCGTATATTATGCGTTCCATACGAGAACGGCTGACCCGAGGCTTGTAGCAAGCTTCCCGCAACCCCTGTCAAATCCGCCGCTGTCGCCGTCCCCAAATACCCCGACACAGCCACCTGACTCGCCGTCACCGTGGCAGTCTGCAAGATTCGGTAGATGAGGGGTACCACAAACTCATCTACAACCTGAAAGAACCTGACTTCATTGTAATACACCGTGATCGCGTCCATCGGATCATAACGAATCTCCACTCGCCAACGCCTCTCTTCACCTCCTGGTCGCATTCGGGTTTATGGTTACCGCACCCCAATTCTCCTCGCTGACCGTACACCACGCTACGTCCTCTCCATAATTTGGAAACTGATTCGCCGGGACAACATCCCATCCCAAATGCG